TATATATATATATATGAATTAATGAATATTTTATGAATATAAATAGAGGGAAAATTGAAAAGGTTGTAGGTTGAGATGGGGAGTTGCTTTCCAAATGGATCAAAGTCACAATAGTTCAAGTGGTTAGAGCAGCGGCATATTGAGCCGAAGGTCGTGGGTTCGAATCTCACTCGTTACCCTAATTTTTTTCATTTCAACCAAAACCTTACATAAAAAGATTAATTAAAACTTGAAACATTAAATATTTCAAGATTTTCTGTATAGCAAACAACATTACAAAATATTGCACCAGCTTGCATCAGTTATAAAGTTACAAAACGTTTTACAGCCCAATTATTAGATTTGTATCAACACACACAGTTATGAACCACTTTCCAACAAATCTGTGATTTATGACTGTGCATACCTAACTGTTCAAAGATTCTTACTCTGGTACTCTTTTTTTCCAATCTTGGACTCTTAACAGTTTTTATGCGTCGCCAGACATTTTGAAATGGCCAACCAAGGAAGAAAAAAACCAGTAACCTATTTTTGGTCCAAAAAGGTTTTCAAATGTAATTGGGGCAACAGATGGTAGCCACATTAAAATAGGTAAACCTGAGAACGAGTCTGACATACATAAACAGAAAATGGTATTATATATCATATTATTCCATTATGTTTGGTGATCTAATTCACCAAATTACTTCTTTCAATTAATTATTCTTTTTATGTAAGATCTTGGTTGATATGAAAAAGTCAGTGTCATGATCCCGCTCATGACACTAACTTTTTCATCACCAAGGCCATAAAAAGAATATTTAATTGAAAGAGATATTATTTAATTCTATATTTCTACACAACATATATAATTTTAATAAATCTATAGTTGTGGTATTTTTCAATTTTTCCAGTTGCAAGTAGTCTGTAACCATAAACATAAACTTATATTTTTTCATTCTTTATCTTTTACAAATCATAGATGTTTTTGTGGACTTCCTTGCTCCGTTCATTCAGTATTTAGAAACTCTCCTCTTTTTCAAAATATCGAACAAAAGCTCATAGTTTTTTACTTGGGGATAGTGGCACCAATTATTAAAAAAATTATAAACCCCAGTCAGAGAATATTTAACGTGGTGTGAAGTAATTTAAAACTAAGCCAAAATTGGTACGTTATTGATATACTCAAACAAAAGTTTTGTCAATTTAAAATTGTATGTAAAATTTAAAAGAAGAAATGTATTATTATTTATGAAAATTTAAAAATTTACATTATTTCAAATTAATTTGAAATTGAAAATTTTATACATTTGTGTATATATATTATTGTATATTTGTTAAAAAATAAACACACACACACACACACACACACACACACACACCTCACATAAATCAAAACCTTAGTTAAGAGCCAAAGCGTTGGGAAACTTCTGCACATATCTCTGACTGCCAGCTCCTAATCAAATCAAACTGTTTTGATGGTCAAAAAACCAGTCACAGATCTGGCCTGAGAATATTGGAATGACCAACTGACCATTAACTCAATTGCACATTCGCACACCAGTTTGCTGATGGTTTGGATGTGTGATGGAACAAAACTATTTCTTAATCCAATAATACACGCTAAACATTTTTTAAATTAATTAATTGATTAAAAAATAAACCTTATAGTTAAGTACAAAGTTGCCAACTCAATACCTTTAGACATATTTAAAATCATGCAGAAAATATTACTTTTTGTAAATGACAACAAACATTGGATGTAAACAACAAATCTGTGAGAAGAACCATCATTTACAAAACGCAAATTTACATACTAAACCAACCAAACATTTCTATGAAAGATGAACATATAAAAAAAATTATGTCGTCACAAATTGAAACATAATTTTTTCATATATTTGCACAGGATGAAAGAATGATGCATTAGTTTAAATACTTAATTTTAACTGAGTATGCAATATTCAAAAAGTTAATTCCCAAAGCAAAATTACTCACATATATTACTAGTGAAATGTGGCGTTACTCACTCCAGCAGTTTAAAGACTCAGGAGTTGCTAAAATTGCAAAAATGTACTTACGTTGCTGAGGAGGCATGCCCTGTTGGTTTGGTGGAATCGGTGGTCGATAATTGGGCTGCTGTTGAAAAGCTGGATTTGGTGGAGCTCCCTGTTGATTTGGTGGCATCTCGTTGCCACTCTGGGGTGGCATACCTGGCCCACCAGGATGTAAACCTTGGTGATGTCCTCCCGGAGGACCCTGCGGGACTACGCCTTGTGGTGGCTAAAAATTAACAAAAACTAATTGATGCATCTATATTTAGAAAATGAAAAATGGTTCAGTTGTTCCTATATGGATTTAATAAATAATGGATAATTTGAGCAAGTGTACTTCCAGCTAAATAAATTTTTGTTGCATTTTTTTACTTACATGTGCATTCCTATAATAGGATCATGTCTGGATATTAAGGCTTATAATACACACATCAAATGCTACTTTTTTTTTACATTTTTAACTTTTGATAAAATCTCAGTGTCACATTTGATTATGCGTAGACCTGTATGTGTGGTATGGTATGGTATGGTAGAAAAGGATACTAGGAAGCGGGGTTTGCACTCCCCGGGCACTGCAGCCTTCTGGCTTATTGTACCTTCCCAGTTCCCTAGTTTAGTCAATAGACTCAATCCTTCTTCTCAGAAGCATCAAGTCATTGACTGTTATTGCTGCAATTTGGTTCCCTGTGTCTTTTTCGTACGCTAGGTTAAACCTCCATTGAGCTGTTGCTTCGCATTCGAAGATGATATGAGTGGCTGTTTCCTCCTCCTCATTACATAATCTGCAAATGGGGTCATCGCTGTATATACCCATGTTGTGTAGATGTTTTCTCAGATACCAGTGACCGGTTAGTAGTCCCACCACTCCTCTGAGTTTTGCCCTCTCCAATTGCAGCAGTGTTTTTGCCAATTTTGGTGAGGGTTGTTTCAGCATAAGTTTACTATGTCTAGCACCGCTAGAGTTTATCCACTTCTCTCTTTGTTTTGTTTGGATCCATTCTGCGATGGAGGAATCTATGTTTGTTTTTGTTATCCCAAGGATAGGTTCGGGGCCTATGTATGGTCTTGCAGATCCTCTTCTGGCCAGTTTGTCCGCCTCTTCGTTACCCAGAATTCCCCTGTGCCCTGGCACCCAAGATATCATCAGGTTGTTGTGTTCTCCCAGGTTTTGGAGATTTTGGATACATTCACTGACTAGTTTTGATGTAATTCTTTTACATGCCAGTGCTTTAATAGCTGCTTGACTGTCTGATCTTATGAGGATTTTTTTGTCAGTGTAACCTCTTTTGAGATTTTCCAGGACACAAGCATTGATGGCATGTATTTCTGCTTGAAAGACCGAAGTATACTTCCCTAATGAGTTTGATTGCTCATATTTTGGGCTTGTACAGAAAACGCCTGATCCGGTTCCTTCGTTTGTTTTGGAGCCATCCGTATACCATGTCAATGTATCTGGTGCTTTCCTGTGTTCTTCCTCTCCTTTATAGTCTGTTGAGACTTTATAGGAAGTTGTGAAGATTGTTTCCGGGATCATGTAGTCAGTCCCCATTTCTAACAATGGGTGTCTGATTTTATTGATTATGGTTGTATGCCCGAATTGTTTGGTTCCTTTCCAATTTAATTGTTTTTGGAGCCTAAATGAGCTTTTCCTAGCCTCTCCTTGTATGAATATTTCAAGTGGAGGTAGGTTTAGCAAGGTTTCTAATGCGTTTGTAGGGGTTGTTCTCATCGCCCCTGTGATACATAGGTTTGCTAATCTTTGTAAGCTGCCTAATGTTTGGGTAGCTACTTTTTGTTGAGCTTTGTTCCACCAGATTAGTGATCCGTAGGTTATTCTGGGTCTTATTACTGCCGTATATAGCCAATAGGCCATTTTCGGTTTTAGTCCCCAGGATTTGCCTAGGGTCCTTCTTGTGGTCATTAGCGATATTTTACTTTTTGCTACTGTATGTTGCAAGTGAGGATTCCAGGTTAGTTTCTTGTCAAAGATTATTCCTAGATATTTGACCTCGTTTTTTAAAAGCAGCATTTCATTATAGAAGCGTAATCCTTGTATTTCTATATTTCTTTTCTTGGTGAACGCAATTAAGGTAGTTTTTGAAGGGTTTACTTTAAGTCCCCGCTTTAAGCACCATTGTTCCACCAGGTTTAGTGCTCTTTGGGTGAGCTCTTTTAATGTTGAGTTGAATTTTCCCCTGACTAGTATGACAATGTCATCTGCATAGCCTTGGGTATAAATTCCTCTTTCATTTAGTTCACATATGAGGCTGTCCACTACCACATTCCACAGCAGAGGCGAGAGTATTCCTCCCTGCGGACACCCCCTCGCCACCACTGCTTCTACTTTTTCGTGGAACATGGAGACCTGCACTTTCCTGCTTTTTAGCATTGATTCTATCCATCTACAGCAGGTTTCGTCTGTTCCTCGCTGTTTGAGTGATGTAACCATTGCTTCGAAAGGAGTGTTGTCAAATGCTCAACGGTGTGTGTGTGACACTGTGATGTTTGATCATAGGTGAAAATTCACAGGTAAAGGAATAAATAAGTAAAATCCAGCTGAAAAAAGGGCAGTCTTGAGAGAGGCAATATCACCTCATCTGAGACTAATTGCTTCTTTTCTGTTTCTGGAACCGGTTCCCTTCTGTAAAGGCTAAAAGTGCATCTTTTTTACAGTAGATGTGATTAAAAACCAGAAACCAGTCAGCAACTGAGAAAACTGTACAATAAACTGTGCAGTTTATCATTAAAAAGATGGTCCAAATGCAGTTTTGATCTGCATGAAAACCAGTGTAAACTGCAGTTTTCACAGTTTATAGCTCAGACATGATATCACACATAACCGCATAGATAAATGGAAAGTATACAGCCTCAATAACAGTTTAGGCCTACTGCACTTGCAGCCCAACCAGACTACACAAGTAAGCCGATGGTTTAGCCTATAGTGTGCAGTGGTCCTAAACATGTAGTTATACTAAAAATTATTCGGAGACCCCCTGAAGAATTTTTTTTAAAGAAATGACTCATGAAAACATTCGTTTTCTTGACACAGCATCATCATATTTTAAGATTTTATTCTAAGAATTCGAGAAGAATGGAAACTTACGGGAAGGAGTGCTTGGATGTTTTGGTTCGCGTCTGCTATCGAAGCCAAATAAACCAAGTTTCTGTGTAAAATCTGTTGATACCTGAAAGAGTTTGATTACAGAAAGTGTGAAATAAGCTTGTGGAGTTGATTTTTTTTGTCGGTAAAGCAAGATCTCTACTCACTGCATGCATTCCTGCGCCTTCCCCTTGTTCTGGTAGTCCTGAATCGTTTGGATGAGCTGACTGTTTTCGTCGAGCATCTGTAAACGGACAACACGCTTGTCATTATCTGGAGAAGGATTTTATCAAATAAATGCGTACTTTTTGTATTTGAGCCGGGGTGGGCGGCTGCCTGGGGCCCCTCTGAACAAACGAGACGGACATTTTTGTTGATTAAACTCTATTAAAACTCTTATTGTTCGATAAAAACCATCCCTGGGTTTAAAAAGCTCACCCCAGAGAAGCGACACTCAAGTCTCAGATCGACGTTTGAGATTCATAAAGCGTTGCCAGTGCCGAACGCCTCATTTGACAACTACTAATCCAATATGAACAGAACTGCAAACAGATACCAATCGGACAATATATCAAAATAATAGATGTACATTTAAAAAATGAAGAATTCGATTTTCCCTTTAGGCAGATTCGTATTGAACATTGTATTTTGAAAATGTTCCCGTTTAAGATCATCGTGGCTTTGGCAGCCAAGTAGAGGGCCGAGTCACAAGTGTTCGTCGTTCGAGTCAAAATAGAATTAGTTGCAAATGGCGTCTCAAAGGGTTTGGGTCACTCCTTTTTTACTCTGACGTTTACTATGAATTCACGTAATTTTTTTGCATTTGACTTTTGGGTTCCGGGCAAAATCAACAACCTGAACATCCTCCGTGCAATTGCACAAAGCATTTCAACAGGTTTAAAATTGGATTTTTAATTCAATTCAACCACAAACCCACACAATTGTAAGTAAAAAAAACCGTCGTTTCGTTCAATAAACTTATTTTCAATACACCTTGAACGTTTTATTTGTTATATTCTATTTTATTTGAAAGGGAAATATGTGTTTGACCGTGTCCGATAGCATTTTTCCTTTAAAAAAGCTGACAGACTGCAACTTTTAAATGTTAATGGTTAAGGGGCATCTCCCATATTCCCATAAATTGATAATAAACTATGAGATAAACGTCTTACACGATTAATTTTTCAACATTTTTTACCGAAGTTGATACTAGTTTATAGAAAAAAAAATGTCATTACCGCCCAGTAATTCCATTTAAAAGTCTTTACCTAAAAGTAACACTTATGCTGAAAATTTTCTCCCGCTATTTTCTTCCACAATTAGAATGCGGCCGGCGTAAAAAAAAGAAGAAGATGGTCGGTTCTAAAGAATTGAACCGCCTTAGCAAGTTTTATCTCAAGAACTGAAAAGTCTGGCGTTGGCCGTGATTCATGCATTCTGAGTTCCACCACCCTTCGACCTCCCCACCCCTCTTTTCGCTTCTGTTAATCCCCCGTTGGATCCTTAACTTACTTTAAGTTTTATTTATCCATTCAATTTTAAATCCATCGAGCAATATTACATAAAATGTTAAAATTAAAAAATGTTACAATAGAAATATATATATATTTTTTTTTTAATCAGTTAATTTATTATTTACTTAGAAATTTAGTTTTACATATATACACTAACAATTTACTAGTTATTTTATAAATTATGCACTTATACATTTTTTTTAAGGCATTATCTTTTATTTATCTGATGTATAGTAAAACAATTTACAACATTCTGATGATTGGCTGCAATTAGAGTTATCATACATTTTTATATTAATGTGAAGACACTTTGTTGGGAACTCCACTGGATATACAATAATAAATTAACACTGAAGAGGACTCATGCCTTGAGATCGTAAACTTTTTGTTAAAAAAATAAAATTCCAGGCTCCAGTATATAATAACCTACAATACAAATAGTACAGTTCAAAAAATAGAAAAAAGTAAATTTTTTTTGTTATTAAAAATATAATGTAACTAGATGTCCATTGATTATAAATGTGATGTTATACCGATATTCCCCAAAATTAAATATATATATATTGCATCGTCATTATGCCTGGAGTCAACTTGATAAATGCTGATGTAAACTATCGAGCTAAGCTTCAAGACCCCTCTTCAACTTCAAATTGTAAATTTATATTAAATAAATGATTTTTTTTTAACAGTTTCACTCGTTGAACTATAACTTATATAAATAAATATGAATTAACTTTAAACAAACAAAAAAAAAAAAACAGCAAGGGGACTGCGGTGACCAAGGTATATGGATTATAGAGGGTTCTTTAAAAAAAATCATACATATGTACAAAAAAAGTCATTTCAACACAACTCTATATTGCATACACAAAAATTAAGCCGATTAAAATATTCATTTTTTTATTTATTTAAAATTTTATTCATTACTTCTTCCTATTTTTCACTCATTTTAAGCGTAGGTATATTTTATAAGAAAAATGTAGACCGACCTAACATTTCATTTTTAGTAGCAAAGGGAGGTTAGGGATTTGCTGAACAAAAAGAATAATTGAAAATTTGTGTAGTATATGTTTTTGTATGACTTTCCCTCTCACACACTCACTTACTCTCTCTCACACTCATTCACTCCACTCTGTCTATCTAATCTACCTCTCCCTTCCTCCCCTCCCCTAAAATAATGTTTCATTTCTTTTTCTTTTTTTAAACTTATTGAACTTTTGTTCAGAATACCAAAGTTTAGATTAGGTAGTTTTGAATTGAGTATTCACTATAGTTTGAAAGAAAATAATGTAAAGTAGTCTTAACTTTCTCTGAAAACTTAGAATGGGAAGTTGAACATCATGCACTGTCAGAAATTACTTATATTGTATGACTTTATAAAATACATCACCTTTTCTTTTTACACTTTCTGTTTTACTGAAAAATAGATATCATTCGAAAGGTAATTTTTTTTACATAGAATCTGCCGGTGCTATTAGAATTTTAATAATGTGTATTAAGCCGACCTGGTATCAAATCTTTTCTCACACATTTTGAGTCCTTCCATTACAAAAAAACCAAAAATTCTATCTGTGATTGATTGTAGTTAGAATAGGAAAGACTTTCAAAATGTTTGAAAAAAAGAGAACTACATTTTAAAGAAGAAAAAAAATTGTCCACCAGGTTAGCTTAACACCCCAACTTATTAAATTTCTAATAGCACCGACAGATTCTAGGTGAAAAATTACCTTTGGGACATACTTAGTTTTTACAATAGCATAGACAGTAAAAATAAAAGGTCATGTCTTTTATGAAAACAGGCATGGTTTATGGACCAAAAACCGTGAAGGCGTCTGATATGTAGAGAAAGGTTGCTCGGTGTGTCCCAGCAATTTCTTGGCTTAATTTAGAAAATGAGTAGGAATGCCACGTGTCGATAATTGTGATTGTTTACAACTACAAGTCTCTGGGTCCCCAATTCATATTGTGTGGTAACATAAGTGCTCTTCTGTATCTAATTTTTTATTTGATCATGCATTTCGTGTTAAATGTGTCACTATATTGAGTGTATTGCTTTTGTGTGTGTAGAGTGAGAGGGTTGAGGCGAATATTGAGTACTCGTATCACCCTACTTGAGTGAATGATATGTTTGTAGGAAATAATGAATTTAAGAGTAAGTGAATGTGCTTAGGGTTATTGCATGCATGGGACAATGACATAGCTGTTGAATAGTCCCATGAAAATAACTTCAGTGGGCAGCATGGACAAAACTGAATTCTGCCCCATAAAGCAGTAGGCAACTCTCATGTCTTAGTTTAGATACTACTTTACTCTTCTAGTTACTTTGTAGCAATTCAGCTAACTCTTAGGCCACAAATAGTGTTCAATATAGTTGCTATATTGATTAATATGGTACATCATTGAAAAGCAAAAGTGTATCTTTTATTTAAGGGTATATTTAGCTATACATGTAAATAGAAAAATATGTTATATTTATTTAAAAATTCCTTCCTGATTTTCATTAACGAAGAAAGAATGTTATTCATTTGTGTGATTTTACATTTTTTACGTTGGCCAAACGTATTACAACCTGATTTGTTTAATCATGCAGGAATATGTTAACATTTTCTATTTTATTTATTATGAGTTATATTGTTGATGTTAGCAAGATAAAGAAGTTTTGTTGATTACAATTTTAGTTTGGTTAGATTTCCTACTTTTCATTAAAATGTCAATTATATTTTAAAAATTGTTTATTGCAATAACTTTTTCTAAGATATCAAGTCCTCCATTTATTTTAGCTTTATTTTCCTTAATAAATTTAGTGTATCTTTGTTTTTCAGATAACGTTAAAATGAGCTGGAATAGAGTTAATGTTGGGGAGACAAATGGATTAAAAGAAGATATCCCAAGCACATCATGGGAGGTGCCTCTGACTCAACAGCACATGGTCCACGAGGCGATGCCAATCCTGGTTCCAACACCCATCAAAATACCACCTCCTGTCCCATTAGATCATGGTCAGATTGTCAACCCTCATCTCGCTCAGCCTCCACATGTAAATTTTTATTTCCCTCCAATGACAATGGCTTGTTTTAAATTTTTTTTTCCAGGGTCTTATTGCTAATTACATTGATGGTGAATTAACACCTGAACTCATCCAGCAAGGATGGAGGAAACACTGGAGTAAAAGGGAAAATAGACCTTACTTCTGGAATAAACTCACAGGCGAATCTTTTTGGGAAGTCCCAAGTATGAAGCCACAGGTTAGCGAAAGAACGTTTTTTCCAAAGTATTGTGCCAAATTTTTTTTTCATAATGTGTTATTTACGACGTATAATTTATTACAGTTTGACCCTGTGACTGATCCTTTAGGGATTGCACCGACTCCTATGCCAGCATTGCAGCAGGCTGTAAAACGAAGGTCATCTGATGAAGGTCTTGGTAGTCCTTTACCAAAAAAATTTGCTTTAGCGTATGTTTTGATTTTTCATTATAAATATTTTTCAAAAGGGTTAAATTATATTCTTGTGTTTTTAGTGGGCCATGGGATTTAGATGTACATACCAATGCAATTATTTATGAAAGAACACCTATAAACATTCCTCACCCACATCCTGTAGTAGAAATGTACCGGTGCACTCTTGCCACTAAGCTCAGAAATTGTTATCAAGAACTCTGTCATGCAAGAGAAAGTATGGGATATATTCCTATAATATTGTATAAATCATTACATTTCTAAATTAAATAATGTATTTTACTACATACAGATATAGATGCACCTAAGGATTCTTTTAACAGATGGCTTGTTGAGAGAAAAATTGTTGATACTGGCACAGATCCTCTTCTTCCAAGCCAATGCTACCCTGAAATATCCATGTCTATGTATAGGGAGATAATGAACGATATTCCAATGAAGCTTATACGACCAAAATTTACTGGTGATGCTAGAAAACAGCTTTCAAGATATGCAGAATCTGCAAAAAAACTTATTGAATCTAGGTTGGAAGTTATGAGTTTTGTCTTTCTTTCTAATTTACATAAATGACAAACTTCACTCTGTTTCTTGATAACAGGAATGCATTGCCGGAAAGTAGAAAAGTTGTTATGTGGAATGTCGAGGACACTTTTAACTGGTTGAGAAGGACTGTCGGAGGCTCATTTGATGACTTCCAAGACAGGCTTGCACATTTGAGGGTAAAATCCATTACCAAACATTTATATTTATTTTTATTGTTTAATTGCTGTATGTTTTTTGTTTTTGTTTTTTTATACAGGAACAATGCCAACCTCATCTAACAGAGACTTGTAAGGAATCAATTGAAGGCATTTGCCTTAAAATTTATCATCTTGCTTCAGACTATGCCAAGAAGGTTAAAGAAAAGCACTTAGACCTTTTGAAAGAACAAGGAATTCCAGGTATATTAACAAAATTTTATTTTATGTTGCAACATAATCAGTGGTCTATTTAATTTTTAGAGCCTAACTATCATCAAATTGAGCACTGTTCAAGGAAAGTGTGGTGTTATCCAGTTCAGTTTAGTACTCCTTGCCCGAGATTACCACAGGTTGATTTCTTTAGTGAAAGGGATCAAACAGCTCTCAGATTTCAAACAGACACTCCACTTTGTTTAAACGCTCAACACTTGCAAAAACTGGTATTTTTTCTTTACTTCTGGTGTTATTAAAAAATAATACTAATTTAATTTTTCTTAATTAAATATAGGAATTTTTGTATAAAATGAGCTGCTTTGATGACAAAAAAATGGAACTGTTCCTTCCGAGGGTCTGGATGGTCCTGAAGCGTTATAACACCTATTTAGGTGGCTCGCATTCAACTCAAACGGCTCTTCCTGTCTCAGTTTTTGAATGTTTAAATAAAGTGTTTGGGGTGACATTTGAATGCTTTGCATCCCCTCTTAATTGTTATTTTAAACAGTATTGTTCAGCTTTTCCTGATACCGACTCTTATTTTGGTTCACGAGGGTAAATATTTTTTGCTATTATGAATTTATTCAATATTGTTAATTTTATTTAATTTTTTAAGACCAATTTTGGACTTAAAAGCCGTGTCTGGTTCATTTGCTGCTAACCCTCCTTATTGTGAAGAATTGATGGAGGCAACAGTAACACATTTCGAACGTTTATTGAGCGATTCTACTGAAGCTCTATCATTCATCTTTTTTATTCCTGAATGGAGGGATCCGACATCACAAGCTCTGCTGAAGCTGGAAGCCTCGGTATTTAAAAGAAAGCAGGTTGTAGTCCCCAGCTATGAACACGAATACAGGCATGGTTTTCAACACATGTTACCGAAGTACGTTTTCTATTTGTTAATTTTAACATAAGAAATTTGTGGATGTTTAACAGCATGAATTTTATAGAACTGAGGTGAACGTGAAATCTGCCCATGGTACTGTTGTCATTTGGCTGCAAAACAATGCTGGATTCCAGTTGTGGGGGCCTGTAGAAGACAGGGTGGAATTGTTGTTAGAATCGTTTAGACCAGGACGAGAAAGGGAAAGGGACAGGATGGATCTGCGAAGTCCACAAAGAGTGGGAGGTGAAATAGTGCCTCAAACTCCAACACAAGAAAAACCAATTTAAGTAATTTAAAGTAAATTACATTCTTGTACAAAAAATATTAACGCTTGAATTTAGAAAATTTGAGGATTGTTAAGTTTTTTGATGCCAAAGTTCATTTTATCGTTAAAAGAATTTTATTTTTTGAATGAATTATCTTTGAATTTATAACATACAAATTAAGAACAACTTGCATGTTTCATTTATTCGGTGTTAATCTCATTTGAAAATCATATTAAGTTTTAAAACAAACATAAACGGCAATCTAATTCTAATTAATACTTTTTTTAATAAATTGAAACATCACTTCATTTTTTTATAGGAGTGAAGTTTAACAAAATATATACCACATATACTAATATTAATCACTTACATGCACATATCTACTGGGAGAAAAAAAATTGTGTGTGTTGTTTTGCAGTGTGAAAGAATGAAAACAATCATTGTCATAATGTTACATAAAATTTTAAAAAATAGTAAGAAGGTAAAGTTAAGTGCATGGCCTTTAAATAGTAGGAATAATAACTTAGAAGACATTCCTAACCCGTTACAAGAATATATTATTAGGGTATGATTATGGGTCCAGAATAATTTTTATTGCCTTTCAAGACTGAAAAAAAATTGTTTTTGAACCACAGATATAAAAGGTTTACATTGTACGAGGTGGGAAAGCATTCAAAATATGTACTTAAAAATTTAAAGTAGTAATTATTTTCATTAACAGTGATCTCCCAATACATATGTAATTGAATTGTTTATGTTTAATTTATTATTGAAACAGTGTTCCTAAGTTATCAGAATGTAGCAGATTTGGCAAATTTTTTATGGTTGACATTGAAATTACACATGTTATTTATGCTCTTGAACACCAAATTTTTCATAGTAGTAATTTTAGTAGGTTCTAATATATTTTATATTAAGTGTAAATATAGTTTTTATTAGTCACCATTTTTTTCTAATATATACAGTTTAAAAACGAGTGTTGTAAATATAAAATTGATTGTATATAAATAATATATTTGTTGAATATTTAATATAAACATGAAGAAAAGAAAAGTCAAAAAACAAAAAGTGCACACACAAATGAGCGTACAAAATTATATACACTTTTTTTTAAATATATTCTTCATTTAAACATTATAAAACAAAATTCCATAAAATTTTATATTCATTATAAGTTGATGCTATTGGTCTGTGCAATTGTACTTGAGAATAAAGAAGTTATTTTCAATGAATGGAACCATATTGGATGTAGATTATATATTTTTTGAAATTTTTAATACTATTTCCCAGGTGCAATTTATGTTTATTTGTTATTATTTAATTATTAGAGAGGTTTATTATTTTTATAAGTGAAACCCCGGTATATGAAACTAGATGATGTTTGGAATTTAAAATGTTGGCAATTAGATTATGCTAACTAATGTCCTCTATAGATGTAATAATAAAAATATAATAGTCATGTGTATACAACTTTTTTCTTTGTTTTTTCTTTCTAATTTTTTTACTCATCCAGCATTAAGTTATGTGAGATATTAGCTCATATTAGGTACGTGAAATATTTATTTATTATGAAAGATTTTCAAATTTCTTGTTGAATTATGTGCTTATGAAGTCTGGTTAAGTCATATGTCAGATCATTCCACCATTTTCAGTTGTGGGTTTTTATATGCATATAAAAAAGTAAAGTTACACAATTTCCAACTTAAATTTAGTTGAAAAATGGCAAAAAGGAGGGAAAATTCAAAAGGTGGGGTTGAGATGGGAAGTTAGTGTCCGAGTGGATCGAGGTCACGATAGCTCAAGTGGTAGAGCAGCGGCGTATCTAGCTGAAGATCGTGGGTTCAAATCCCACTAGTGCCATTGACTTTTTTATCTCAACTAAAAATCTTAATTAATTGTAATGATGGGGTACGGGCCTACTTAGGCTTTTAACGCCTCGGGTCCTGGTCGCCCGCCCTGCGTAATATATATAATTAATTGTAATAACTTAAATTTAGTTTTAAAATATTTAAAAGAGACAGGAAAGAATGTTTAAAAAATGGTTATGATGGAGTGAGTATATCAATTTAATAGTCGAAAAGCATAGTTCTACTCCACAAACTGTTTTTGAGTAGAACTATCCTTTTCAAATGTAGGAAAACTTACAATTAATTAAGATTTTTAGTTGAGATAAAAAAGTCAATGGCAAGAGTGGGATTTGAACCCACGATCTTCGGCTAGATACGCTGCTGCTCTACCACTTCGGCTATCATGACCCCGATGAAAAATGGCAAAAAGGAGGGAAAATTCAAAAGGTGAGGTTGAGATGGGACGTTGGTGTCCGAGTGGATCAGGGTCACGATAGCTCAAGTGGTAGAGCAGCGGCGTATCTAGCTGAAGATCGTGGGTTCGAATCCCGCTCGTGCCATTGACTTTTTTATCTCAACTAAAAACCTTAATTAATTGTAATATATTAATTGGTCAAGCGGACCATGAAATTAGTGAATGTAGGAAAAGTATTTGCTCAACTTAGTAAACTAAAGATGGAGCAGCAGACTCAAAAATTTTTAATTTTCAATTATGCCTTAAACTATTTGTAGATACTTTTGAATTGACATGATTTTGATCACTAATAAATTCTTTTATTAAGTCTCAGCACCTATATTCACATGTTCAGCATGTCTCATCATATAAACTGAGATATTTTCAATTTACATAGGGATTTACTTGGCTTAAGTAGTTTATTTTAAGTACAGAATAATACTTGTTGGTTAGTACACTCACTGAAAAAATGGCATGTCTGTCTATAGCCAAACTGCTGATTTTCTTTAAAGCCAGTCCCCAACATGCCAGGTAAAGATTTTGAAAAACCATTTCAATGCAGGGAAAAAAGTTTCAATTTGATTTAAATAAATAATTAATTAATTATGAATTTTGCCCCTATGTTTACAATAAAGTGACCAAACTACACTATCTGTTTCGAATGTAACATTTTTCTTTTGTTTTCTCGTACTTGCAATGTTTCCCAAAATGCTGATTCAAATTTCAGTGACCAATTTAAATTCATAAGGCCATTTAAAAAAAATTACCTCTGAACAACATGTTTCATAATTATATATATAATTCACTAGTTTTTGTGTAATATCTTTCAATTAATTAAGGTTTTTAGTTGAGATAAAAAAGTCCTTGAAAATTGGCAAAAAGGAGGGAAAATTCAAAAGGTGGGGTTGAGATAGGAAGATAGTGTCCGAGTGGATCAAGTGGTAGAGCGTATCTAGCTGGGGTTCGAATCCCGCTTGTGACATTGACTTTTTTATCTCAACTAAAAACCTTAATTAATTGAGATATACATATAATTTTAATTACTTCTTTTACTTCGATACATTTTTCTTTTCGTATTAAATAAAACTATTTTAAGTGTGTGGTGATTAGTGACTGTTAATCGATAATTATTCAGAAATTGTGAGATGCGGTCTGGTAGACGATTTCTGAATAACTATTTTAAGTATACTATTACTAGTGATGTATATTTATTTTTATAAAGTTCATTATGTATTAATATAAATACAATAATGTACATAAATATAATAAATGAAATGTTATCTAGCCAACTTGATGCAAGTACAATTTTGCCCAGTTGTATTTTTATGTACCTCTGGAAATATCATCATTGAGCATCTAGTATTCTGAAAGTGTTTTCTACTAAACACCTTGCTCTTGACAATATTAATAGTCAATTAAATTCACATAACAAATGAGTTCTCCAATTTCTATCAGCGTCATAGTTTCTAGTACATTGCCATGTTTTTTACTTATTTCTGGTTTTAAAAAAAGCCTCCATCGCTATTTCTTCCCTAAGTGGGGGGGGGGGAATTTGAAATTGGTATGAACTAATGCTAGGATTACTTTTGAACTGCACCCTTTATAGTTGAAATAATTAATTAAAAAATCCAGTATTAACAGATGGCAAAAAAAAAAAAAAAAAGGCACATTCAGGTATTTTAAAAAATGACACAAGTATCTAAGTCCATTTCAAACAATGTATTTTGATGCATGATGCCATTAAAACAATTATATTTATCATTCTGAAGAAGGTTCTATGAAAAGCTGAAAACTTGGCAAAAAAATACACCTACTTCATTTTTGATCTCATCCCTGATCTCAACTATCAATTTTATAATACAATCAACCAGTATTAAACCAGAGCAAAATCAAAGTTTGAATTCTTAACTTTGTAGACCAAATGACTAAATGTAACTATCTTTTGACTAAATAATTGCATTTGTACTTATTTTAGCATGAAAGAACATTAAAGATTTTATGGTGCGTTTTAGTAAAATAAAAGTTGTAGAGCACCCATAAGTTAATGTAAAACAATTTTATCAACTGTTGAGACGACTATACAACATTGTTTTAATTAATTTCAATACCAATTGAAAGTATAATAAAAATTGGTGCGTGTTCAAAACAAAGGACTAAAGGAGATAACATTTCAAACTGCATTTCAAGCAGAAGCACCTTTGTAATAATCACTCAAGGGGAAGCCCTCTGGGGTTACACTTCTCTAGTGTAATATGTTAAAATAAATTGAAACCGGTACTGCACACCCCATTCACTCACCGATTCCTGACCAGTTGAACTTGAATATAGACAATGATACAGGCATCAATTCAAGAGATATTATTTTAGGTCCCTTGTATTAAATCTGAGTTATACATTACTTTGAGCTTTGATTTTTATAATTTTACTTATACATTGCACATTTATTCAAATTTAACAAGATTACACCAATTTTCTATAAAAAGCTTGAACAGTTTATGGTAAATAAACTAATTAAAATTAAGAGCTAATAGGCTGCAAAAATGCAATCAAATTTTTTAAATATATTTTTTTTATAAATACATTTTTTCTATGGTATTGTATGTTCATTATAGATTTTATATAAAAACCTTTTAATAATTGACAATATTATTTTTGCTAATGAATATTATATTTTGATACAAGGACTACATAGAGTCTAACCCTATTTGTTTTAATTTAATATAAAAAAAATTATTTTAATACAATATTAACATTTTTCTAACACTTCCCATCTTAACGAAACAAGTGTTTACAATTTGACAAACATCAGTTACAACTAATTCATTTCATTTTGTGTGCGGCATAAAAATATTGTAATTTATTTAAGTAATGACATGTTTTACAAGCAACAAAACTTTAATTAAATTTTATACCACTAAAAAAATAATAAAATTTGAAATATGCTGAGGTAAAAGTTTATATTAAATTAATACTGGTAAATTACAACAAATTAAAATTGTAAAATCTGGCAAACTCAGCAGTAACTGAGCAATGGCAGGTGAGAATCTCGTAATTTCATATGGACATTTCCCCTTCTTCAGCAAGCAAATAATCAACATTGCTTCTATTAAGTCTTATTTTTACATTATTTAATGAGCAAGCACATTCCTTTTATTAATTACAAAAAGAGCTAATAAAACTGTGTTATCAAAAAATTAAAGAAAAATGTGTGCAATGTATAGAAATATAAATTGTCTAATCGCGTTTCACCAAGCTCGAACTTAATATGACTCATCAATAAAAAAATATGTTCAACCCAAATACTCATACATATTATATATTTTACAAGTACGAATAAGTTAATAGAGAATCAGTAGAATGTTATAAAATATTTCCAAATTTTAATAGCTGTTAAAAACTAAATTGTGAGGCAAATATTTGAGCAAATACTAGATTTGTTGGTTTGATTTGATAAATTTATTCTATTAAAAGAAGAGCATATTTATATATTTTTTACAATCTACAAATGTGGATATTTCAGGGTTTTTTCCTTCAAAAATTAGGAAGCATAGTTAGTAAGTAAGTAAAAAATAATTACAAACATTTTTTATCAACTCATTAAGAATTTTAAAACTTATATAACTTAATTAGCTTGCTATAATAAAGATTTATTTCTTGTTTTCCTATTTATATAATCACAGAGTAACTTCTACTAGGATAACATTTCACATGATTGATTTTATTTTTCAGTTCAAACAAATAGATAATGCAGAGTATTTTTTTTTTTTTTTTTTTTATTCATCTGCAAATATATGTACATTAAAACAAACAAATGATGATAAGAATCAGACTTTTTTAGTATTAGTAATGGATATTACATAAGAAATAAATAAATTATGGCAGAATATTTTGACTGAAAATGTGTAAAAGGAAATGCATATTGCATTAAATATTCAATGCATTAATTTAATACTGCATTAAACTCTCAAAATCCAAAAGAAAAAAATGTAATCAGGCAGGCCAGTTTCCTACTTTTCATATATAAATGTAAATTTGGCCCCTATTTATAGGTTTAAACCTGTATCTAGAAATAATTTCATTTTCTTCTTTGTCCAGTCTAAAAAAGTCACCTATTAATTAATAATTCTAGAAAATTAGGTTAGGTCCTTCCACTTACAACCTTGTTTTGATAAAAGTATTAAAAAGAATTTTAAAAATGAGATAAAATAAGAATTGGTATGCCAATGCGAATATTGAAAATTCTAGAAGACTCTTCTAATTCAAATAGCCTTATTGTCAAGAACAACAAAGTTTGATATATCACATAATATTTACCTCGTACTTCACTCTTTCCTTTCTTTTTAACATTATTTACATTTAATTAATCAGTATCACTAAATTGTTACATTTCTAAACAGAAAAAAAATATTGTGAAATTAATAAAAATATTGACAAACTCATGAAAGGATAGCAACACTCCGTCTCGGAGCTAAGTTGCCTATTGTGTTAACGTTATCTAAACTACTCCATTTTTTAAGTCCGTTTTTCAAGGCCTCAGCAGTGACCCGGTCTTCACAAATTCTGGACATCGCTTCAAGTTTTTGAGCCCTCTCCTTGCTCAAAGGCTCACCTGGAAAAGCTAGATCATTCGATTCAGCCAATGTACGAAGGTCAAAATAATACTTGGCGTATACACTTGACGGTACGTTAATATTGAATTGGAGCATTTCCAAAAACTGTCTTTCCAATTCATTCCTAGAAAGTTAAGGAACGGTTATATTAATGTAATTATATGTTATAAATGTCACTATCATTCGCCACTTACATATCTTCTACTGTTATATCTTTAAGAATCTGGCAGTAGTCGACATTCCAAACTGCTTGATCGTCCCAAACTTTTGATGCGAGTAAAATAGCTCCTAACACAATTCGTTTCCAATTACCCGGTGTAATATCAACATCAGCATACGTTAGCAACCTAGAAAGATTCTTTATATATTTTAAAGAAAAAGAAATGGGCTAATTACATGTATTTATTATTCTCAAGTCATTAAAATTTCTCTTCTGAGTATTTATAATTAGTATTTACAATGAATACTTACTTTCTTCAAAAATTATGACTCATTTCATTAATGTGATAATTAAACATAACTGAATGATAATAACAGAAATATAACTTCCAATTATATCATCAATTATTTATGTTTACTTATAATGCACATTACTCAATCGATAAAATAAACCTATTCACCTATTATCTTGTTAAAGGTGTAGATTATGTATAAAGTTTAAAATTTGTTTTTAACCAAACTATCAATTATTAAAGAAACTGGTATAATTCAACAATTTAAATCACACAAATGGCCTAATAAACTCATCTATAATAATCCTGAAAGGCTAACAAGACCAAATGACAAACCATTGTCCCCTTTTTTCCATTGTTGGTCTCTTTCGCCTCAAAGAAGCCAACTCAGAAAAATGAATTTCTTTCCCTACTTCCTTCCGCACTCCTTCAAAATCAACATATATAAACAAAAAACATTAATATCTTACTAACACTCTCAACAGACACAACAGTGATACATCTATACGGAAAACACACTTGAGTGAGTACAAATACTATGATTAAATCTAAAATCTCTATATTGTGTACATCATTGTAAAATTCATAGTCATATCTTATATTTATTTGTACAATTTAAACAATGTTTATGAATCCCAGGCCCAGAAGATTTTCTCAACAAAGATCAAACGTTCTCAAATAAAGATAAAGTAAACGTTTTTCTAAACCTACATCACACCAGATTGCGACTCACAATCTCTAAATAATCATTATTTAATGGTCATTAAATATTAAATAAATGATACTTTTAACTAAATATACTTCAAATTATAATCTTGTTTGAATTTTTCAACAGACAGGGGACCGCGGTAGCTGAGTGGTTAGCATGAGACTCTCACACCGCGGTCGTGGGTTCGATTCCCACCATCGCCTCTAGCCCTTTTTTCACGATAACCCCCCCAATTTGAACGCACATAAAAGAATTGTCACCATGGCTAATATGCATAGATCATAACGGAAAAAAAAAAAATTTCAACAGAAAAAATTGACAATGATCATCATGAAGAAAAGTTATTGAAACAAAATGATAAATACCTTTCAAGGTAGACTAGAGTTATGATGGCACATTCGGCAGTAAGCTGAGCTGAATTAAATAACGTCCTTATAAATTTATAAATCTGGCGATGTTCAGGATTGTGCTGGTCATAATCATCATGTACGCTGTCTCTCTATTATGATCACATATTATTTAAAAAATTATTGTTAAATAATTAAACAATAGCTACCGTTAGGGGATGTCGTTTTTCATCAAATATTTCCAAATATCGTTCCGATGTTCTGCTCTTGATGTGGTAGTATATCGCAAGAGAAACACATTTGACTGTGTTTTTAAGATTTGGTTGCGAAACTGTGCTGTCATCTAAATATATCGTTGAACAGGAACTACTCTTTTTCAGTCCTGAACTCCTCAATTCTGAAATCTGTTGTATTAACAAAATTAAATTAAAATATTATGTTTAATCAGTGAAATTACTTCATTGTGGTTCAGATTGATATTATTTTACTATATGTTACAACCGAAGTTAACACAAATGAGAGCTAAGTTCAATTCAATCTGGATAAATGATCCAAAATAATGGGAAAAATAAAAATATTTGAGCACTATCAGAGACTGCGGTAGCCGAGTGGTAAGGCATCAGACTATCGGTTAGTAGAATGGGTTCAATTTACACCGTTGCCTCTGGCCTTTTTTTTCTGAACAATTTTTCCAAAGGGGACCAGTGGTCATGATGAAAATTGATCTGGCAGACATCAATGGAAGGTCTAGGGTAGGATCGGATCTCAGCGACCCTAAATTTGGTCTTGACCAACCTGGTCGAAAATGGGTTTCTTTGATGGAAAAACATGGCACACCAGAGGCTCAATTCTTCCAACTATTGCAAGCCCCCAAAATGGAGCCAAGAGAAGAGTACAATAAGTCCTACGGAGCTGCAGTGCTCCAGGACCTTCTCCAGTTCCTGGTATCCACCACAGTATTTATTTTTTTTAAACATGCAAAGCTACTCTCCTTCACCAGAGAAAATCCTTGAGTACCAACCACACATGAGACCAACAAAGCTAAGTACAACAAGACAAACTTTCTGGATATCCCTGAAGTCTCAAAACAATGACAACACTTGTGCCATGATTGTCACTAAATTGTGCCTTAAAGAACAAGCAATGACATCAACCACACTAGTTCACTCATTATGTACTTTGAGAGATTTATATATTTATCAAAACTTCATTGTATAGTATCACCACAACCTTCAAGGAGATCAATAGTAATCCTGACAGCAGTATGCCTCAATCACACAAAGCATAGTTACAATGTATCCTTGGGTGTCAATCAACAAGCTTGACAATCCTGAAAGATAAGCTCGCCTAAAGTGTGATATTAACTTAATCCATGTTTTACCATATTAATTATTTTAATTAATTGTACTTTTTATCTGTCTTGCTTGAAATGAATCTGGTATTAATGAATTCATCTGATACTAACCTAATTTGTTTAAACTGAGAGAATAAATATAAAAAATAATATTTTATTCAACACATCCATTATGGGCGTTTTTCTGGATCGACATACTAAACCCTCCCCTTGTAAGGACCTCATCCCAGAACAACACCCCTTCTAAAGAAACCCCATTTCAAAGCTAGTTGTAGAGTGTTGGAGTTATTTTTGGAGTGGAATCGGTGTCACAGGACTTTAGTATTGCTTTGGCAACGTTACTGTGAAGAATGTTATTTCAATTTGTCATTTTGGATTTTTTTTACGATTAAAAAAACTTAATCAAAATCTTTACTGTATATCAGGAGAGCTTTACAAATCATTACCGTAAGTAACGTGTTATGGTGTGAGTTGTACAGCTTGTTACAGAGTAGACTTGATTAAAGAATTACCACCAAACCCTTCACCAAGAAAAATTCGATGAGAACACCTATTGACCCTGAACTTTTTTGTAGCATACTAAACAGCCATGCAGTTCTATTATATAAAGAATTACAAGTAAGTCCATGTTCACTGGGAATATAGCCCTGGACTGAGGCATGCGAAAAATTTCATTAAAGGACTATTAATTAAACTAACAAGTGATCTACTAAATCTAGGAGAAGAATAATAATAGGACTACTAACTGGACTCTGAGGGGAAGAAACAAGCCTGTACTGACATTGCCAAGACAGTGGAATGTCTTCTGTTGATGATGATGAGGAGGAGAAGGAGCTCTAGACAATAATGGAGATGTTCAATAAGATATGCACTGTGCCTATTTTGTTGAAGATAGTATTTTCTACCACAAAATCAGGATGGATACCATGAAAAAAGATGCTCAATAAACCAATTTTAAGGTTGTAGAGACTTACTCCTATTCTTAAATGAAAAATGTTTTTGAACTGTTGAATAAATAACAGTCATTTTCAATTGGGCAAATAATAAAATTGATAGATGAATTAAGATTCACCTGCTGTGAGTATAGATAATAGCTCTTGTAGGGTGTAGTAAAAAAACACCCTGAATTCATTTAAGTTTTTACGTCATTTTTAATATATATTGTTTTTCCTAACAAATAGGCAAAGTAAACAAAGCATCAAATTGATTGTTTTTCTTCATTACAACCTGGCAGAATGGAACATACATATGTGCAATATTAATGAAGCATTTGGTTATAAGAAATTTGCCAAAATTTCGATTTTGAAATCGTATAAACACCAATAATAGTGAATGATAAGCACAGCTATGTGTGAACACGCAGGAGAAACAATGTTAGAGGATTATTATATTTCAAGTACAAGAGTAAAAACATAAAGGTACATCACTATGATGAAAAGGGATCAAAGCATTTGACCAAATAGCAGGTAAGGTGTGTCAATCCACACTTGCCTGATATTTGATCATGAAATTTTACCTTGGAAAAAAAAAATAAAGAAAAAATAAATTAACAAACAGCGATTCCGGTCAAATGTTTATCTTCTATAATGATTACTAGGACTTACGTGATTTTGACTTTTCTTCCGTGATAAACCATCTAAAAACATAAATTTCATCACATTATGAGTCAACAGAGTAATGCTTGCTACTTGAATTATAATGACTGACTTTCGACTTTCGACCGTTCTAAAAAGAGAGTGCCCGCTTTGGGATGGAGCGAAGGATCCGTATCCCAATTTTCAAACTCCCTTTCGCTAATGTGTTGCAAGTTGCCGTTGCTCTCTTCGCCCTCCGGCAGGTACTCTTCAAAATGCGGCCTGTCTTTTCTTCTCGTAGGAGGTGTCGTGTAAGCACAACAGCTATTTCTATTCCCCATTACACCCGTTTTACAAGAACACCTACGAAATCGTTAAGAAAAAAGTTTTTTATTTACAAAATTGACGATTAAATAAATTTTCTAAATGTTCACGTACAATTGACTTACTAGCTTGTAAAATTTTCTTCTATTCGAATGAAGATCCACAATTTTTCGCATAGTTGGGTTTTTATTAATTAGCTCGAACATCACTCGGGTCAAATCGACTGATAAGAGGTTCAAAAATATAGGTTATAGAAACATTTCAGGTATTTCCTCTGTATTTGAGCAGGGCGAACGTTATTCGGAATCGAGGAAAACTACTTGTTGAGATCGAAAGATAAAAAACCGGCTTCACTTATGAAAAAAAAGTTCAAATAAAACGGGAACCTTTGATTTATCGTTGACAGAAAAATCACCCCAAGACCCAAGTATAACTACATAGTACATATCCCAACTAGAGTAAGATTCATCTCGGACGGCCAGGTTAGACATTTCTCACCCGGTTGATTTTTTAAATTTTTATTTTTTTAATTTAATGAAATTCTACAAACTGCATTCGTCGTTATTTCTAATTTACACGTTAAAACAAATCGGAATAGAAGCCGTTTGTCATGAACTCAAGAAAAAACGGAAGTATTATTTTCCAGTTTTACTTTTAGATCAACTGGTCAGATTCGGAAGGGGGATACAATAGCCATGGCATTCCCTTATTAATATTTATCATTCATTTCAAGTACTTAAAAAAAAAGACTGAATAATTTACTTAACATATAACTTCCGCTGAATTTAAAATACTTTAATTCATTAAAAATATAATATTTTTGGATAAAGCGGGGAAATAATTTTCAAAATAAATACTATATTCTATAATAATCATATAATCGCCATTAAAATGCAAATCTATCAGCATATATATTTCATGTACATATGTATATGTCGAATCAATCAAATCACACAGCTGTTTTTTTTTTCTTGTTATTTCATGTCCAAGAATTTCAAATATACTTACGATTAATAAACAAACGAGAAAATTAAACGTTTTGATATTACAACGCGTTTAAATTTTAGTCAAACATCTTTTTTTCCTCGATAAGTTCCCACCATTTTTGCGGGTAGAACAGCTCTGGCTGTGTAGTTTTTTTTCTTGATCTAAGTTTTTGGGGTTTAATTCTTTCAGTTTAAAATTTTCAAACAATAATCTAGACGGAAACACCTGAAACACTATTAAACAACTTTAACAATGGCACATGACGTATTTTTTTTTACTTGTAATAAATTTAAATAGAAAAACGTAAAAGATAAAAATAGACAACAACAACAACTAAAATATGGATATTGTTTACATTTGGTGAGTGGATTTATTATTGACTTGTGAACAATTCGAAAATGAGTGATCGGTGGTTTAGATTAGTGCTTTTATGTTTTAATGGAAAATGGAATTTTGAGTAAATCATGTCAATGGACTTAAGACAGGAGGCGAAGAGTTAAGTACTAAAACCTTCAATTCGCAAAAAAATGTTTTATATCTTACATTTCATTGTTTGCTGATAACGCGAAAAATTGTTTTCAATAAGCGAAGTACAGTTAATTAGACTAATACAAAACATTAACAAATGTATTTGCATATTTTTGGCCAAGAATCACTAAACTTTTCATTGCTCCGAATCCAAAATCACACAGATAATCACAATAAATGTCAAATCGATAATATTTCAGTCTTAGAATGCCTTGGTGTTAACAATATTGATCCGTTAAGAACACTGAACACTTTTTTTATGAGTGTATTGTGTTTAATTTATTTTTTCGTATAAATGACTTTTGTTTCAATTTCGAAATTGCCTCCTTTTTATTCCGGAGTAGATTGAATTTTTCTTGTTATTTTATGACATATTTAATACTTGGTAGTACAATGTGTTTAGCTTTATATATTATGACAAAAAATTATCCTCTAAAATAGAAAACGTTTTAAAATTTTTTCTCTCTTTCTTTTAATGTTGACCAGATTTTGTTTTACAGGCCTAGCACTTATTGTGGGTAACCAGTTACGCCTGCGTACCTCGGCCCCTTCTCTTTTGTCCGACACCTTCTTTAGGCCATTATCAGAAACATACAGAAGAAATCTAAGTTTTCTCTCAGTAACACAATTCAAATCAAATCAAATCAAAACTTTAGAAGTGAATAATGGCCGTCACAATCGAAAACGTTGATTTGGAACTGAACGAAGACAAAGATGAAGTCATGCCGCCAGTCAGCGAAAAGTAAGAATTATATTTTTACAGTTTTCTGATGGTTTTCTAACAATCTCTGTAGTATTATTTATTTTAAAAGTCCTAATAGCTAACGGGACTGGGCCGCCCAAATTCATACCAAGCCATTCTAACTAGTCCTAAAGTCGCCATGATTACATGTCTCATGATGTTTTGTGAAAAAAGACAATAATTGATTTTTTAAAGTGTTTAGTTTATTCCGTTATTATACGTAAGAACGAAATGCAAAGTTAGACCTAAGTTTTTGTTTTTATTTGATAACTTCACAATCAATTAAATATGACTCGTCAATACATGGTGGTTTTGTATAATTACGCCACCCAGTCCATTAACTGTCATTTATGCTCTAGAAACTTAGGCTGCTTTTTTTCTGCCTTCATAATGATATTTTAATTTTTTGTATGAATAAATGAAAAACTTTTATTTACAAAATTCAGTAGAGAGAAGAAAAACATACCAATAGTAGACATTGGATCGAAAAATCCGTCTGCTGGTCACCATGTTAAAACAACGAAAATTCTATATGCATTAAAAAAAAAGAGAAAATAAATTACTTCAGTAATAAAATCAAAAATTAAATTCTTTTGTCAGCTCGTATCTGAAGTTCCGAGCCTGCCTCACAAACCCAATTAAAGGCCTAGATCTGAACCCTCCAAAAACGCAGAAATTCACCCCTTGACAGAGTGAAGCAACCTAGATGAAGCAAGTGAATCTCTCCCAGAATTGAACACTGCCAATTGCAAAGTGAAAAGATGCCCTTCTCACCCCTATTCCTCACAGCTGAGTTCAGGTGAAGAGCCTCGCAGTGCATTTTAAAAAACCAATGCAGTTCAACCAAAGAGTAACCATTAAAATTGGGCTTCTTCAGATCGAACAATGCTGGAGGACCCCTTAATTCTTTATGTAATGAAAAGTGCACCAGGCTCGTGGCACGATAATCACCTTCACTGCGGTGTTGGTAAATCCAAGTCAAGAGAGCCGAAAATTCAGTGCTCCAGTTAGCGATATTTTCCAATAACTGGGAGAAGCCAATGTCTTATTTCGCAAACAGTGATTTCCAGATGGAGAACCAAGAAATCTCCAATCGAACTATTTCAAGTGAGGTAATTTTTGAATCTTGAATCTGGAGAACCTAGCATCTCTAGGATAAACGAAAAATTGCAGCTTGAGAGTGAACACAAACAGTAGATCAGTGGCATTTTCTAAATAGATGAGGTAATTTGTTGAGAAAAAAGTTTTCTGATGAAATATTGCTAGACCTTTTCCACAGCTTTGAATCTCTGAAAGCCCCCACATCTGACACCCATAGCAAAAAATCGTTCAAGACACAATTAAATATATTAAACATAACATTGATTGAAATAACTCAAGTGGAAGAAGCACCATGATATTAATCTGGAGGGCTTAGGTTCAAACCATGCTCATAACTGTACTTTTTCAATTCGACTGCACTTTGCAATGAATCAATTTAAATAATTACTTGGTTAATAGTAAAAAACATACATAAGTTAGTAAAAGTTGCAGTTGAATTGTAGTTAAATTTTAAACTTAAATACATACCTATTTGACAGTAACAGTTTCTTTCATACCTCTAAGAAGAGGTTTATAATAATTAATAAAATGATAAATTGATCATAGAATGTAGATTTGGTTGATTTCAGGCTGAGATAATTCTGTGCTATTCGTCTCCTATTGCATCACAAGTTCTGTACAAACAGTACTCTAGTTATCAACCCCGATTCGTTTATTTATTTTACTATATTATTATTGTAGAATAATTTCGCACCAGTCCAATTTTAGGGCACTCTCAACAAGACATACATTAATGACATCTACCCAGAAAACAAACACTTTGAGCCCTGAAGATGACCTCAATTAAGATCGAAACGTTGGCACAATACAGAAAATGTTTTTCTAAACCTATGTCACACCAGACCATATCACACGATCTCCAAATAATCATTAATTAACAGTCACTAAATGCCACAAAAAAAAAAAATGTTTAAAAGGTTATTTCAATATTGTTTTAATCTTTTATTAATTTATCTGTTAAACGATTTTCCAGTGGCTGAAATAATATATAATCTGATGAAGAAAAAGAAGAAACTTTATTTACATTTGAGAATTTACATAATTGTGTTATCATGTAATTAATTTAACAAAAGCAAGCTTTTATTCAGCTTAAGTCTTCAAAAATACTCAAAGTATTACAACCCAATAGCCACTAGTTCTGCTGAGTGTATGGTCATTTTTGAGGGGTTTGAATTTTTCTCAAAATTTTAATTGAGGGTCTAACATTGTGCAGCCTACCATACCATTGAACAAAATTCCTTCTCCATCATATTCTTTATCGCACCTGATGAACTGGAAATCACGGAATCTAACATTTTGATTTGGTAATAACCATTTTTCGGACAGGATGTACAATGCTCTCCAGATATCCTTTTTTAGGCAGTAGGGATTGAAAGTTCCACGAAATAATTCTTAAGTTTGATTAGTCATGTTGGATTGGTATATGGTTGTGCACTTATTAGATTTTGATAATGGACAGCAATAGTATTTATTGGTCTTAGTTCATATATGTGTTTTGATACTTATTATAATGTATGTTTGATTTTCCTTTATAAGTAATGTTAAAAATTAAGCCTATTTTGTGAAAAATTTCAGTATTCTCAATTAATTATACACAATTTTTTCGAATTGAAAAATTATCACAGGCAGGATCTAACCCATGACCTTCAGCTCAATAAGCCACAACTCTAACCACTTGAGCTACTGTGACTTTGATCACCCTTGCCACAAACATCTCATTTTGACTCCCCATTTATTCCAGTTGTATTATTTCATTTCAGTACGGTGTGTTCTCTAATGTCAGAAGCTAGTTTGGACAATTTCTCAGCAGTTAAAGTTGTTAAGGGATTGAATTCAAATGGTTTATGGGCATTGGAAAAGGATTGGAGCATTCTGGGTTTTTCTTTGAGGTCATTTTCAGAAGTGACCATTTTTGTTGCCATGTTGGGCCTTCTAAAAACTCTACGTACTAAATGTGATAGTTTCTAGAGGATATTTTACATGCATCTCCCGATTTTTCGTACCATGCATTCTACAAGCAAAGGTTGTACAGGTGATTGCATTTAGCGAACATTTCTACAACTTAAATCTGAATCTACATTATGTAAGCGTTTTTTTTTTTTTTTTTTGTCAGCAAATCTGAGATGTAACTGAATGTTTTTCTTTCTTTTGATTTTCTGACTCTACCAAATAATTTGCTGTTTCTTTCGAAGAAGTGGCTAGCTTAATTCTATTTTTACCAGTCACTCAAATCTCGTTGATACTTTTTGTAATTTAATGCCTGGTTCAACCACTTACTATAGAGCATGGGGTGGGCTTTGCCCTACCTATATTACCTTCATTGCTCTCATTAAAAACAAAGTATGGGCCTGCGCCATCTTACTGAACCTATTTTGATATGTGTTTAAAATTGTGAACGTCTGGTTTATTTTTGTATTTGCATATTGCAGATTGTCATTTTGGAGTAAGATTTTTATTTTCTCCAATCTCCTGTCTATTATTTTTATCACTATTTGGAGATCATGAGATGCGGTCTGGTGTGACGTAGGTTTAGAAAAACATTTTCTTTATCGTACCAACGTTTCGATCTTTATTGAGATGATCTTCAGGGCTCAGTGTTTGTTTTCTGCGTAGTTGTGTCATTGTTGTGTGTCGTGGCACACAATAATGACACATCTACACAGGAAACAAACGCTTTGAGCCCTGAAGATGATCTCAATAAAGATCGAAACGAAATGTTGACAGACAAAGAAAATGTTTTTCTAAAACTTGTCACACCAGACCGCATCTCACGATCTCCAAATAATCTTACATAAAAATATTAATTAATTGAAAGAAGTAATTTGGTTAATAGACTACTAAATATAAATAATGGATTGAAAATAAAGTCAAAATTGGTTTATCAATATATACCTATATAAAACTTTAATTTTTTCTGATCTTATCTTTATATGCATATATAGGTCCATATGTAAGTTAAAAATAGGATAACGTTCCTTAAGTAATTTATTGTTTATACAATAATGATATTGTTTATACGATAAAAAAAAGTCTACGTCACACCAGACTGCATCTCATGATCTCCAAATAATCATTAACTACCAGTCACAAAATACCACACATTTTTATCACTTTTTCTTCTTTCGTTTTTTAAAATTTGATTCCTTCATTACCACATTCTTAGAGAAATCAGCTTTGGGGGAGTCTCTCCTCCACTCTCTTCTCCCTTGGCTGGTTTAATTGAATGGTGAATTAAAAGTCAGCTTTTTCCCTAAAAGATTTTTATATTTATTGCACTAAAAGCAAAAACAAAGGCAAGCAAAAAAACAAAAAAAATTTATACATTTATGTATTCATTAGTAGTTACTAAATTACATTAATATTGGCATTTTTCGTAGGGTGGCAGAAACTAAGAAGGAAATGGGAAATCACCTGTACAAGATCAAACAGTATGGCAAGGCCTTGAGTTACTACACAGAAGCAATTAGTAATTTTTTTCTATAGTTTGTATAAATGTAATTTGAATTTTACTTGAAGCTTTCTAAACATTTTATTGTTTTAGACCTTTGTCCTGAGAATGCAGCCTACTATGGAAACAGGTCGGCATGTTATATGATGCAAGGTCATTATAATTTGGCTTTATCTGATGCACATCAGGCAGTTGCCTTAGATCCTAAATTTGTTAAAGTAAGATAGTATGTATAAAGATTACTTTCATAGAGTTCTTATGGGAATGTTTGATTTGATTAGGCTTGGATTCGGATTGCTAAATGTAACCTAGCTATTGGAGACACCGCAGCAACTGAAAATGCTATTGCAAAAGTTAAGGAACTTGATGAAAAAAACACTTCGCTGGCAGTGGATGTAAAAAATTTAGAAATGTTTAAACTTTACAGCAATGATGCTCACAAGGCTTACAACTCTAAAGACTTCAGAAAAGTATAATCAAGTTAAATCTGATTATTTCTCAAAATAGGTCAGTGGATACAGTTTACATTTTAGGTAGTATTCTGCCTGGATAGAGCTTTAGAAATTGGGGTTGCATGCACAAGATTTAAAGTTCTTAAAGCTGAGTGCTTAGCGCTGCTGGGGCGGCTTCAGGAGGCTCAAGAATTGGTCAATGACGTTCTCACCAAAGACAAACAAAATGCAGATGCAATTCTTGTCCGAGGAATGTGCTTTTATTATCTAGACAATGTCAGTCGAGCATTTGATCATTTCCAACGGGTTTTAAAATTGGCTCCTGATCATACTAAAGCAATGGATATTTATAAGGTTTGCTGCTACTTTGTCCATTTGGATTTTTTTTTTCTTGTGTATAAAATATATTAAAACGTTTTATTCTTTTAACAGAAAGCAAAAGCTTTAAAGCAAAAGAAAGAAGAAGGAAATGAAGCCTTCAATGCTGGGAAAAACAAAGAAGCTTATGATCTATACAGCGAAGCATTGCTTATAGACCCAAATAACAACCTAACAAATGCCAAACTATATTTCAATAGAGCAACAGTGTCGTCAAAAGTATGATTCAAAAATTATTTACTGTTATAATACAATGTTTACACCCCTCAAAAATCTAATTTTTAGCTTGGGCGGTTGAATGAAGCTATAGCTGATTGTACAGCAGCTCTTGCTCTTGACCCTGATTATTTAAAAGCCCTACTAAGAAGAGCTAAGTGCTACATGGATCTGCAACAGTTTGAAGAAGCCGTGCAGGATTACAAAAAGGCAACAACAATGGACAAATCCAGAGGTAAATACTATTGGACATTTAAAAGTGCATGTGAGTAACCTTCTGTTTACATCTTAGCTACAAAACTTCTATTGAATGAGGCTGAAATGGAATTAAAAAAATCTCAAAGAAAAGACTATTATAAAATATTGGGAGTTGATAAAAATGCCACAACAGAAGATATAAAGAAAGCATATAGGAAACGGGCACTTGTTCACCACCCTGGTATATTTAATAAATATTTAATGCCTTATTTTTAATATATACTTGAATGTATTTTATCATTGAATTATTTTACATTTTTAAATAGATCGTCATGCAAATGCATCAGAAGGTGAAAAGAAAGAACAAGAAAAGAAATTCAAAGAAGTTGGAGAAGCATATGGAATCCTTTCAGATCCTCAGAAAAGAACCAAATACGATAATGGTAGCTTGGTTTATGACGATTGCTTTGGAGGAATGTCAGGTTGTTAATGTTTCAATTCTTTTTTTTAACTTTTGGCTAGAAATTGTTTGTAATTATTTTATTTATTTCAACAGGGGCTGCTGATGTGTTTCAGAATTTATTCACCAATGCAGGTCCTCATATATTCACTCATACCTTCCCCGGTGGCACGTTTGCATTCCACACTGAATAAATTAGTTATAGTTTATTGAAACCCTTACCTGATTCAGTTTGTTTCAAACTCAATTGAAATATCTGGATTACTTTTTTTATTGACTGAATTTTTATAGACATTTGTGTGTTCAATTTATGGGAAAGCTTAGCCTGTACATAACTTTTTTTCCATTTATCTCTTGGTTGGTTAAGAATACTTTGTGATCATTTTTTATGTTTAATTTATTTTTCTTTTATATATTATTTTTTAACAATAATGCACAACAAAGAAAGTTGGAGAATTGAAGTAACAATTCAAAATATAAATTGTAAACTTATCAACTGATTTTGCTCATATCCGTAAATAATTTTCTTTATTTAGAAATTGTTCATTCAGTAGCTTATAGTTTTTTATACTGTTCATATAAAAGTTTACATGTCCGTCCCTGTATTTTAAGTTATTTACTTTAAAGAGCTGATTGATCCTTGTTGCAAGTGAATGCTTGTGCTTGATTTTGTATGACTTTTCAACATTCATTGGATGGAATGAAGAATTTTTATTCAATTTTTTTTTTTTTTTTTTTGTCGCAGTATGCAATCTTTGCCTATAAATATATATGTATAAATATATCGTTTGCACCATTATAAAAAAAACAAAAACATTTTGACGTTCAAAAAGTTGGTGTAGGTTTTGGTGGAATACAATTGTGAAAAAGCTTTAAGACATATTTTATAACATTTTTTGGCACAGAAAATAAAAATGCGAATTGACAAATGAGCTGAATGAGTAGCCTGAAGAATGAATGAATGGGAATGTCTAAACAATAGGTTAAACATAATTTACATTTCTGTCCAAAATTTTCATATCTGTCACTATTTTGCCAACATTGGACTGATGTCCTGGGGATTTTTCCCATTTTGTCACAAAATAGTTGCAGTTGCTTTTTAATTGTCACTATAATGTCAGGATTTGTCAAAATGAAATTCTTTTCAAAACAAACCCTATTAATTTAATCTATAAATTGATGTAAAACAATTTTAAAATTTCTTACGCCATTTGCAAATCTTATTATCTTTTTTAAATTAACAAGTTTAAACAATAATAAAATCTCAGGAAATTGTTTCATTTCATTTTTTCTTTTCACAGGAAATTTTGTATTCCCTTCCAGTGCAGATTCATATTATTGTTTAAAATAATAACTTTAATAGTGCATAAACACTGCACTGCACATTTATGTATTAAGAAAACATACACAACTGTTTTATGAGATTTATTTAGTTTTTTTTGCTCTCTCTAAAAGTATGTGAAGAGTGTAAACGTGCCGTTTTTAATTTTTTAAATATTTTATACTTTAGTATGTACTTACTACTGCTTTGAAAACATTGTTTTAAAATGGTGTTAATATAATGACATAAATTGTTTAAAATATTAATAATTACTATAATTTTAATAAATACAACTGCAGATACAGATATGTTTTTGACAACAGTTTTGTATTTCATGTATTTTGTAGTAATGAGAGAACAAAATTAGGAATAATTTATAAGTTTGATGTTATGCAGGTGTTATTTTATTAATAATTCTTTGTTGAGAACAATTGGTCATTAAAAAATACAAATAAGGAATAAGAACATCAAGGCATTTTAAAGAAACAAGTCTTTCATGCAGTGGAAATACACAAAAAATTAATTACAAATAATTTTTTTACAATAAAATTTGTAAAATAAAATCAGCTTAGAATAAGTCATATTTTCATTTAAGAAATTGTCAAGGATTTATTTGGTATGAGCATGAAGATAAGTTTGTGTGTTAAGTATGAAGACGAAAGTGTCTTTGGAAGGAGAACTTTGAAATCTCGCTCTCGAAATATTTTTTCAAACATTTTCTTCTGTATAAACATACCTGCAAACATTAAATTTACTTTTTTGTATAAACTAGTGTATGATTCACATATCCACTAATTAAAAAAACAAAAAACCCATGGTAGTTTATTAATCAAGTTTTTATTATTTTTAACAGGTGAAGCTGCATTTCAGGAACGGATGTTCCAAAGTTTCTTCAATACTGGTCCTCATATGTCCACTCATGAATTCCCTGGTGCCACATTTACATTCCAAACCTCATAAACTGAATTACCTAGTTACATTGAAGTATAGAAAGTTGTTTGTTTTTCTGTAAATTATACATTGTTTATTTGTTCCTATATTGATTTCATGGCATCAGTTTGGTAATAAAAAAAAAATTATGTTTGAAAATACAAAAGTATAATAATTTTCAATTGTAAATACATCAAAACTGTATATATGTGTGCGACTTATTATAAAGATATGTTTTTTGTTTGTTTTTCTAATTTGTCATTTCAATCAGCCGACATTTTTGTTTGTACAAATTTTCTGAAAATGCACTTGCCCTACATTGTTACTTCTTGTTTATTTCTCAACTACCTTCTCCCTATAAAATAAATTAAAATATTTAGGATATACCTTATACTATTCTGCTTTTATACAGGGTGTCCTTTTTAGAAGGCCTTGCAGAATTTCTCTTAACAGATAAGGCTTATTGATAAACAAAAAAATATGTATTTAGTATTTTTTAGTGGCTTTAATTTATTTTTTTATATTTGCTGTATGATAATACAGGAACTTCAGAGCCAGTACAACTTTGAAATTTTCATTTTTGAAAATGGAAACGTACATGTTTTTAAGCATTTTTTCACTGAAAACAATGGTGCAATCAGATTATCATTATTAAATTATCAGATAATTATTATTTTCAGCAAGTAATTTATAAATTTTAATAATTCTGTTTGTTTTTAAGTAAGTCATTGTTAACAATAATGCCAGGTGAAAAACGTAAAAATAAAATAAAACGTTCTAATGGAATGATAAGTGATTGAACTGAATTTCTTGGGATGATATTGATGGTTCTGCTAGCAGTGGGTGCATACATTTTTACTTAACGATCTAGGATTTTTAAAAAAAAGGTACTCTTCATGTTTCAAATAACAATCAGGAAGACGTAGACATTCGAAAGACACCCCACCCTAATATTTGTTGTTCTTGTTTCTTGTTTAATTGTTATCACCCTAAGAAATTCAGAAAACTGTCTAGAACCAAATTAAAATAACAATAAAAATAATTTGTTGAAGTAATAAGGAGATCAGAAATGAAGTATGTAGAAAAACACATTTTTCAATTTTTTGCCAATGTTGCGACCTTTATTCAGATCATCGTCATGGCCTGGGCAAATAAACCATCATTAACAACACATTATTTAATGTCGCTAAATAACATAGAAATAAATATGAAATTAAAGTATTTCTTTTGACAATCTGTTCTATAAATTTGTTATTCTTAACAAATTTAAATTCTGATTGTGCCTTCGTTTTCAATTAAAACACGGGATAAAAAGTATATTTTCTCATTTAAAATTTCAAAGTTGTACTGTCTCTGATGACAACTTACTGTATACTGACAACAAATATTTAAAAAAGCTGTAAAAGTATTAAATACATATCTCTGGTTTTTCAATAACGTTACCTGTTCAAGAGAAATTCTACTGGGTCATCTAAAAAGGATTCTGTATACACATGTGTATTTCTCTCTGGAGAGTGTGTATCACACATCTATGAATATGTATGTAAATGTTGGTTTTGTTGAGTCCTTTTATCATGGACAAACGTGTTTAGGTTTTTGTAAAAATAAAATTAGAGATGTATTCTGGATTTACAATTTTAAGGCACATCGCTCTCTTCTTGTTCAGGGACTTCGGGACTCTGACTACACTAAAAAATATTAAACATATCTTTCTTTTTTTTTTTTTTAATAGCTTCATTGGTTCAAGAGAAATTCAGGCGGGCCATCTTCAAAGGACACCTGGTGTATGCAGTTACTACTATACATGCACTTGTCACATATACAGTAAAAAACAGAATCACTAATTTTGCAAGATGTTTCTTGTGTTTCTTTTTATAATAAATTCTGGATGTTCTATTTACTTGTAACATAACTAAGGCAAAAACAAATAAGGTAAAAATTAAGGTACATACAACTAATAAAAAAAACCTTTAAATATATTTTTTTAAACTTTTCAACAGTTTACTTTTATACATGATGAACAATAAATCATCCTTCCGAAAGCTTTGGAACGAAATCGTCTAAAGTCATCGAATGTAATTTGAGTAATTCAGATATCTCATCATCTGTATCAATACATTTTTCATCGTATTTTGATCCAAGTCCCCACAAGGATTCCAAATCGTACAACTCTCTGCATGCATTCGACATTATGTGTAAAATTATGTTACCTGAAACATTTATACATTGCTTAGTATTTGATTCAATAAAATTTATATATAAATATATGCATTAGTTACCTAAGTCTAAAGCTACCCAGTCTGAATTCTCTCCTTCTAATTTTGGTATTATGTCACTTGAATTTCGTTTTTTCTTAAATGTCCTTCTAACAACTTCACCGACCCCCATCAGATGCCTTCTAGATTTGGCAGATACAATTACTATATAATCGACGTAATTTAATTCCTTTGGAAGTCTGGCTACGAAAACATTTGTTGCCTTGTTCTCATTTAGAAGCTGAATTAAATCTTCTATGTCAAAAACTCCTGTTTTTCCTCCTGCAATTGGTCAAATAATTTTTTTTTTTCAAAATTACAAATATAAAACATTTTCAAATACTAAATATTAAAAAAAAAAAATCCCTTCACAGTGCATCATAATTAAGTTTTTTAAATTGTATTATTGGGGGAAGGGACATGAAAAAAGGCCAGGGGCTAATGGTGCGAATTAAACCTAAGACCCGAGATTCTATGGCGCTGACCACTCTGTTACCATGTTCCTTATAATCAAGTTAAAATGCATAAAATAAAAAATACTCTGAGTTTTAAAGTTTGGATATTTTTTAAATAGGCAAATTAATATTTGAACATTGCCAGGTTCAGGAAAACAATTATTCTGATGCCATTAAGTTCAGAGTGTTTTTTAAAAAATTGTTTAAGTTTCCCAATTACATCAGCTGCATAAAATAACTGATAAAATATTGCATGCTTTTGAAAGAAAAGAAGTGGGTTTGAACTATTCCTTTGACTGGGTATGACATCAGGGAGTGCTTGCAAAAATAAAAACTGAACTTTCTGACACACTAGACTAGGGGTCGGCAACTTACGGCCCTTTGCAACTTTTTGTGCGGCCTGCCAAAGCCCAATATAATTTTAGGAAAAATCAACAAACTTAGAGTGTGAGCGTGCCGAAATGTGGCCAGTGACAAAAATGCGCGGTGGGATGTGGGAAATGGGAAACCTATTTTACTGCGCAAGTTTAATTCCCACTCCCCATAATAATATTTATACTCATATATGATGTAAAAAGCACTATTTAAGTTACATTTGAATGTGCGGCCCGCATAAAAAATTTTATTTTGAAAATGGCCCGCCGTCCGAAAAAGGTTGCTGACCCCTGCACTAGACAGAACTGTCCAATCATACCAACAAATCCCACTTTTGTGGTGAAGTGTGATATCCAGTTTCAGTAATGTAAGTGCTGGAGTATCAAAGGGTAAAGAATATAAATTCTTAAGAATCAGAATAATTACAATGAAGGAAAGATTAACTGAAAGCAATCATTAGGCGTAGCAGAATGAAAGGGCATAAGTCTACATTTTGTACAAAAAGGGTTAATCAGTACAAAAGTTAAGAAAGGAAGTAAACAAAGGATTATTTACCGTTTATATTGACTTTGAATAGCTCCTAATTACCTGTAACTAATGTAGAAGGATAATTGATTTAATTTTAAACTATATAAATTGAGTGGTGCGTTAAATTTGTTTTGCAAGTGCAACTTCATTAAATAAATGATCATAGGCAAGCAAGTTCCTCTGAATCAGTAAACTATCCACGATTTCCAGTTACTATCCACCATTGCAGAAATTTTCACATAATTGACAATAAGAACAGATTACTCACTGATGTAACATTTCTCTGGTTGGTCTTCATCGATCATTTCGTCGTGATAATCTGTTGATTCGACTTTCAAGGGCTCGTTTTGAATTTTCCACCTTTCCTCTTCAACATCGAGGATCGTCAACGAGTCTTCGTCGCGAAATTGTTTGAACTTTTTGTCTTCGGCGAGTTTTTGAATCGTCTGCTTCTGGACATCTATTTCCCTAATTTTTGAGGAAAATCTAATGCCTATATTGCAAGCAGAACTTGTGCGTAATAAATTATTGAATTTAAAGCACGTTCGAATTGAATTCATCCTAATCAATTAACATAATTCAAAATAATTCGAATAACAGACTTGAGTGTAAAACTAAAAACTATAAATATATTCAAATTGAAAATTTGTAGATAATATAACCTTCCTCAATTATTTAGGATTATAATTCAACGCTATATTATAATTTCTTAATTTTTAAATAATTTATTTTTAGACCATAATTTCAGATATATATCATAAATTAAAAATAAGAAAGAAATAATAATTATTCGTTTTATTACAATAAATGACACGTACTGCTCGTCATGGCGCAGTAGGCGAACTGTTATACGAACATGTATATAATTGAGTTCTTGTTTTCTGTTGTGATACAATAATGAGTTTGTTCTACAATATTTAGCTGATAGTTTCTCGGTTTGATAATTGAAACAGTACTTGTTTTTTTTTAAGAAAAGTCCGTTTTATTTTAAACCAGTCAGTTTACAGTGGTCGGATTGTAATAAACGTTGTTCAGACGCGCTTCGAGAGTGAGCAAATTTGAGTAAAAATGTCACTGTCAACGTAAGTTTTGTTTTTATTATTACTGTTCCATGGTATTTTCCGTTTTCTAATATAAGTTCTAGCTATGAGTATTTTGGTTAAAAGTTTAAAAATTTCAATAATTGAACTTATGAAATAGGTTATATTTCTGACCATGTTTACGATGGATTATTATTGTTTATTACCTTAACTATTGTTTCTCTTTATGTTATAAAATGATTTCTACTGTTCTTTTAACTCTTAATACACATTTTTGATTACCAGCGGCTTATTTTAATACAATTATGTGTGGTATGAAATATGTGTATTTAGCAATCGTTAATTCCCGTTCTAATCATTTTAATTAATTGTACTTTTAATCTAAGGTAGGTTGAGACGAAAAAGTGAGTGTCATGAGCGGGATTCAAACCCACGACCTTTAGCTCATTTCGAATTCGAATTCAGCGTTTTCTGATGTTACATCGCAAAAAACGCTAGACCTTTAGCTCAACACACTGCTGCTCTAACCAATTGAGCTATCATGACTTCATGAGGAGTTGGTCCGACTGGAATGAAATCGCGATAGCTCAATTGGTTAGTGCATCAGTGTGTTGAGCCGAAGGTCATGGGTTCGAATTCTGCTCATAACACTAACTTTTTTCTCAACCAAGAAAAAACAGTTCAAATACACAGTTTTATTATACCACCAACTTGGGAAGTCGGAGCTTCGGAACCAATTGAGGAATATACGGTTCGGTTTGTAAGAACGCAGAGGTGCGTCACAAACAATAATCCCTAGTCCCTTGTGTCATCTTCTAGCTTCAGTTAACCCACATTATTAAATATAGTGAACGCTACACTACTCCCAATTTAATTACAAGATAATCATTCAATTAAACCTCATAAATTATGAAATAGTATACTGAATAACACAATAAACAAATATACAAAAGTTATACAATAATCACTTAATCTAAGTAAAAATACAGTGCATTTTAATTAACAACTCTTAAAACAACTACAACTGGCTGTCGGTAAAATTACCAACTCTTGCTTTGAGACAGCCAACCAATGATGAAATGACCCGAGGCATAGTAAGCAAATGTCCTGCTGCATGTTGTAGGTCATTCCCTAGAATATCAAGACCAAGAGGACAATCTAGTTTTTTTGACTGATCTACCAGTTTCAAGGTCGGAATCAAGTACCAGCCACCCACTGTCGTCCCTGGTGGTGATGTCTAAGGTACAACATGTGGTATTTATGTTGCTGTATACCACTGCCATTGCCAAGGTTTCGGCAAGGCTTAGCTAAAAATTTGACTTGATGTATGCCAAGTGTGCTTTCGTCCACTGGTATGTTGACAAGGGTATAGAAGATGTCAGTTTCTGAAGACAGAGAAGATTTAGCTTAGATTACAAAAAAGTTGGTGGATCTTGAGAAATTGAATTAGTTTTTACATTTTGTATTTTTTATTTGCCTCCCTTACTAATTCTGTTATTGCCCAAGGTACTCTTTCATGGCAATTTTTAATTAAGTTGAATTGAAACAGTTTTAACATTATTTCATATAATACACTAAAATACTACACTTATATTATGAAGCCCTCCCCTAAAAACCAAATGTAGCTTTCTAAATTTATTGACATTACAAAGTAACAGGACCTAATTGATTCTCTGCAGTTGGTTTTTCCCCAATTGGATCTGTTGTTTCTGTAACACTTCAACCCTATTACTTACTATCTCCCTCAGACCAAATTGTTTTTTATAAAGATCTTGAAGAAATTCACAAAATTCAACCTTTTTCTGAAAGCGGTAACAAAATGTCTTTTTATCATTTTAATTTGTGAAAAGTTCAAAGGCTTACTAATAAACTTGTTGCTTCATAGTTCAGTTATTATTAGTGATATTCAAATTTTTTAAATATTTTTTTATTATTTATTAAATTTATTAAATTATTTTTTCTATTGTTCTATTATTGTTTTAATTATTGCAAGTTTTTGCTAGTATTATTGCAATTAATTTTGCAATTTGACGCTAAATATCATTCATAAAAGTTAAGTTTACTTATTACAGTTTTTTTCTTAATTAATTTATTTAAACAAGAATTCTAAGCTGCAAAAATTTTATGACTTGTTAAGGTTGTTACCTGCACCTACCCAGCCTATCTGGGATATCGAAGATGAAGCCAAAACAACTTGGCAGGCTACATCAACTGCTCTTGTTTCCACAAGTCCTGCTGCCCCGCCATATGGCCAAAGGAGAGGATGGGTGCCTAGAACTCTTGAAGTAAGTTTATCTTTATTTTCCCAACTTTTTAACTATCTGTTTTGAAATAAAGACTAAGTGATAGTTGTTATTTTAGGATTATGGAGATGGAGGAGCATTCCCTGAGATCCCAATGGCCCAGTACCCTCTCAACATGGGCCTGGAGAAAAAGGAAAGCTCTTCTAACGCTCTTGCAGTACAACTTGATGCACAGGGCAAAATAAAGTATGATGTTATTGCAAGACAAGGGCACTCGAAGGACAAGGTAAAATCTGTCTGAATTATTTTAAATGAAAAAATCTATGTTAAATTTTCTTTGACCAGATCATTTATTCCAAACTCACTGATCTTCTCCCGTCTGAGATCAAAGGTGAAAATGATCCCAGTTTGGCAAAACCAGACGAAGAGACTATACAGGAAACAACAGAAAGGACACGATTAGCTTTGGAAAAAATAACAAGTAGCAAAATCGCCTCAGCCATGCCTGTCCGTTGTGCTGAGAAAGCAGTAAGTTTTGTTTTACATTGGAAATTACTTTAAATAATTCTGATCTGTTATTATTATAATTTTGTTTTAATCAGCCACCAGCCCAGTTTATTCGATACACACCAGCTCAACAGGGATCTTCATTTAATTCTGGTGCAAAACAACGTGTTATTAGGATGGTTGAAGCTCAAAAAGATCCACTTGAACCTCCTAAATTCAAGTAAGTCATTTATTTTCCATAAACACAAATTTTATCGTAAAGTCATATTATTTAATTTCATTTTAGGATTAATAAAAAAATCCCGAGAGGACCACCTTCTCCACCAGCTCCTGTACTTCATTCACCGACTAGAAAAGTAATAATTTTATTTAAATATATTTCACATTAAAATAAATTTTGCAATTACTAAAACTTAGTTAAATTTTCATTTTAGGTAACAGTTAAAGAGCAAAAAGAGTGGAAAATACCTCCTTGTATATCTAACTGGAAAAATGCCAAGGTATTCCTTTATCTAACATAAATAAATTTTTTTTACAAGTAGTAAATGTATTTTGCATTTAATATTTCAGGGTTACACTATTCCGCTTGATAAAAGGTTAGCTGCTGATGGCCGAGGTTTGCAGCAAGTGCATATAAACGAAAACTTCTCAAAGCTTGCTGAAGCCTTATATATCGCAGACAGAAAAGTAAGTGTGGCTTGATGACTTAAATATTAAAAATTGAAAGAAATTTGAAAAACAAGTTTTTATTGATCTAAAGTAAAATTATAGTACACAGTGTGCATTTATTTGATTTTTCTTCTATAATCTGTATTTTAAAGGCACGAGAAGCTGTTGAAATGAGGGCACAATTAGAAAAGAAATTGGCTCAGAAAGAGAAGGAAAAGAAGGAAGAGCATTTAAGACAGTTGGCCCAAAAGGCTAGAGAGGAGAGAGCGGGAATAAGAACTCTTGGCCATGGTTAGCGCGATAATTATTTATATTTAAAAAAATCTTTTCTAATGGTAGGTTGTGTCCTGTTTTAGAAAAAGATGAAGAAGCAAGGGAAAGAGATCAGTTGCGATTTGAGAGGCATAAGGATAGGGCTAGGGAAAGGAATCTGGCAAGAGCTGCACCAGAAAAAAGGCAATTTTTATATTAATTATATTTTACTTAATGTTATTGTTAATATAATAAAAACACAGGTCCAAGCTTGAAAGAGATAGGGAAAGGGATATAAGTGAACAGATTGCCCTCGGCATGCCAGCGAAATCACAGCCATTAACAGGCGAAGCTGCTTTTGATCAACGTCTTTTCAATACGACCAAGGGCATGGACTCAGGATTCGGTGATGATGAGTCATATAATGTCTATGATAAACCTTGGAGGGACGGCAACTCTTTAGCCAACCATCTATACAGGCCTGGTAAAAATGTGGATAAGGAGATTTATGGCGATGATCTGGAAAAAATAATGAAAACAAACCGGTACGATAGAGTTGTTTCAAACAATTTAAAAATAAACAAATAAAATACTATGCTTGTATTATTGTTACAGGTTTGTGCCGGATAAAGAATTCAGCGGTACAGATAGAGCAGGAGGTGGAAGATCTTCGGGTCCTGTACAGTTTGAAAAAGATGAAGAAGATCCTTTTGGTTTGGATCAGTTCTTGACGCAAGCTAAGAGAGGAGGAAATCAAGGTTCTTCTAAAAGGATGGCACCCAAAGAAGACAAAAGAGATGATAAAAGAAGACGACGTGATTAAGTAAGTTATTTATTTATTTTATTTTGTCACGCGTAAACCCGATGATAGATCTTAAATACTGGGGTAGTTTGGTCTTCACGGCGGGAAAGTGCTCTCTTCCACGGCTGTGCTGACTGGACCTCAGATCAGTTGAGAATGGGACTTCAATGGCAACAAAAATATATTGAAGTCAGGATGCTCGGACATAGAAACTAGGGAAAATGGGTAAAACGACCAATAGAAAGACGTGAAAAATGGAAAAGTGACTGTCGCTGTTATAAAGGCAAGTTATAGAATTAACCAAATAATCACACTAGATAGAGTAGTGTGAACAGAGAAATATTAGCTCAAAACATAACGATCTCGGTCATGTTAGAGGAGATACAGGCTGCACTGGCAAAACTAGCATTGATTAATATGGGGGGTAAACAAGCTTCACAAGCAAATACTCAAGTCGAGGCAGAATTGTTTTGCTACAATCCCACTTTAAAAGAACAAGACTAAGAAGAAAAATCTCCTATCCAGGAATGTTCAGAACACAACCTTGGAGTGAAAGACCCGATTTTGGAAAAAAAAAAACTAATGAAGCCATTACACTTTGTGGTCCGATTGACCAATTAACATTTTTCAATTAATTAATATTTATGAAAGATCATTTGAACCCATGACCTTCGGCTAAATACGCCGCTACTCTAGTTGAGGTGGGAAGTTAGTGTCCGAGTGGATCGAAGTTTAAGTGGTAGAGCAGCGGCGTATTTAGCCGGGTTTTAGGGTTCAAATCCCGCTCATGACACTGACTTTTTTATCTTAACCACTACCTTTCATAAATATTAATTAATTAAAAAATCTAATGAAGGTTTTGGTTTTAATGGTAAGCCGAATTTACCAGGACTTATCCTCATGGATATTAACACGGACATTAAAAAAAAAAAAAAAATTATATTACCCTGATATCTGGAGGAAATGGTCATTAATGTACCATCCGTAGAAAAAAACAACCCATGGTCAATCCTAGAAGTCATTGGAAAACTAGATAGATATCAACTATGTATCGGGTTGTCCGGAAAATAATGCAGGATTTTAAGTTTTCATTAAAAAAAAATCTATATAAAATATTCTGTTTACGTTTACAGGATTACTCATTTGTATGAATGTCAACACTTATTAATCCTCTTCCAAATGATATTGTTNTGGGAAATTATTTTGATTAAAGAACATTGCTTTAAAGTAACTAGTTTCTTTTTTTTTGTTTAATACCAAAATCCTGCATTATTTTCCGGACAACCCAATAGCTTGGAATAGTTTCCACAAGTCTTCAAAACGATTTAATTAAAGTAAGAAAACCCGGAAAAGTTGGACCTACCTGGTCTCAAGAATAGTTTTGAGTAGTACTATTTTAAGTACACAGAATTTAAATGAAAATTAAAAACAAAAATACACCACCATTATTTGAAGAATTTTATTTTATTTTTTTATATATTCTTAAAATTTCTTATCATGGATAATTTTCATTTTATTTGCAATTTGAATAGTAAATAGAATTTTATTTTAATGAGTTGTACTAATTCTACATCTTCAATTTTTTTCAGGGTTCCAACTTGTCAGCCAAACATACTGATGTCTCCAGTGTTTTCTGTAAACTATTTTAAGTTTAGTATTCCAATGAATTAAAGTCAGTAATACACAGTAGTGTTGTAATTGTTGTCAGCTGTAATATAATTTTTTTGTCCCATTCATAAAGAGAAGTTCTCTTTGCTAAATACATTTTTCTTCTTTTTTTTTTTTTTTTAATCAAAACTGCCTTCATTTATTTTACTTTTTATACATTCATATTAAATGAAAATGACAACACGCAAAATGTAGAAGAGTGCATGAACATATTCAGTACTAAACCCAGGGTTTTTACAAATAAAATTATTTGCATCCTACAAAACAGTTTTTTATTTGTAAAAGACAATTTGTATGTCACCTTGTACCATCAAATAATTATAAAATTTAGTCAGTGTAAGGTTTTCAGATTTAATATTATCACTGTAAATGTATTATAAATAAATAATTGTTGGAGATTTTGTTTTAAAGTTTCTTATTCACATGGACTTTTTATCTTTGGCGATTTTAATACTCTGTTTTGCAATCAAATGCTTCAAAAATAATGTAGTGGTTGACACACTAAATAAATTTTCTGGTAGTTACACAATCGCATGCACCCTAGCATCGGATCTACTGTCAAACTAGTGGCTGCTAAAAATATCTGGCCATCACTAAGGAGAAGCGTACTTCTATGACTGAAGGGTTGTATATTTGGCCAGTGTAACAAGAATATGTGGCACTTCAGGAAATTTATAATTTCAGAAACCACCCCGAATGATGGGTTTACACATAAACCATAGTGATATTGCTGGACCTTTCAGTGTCATTTCCCAGCTAGATGAGAATGTTATGTTAAATCTGTTACCACCACGCGATTCCTAACCAAAATTAAATTGCTTGTAAGAGACCACTTGCTAAAGTTAATTATTTTCGAATTAAATAGGTGGACTATAAAAGTTATACACCCTATATAATGCATAACTTTACTGGAGGAAAAATTATATTGCCCAAAAGTTGGGATGAAATACTACGTGCATGGATAAATTGTACACTTTTTCTTTTTTACGGCATTCAACTTCTAAGGGTTATTTAAGTAAAAATAGCAAATATAGGTTTTATCAATTTATTATTATTATTATTATTACAAAAATAATATTTTATTAAGTAAATAAAATATCGTAAATCGATGTTACAATTACATGTTACAAAGCGGAGTGTTCAGATTTGTAGTTCGTACCATGCTTTGTAGTATGTAGGTTACAGCTTTGTTATTGCAGTAACGATCTGTACACATTTAATGTTGTTAAGATTTAAAACGTGTTTGGTGTACAAATGGTTCTTATTGTTGTATATTTGTTTTCAGAATGACTTCGTTATCTGTTAATGGTAATTTGTTTGCGTTGTCCGTTGAACGAGGGACTGTGGCGGTCGATTTTAGCAATGAACTTTTCAACGAAAGACTTTTCGTTTCGAGTACCAAGCTGGAAAAAGGTAATGTCGAGGTTCAGGACGGCAACATCAGTTTGGCATGTTGTGCCTTTTCTCCAGGGCCAAAATACCTGGCATTTTGTTTTCACAAAGAACTCTGCGTTCACGAAATCAACAGTTGGCAGTTGGTATGTAAAAAAGAGCTGAAACGAGCCGCGAGCAGCGTACTGTTTTCGCCGAAAACTGACAAATTAGTCGTGGCGGATAAATCCGGGGACGTTTATTTATTTAACTTTGAAAAAATTCAGGAAGAGGAAGGCCACTTGTTGTTGGGCCACGTTTCCATGATACTTGACGTTTTGATAACCCAAGACGAACGTTTTATTTTGACGTGTGACAGAGACGAAAAGATCAGAGTCTCAAGATTTCCTGACAGCTATATCATCCAAAGTTTTTGTTTGGGCCACAAAGAATTCGTCATGACGATGACTCTACTGAGCCATAACGAAAAACTACTCGTTTCGGGCAGTGGCGACGGTACAATTAGAATCTGGGACTTCATCGACGGGAGACAATCGCTCGTCCATGATTGTTCAGAAGTTATAATTGATGGAAATGACAACAGTCAATCACCGGCTGTCCTTAAAATTGCTTCCCTCAAATTGGACGAGAACTCTTCTTTATTGTGTGCAACGTTTAGAAACTTCAGTGGAATGCTTGTTTATAAAATACTCTCTGAACATGGCAACATACTTTCTGTCGCTCATCAGGTTGTTAAACTCGTTTCAGAACCCATAACGATGTGTTTGAACAAAAGTAGAGACGATGTTTGGATCATTGAACAAGGGTTCATAGCATCATTATACAAAATTGATAATAAAGAGCTAGTTGCATTTTCAACTAGCGAAGTGGACAAAGTGAATTCTGTGCTTAAGAAGTATCCGAACGTTTTCTGCAAACAGTTCAGCCCTAGTAAAATGATAGAAAGTTTTTACAAGAAAAACTTTGATAATATGGAAGACTATTTAAAAAGAAAAATGGACAGACTTGAACAAAATAATAAAAAGTTTAAAACAGATTATAAATGTTAATTTATACGCTTATTATTAAACAAAAATTACTTAATATTCATCTTCCTTCATTTTATTTACACCCCAATATCTTAAATAATATTACAATAAAATGCAATGTTACATATAATAGCTTAATACTAATACAGAATAATTTAGTATGAATTGCAGAAAGACATATTTTAATTTTTTTTTCTTGCAAATTCTGAAACTATGCTGGCTAATTATAGGAACATTGGAACAAAATTAATTTTATTTATTCTAACCTAATTGCACAGAGAAAGGGTCTGCGGTAGCTGAGTGGTTAGCATGATTGTCTCTTGGCTCCTAGACCCATGTTCATAGGTTCAAAATCAAATACAACCGTTGGCCCTGGCCCTTTTTCCAAGCTACCCTTCCCCCCATAAAAAACCTTAAAACAGACAAAAGTACCCCAAACTTAATCTCCATACTGAATAGTTCGGGTTGAACTTACAAAAAGAAAGAGAATTCTTTCTTTCCACTCAAGTTTATAAAATAGAAATTTAAATGTGGAATTTTTATCAATAAAAAGTACAACCTTTGGCAAGTAGGCAACCATGTAATGCCAAGTTTTTTATAACTAAATTTACGTTAAATTAAGACAAAAGAACATGATTAGAGCACAGGTTGCCTACACATGACACAAAGAATTTAAACAATAATCTATACTGACCTTCTAAAAAATGGCCTAGTAAAAATGAAAATAATTTAAATATCTATAATGGAATGAAGGACAATATCAAAATAAAATATGCAAGTACCCGGATAATTTCAATTTTGTTGATCATATACATTGCATGTACATATACGGTTGACTCTCAATAACTAGAAACCAAGAGATCTCAATTTTTTTTATGAGGGTTCGCAACAGCAGAGGTTATATCAACCCTCAGGATGCTGGTGTTTTTGAAAAAAAAAAAGCCCATTTGTAAGAATGTTGGGTTCGAATGCAGGACCGCTGGACCTTTACCTTACAGTGACGAGTGCCGTATCAATGCCTAAACCGTTGCGGCCACCGACACCCAATTACAATACAAATCATCTAGAGGAAAGAAAAAATTAAGTTATTAATAGTTTTTTTTTAAATTCTCACTTAAATTGTACATATCACATTGTAAAAATAGTGAAAAAGTAGAAATAGACCAACTGTAAAATTGTAGTTATACATTATTTAAAAAAAAAATTTGTGAAGCAGGTTTTTGTTTCAATGGCAGCCTGACATACTAAACGACTTTGCAAAGTGACAAGTGCTGACTGCTGAAAACATATTTTCAAAACACTGACTACCAAATATAACAAACAAGAGAAAAGTTGAGTCTCAAGAAAGTAAACTATACATGAAAAATTAAAGAAACGTTACAAGGAAAAAGTTTGAACCGGGGGAGTCACTTTATTTTGTTTCTTAGATTGTTCTCTCATCCACTGTTATGAAATTTTTTTATTAATGAGTGTACCAAAATAGACAGAAATTTTTTTATTCACCAAAGTGACCAGCTTAAGAGTTCATATTATCAAGTAATTTGAATTAACAAGTTTCAAAATAGCAATTGCTGAGTATATATAAATCTTTAAAATTAAAAAAAAAATCTATAGGAAAAAAAATTGAACTTTAACTAAAATGTAATGATACAAATTTTATTGCAAATAAGCGAACAATTAAATTCACACAACTTGTAAATAAAAATATATAATAATAAATTTAAACGGGTTTATAATCAAGCTTGGATTCGAGTTTCTTGTTGTCTGCAACCTTTCTGACCGCTTTCATAAAATCTTCTTGCATTACGTACTCCCTTTCGGACCTAATTGCAAAAAGGCCAGCTTCTGTACAAACATTTCTGAGATCAGCGCCATTGAAACTGTCTGAGAGTTTTACAACAGCCTCATAATCTGGTGAAATTAAATTTGGATTAAAATTAAGTCAATGAGAGAAAAAAAGAAAAGAAGGTAAAAGTGCTATACCTATTTCGCCATGTTTTGCTATTGATGCAGCATGAATTTTCAATATTTCAAGCCTGGCCTGTTCATTGGGAAGTGGTATTTCAATTTTTCTGTCAAGCCTTCCAGGACGTAAAAGTGCAGGGTCTAAAGTATCAGGACGATTTGTGGCCATTATCATTTTGACCTGGAAACAATTCATAAATTGTATTATAATACCATAATTGTATTTCACAATTAAAACCCAAAATTCACCTGTCCCAATGAATCAAACCCATCCATTTGGTTTAAAAGCTCCATTAACGTTCTCTGAATTTCTCTATCAGCTGACGTACCTTCAGAAAACCGTCTACCACCTAAAACCCAAAATACAAATTTTTCATTGCTCTATTAACCAATTCGGTAAATTTAACTAACCTATAGCATCAATTTCATCCATGAAAATGATGCAGGGTTGGTGATCTCTTGCATAATTAAACATTTCTCTTATAAGCCTTGCACTTTCACCAATATATTTATCAACAATAGCACTTGATACAACCTAAAAACAAATTAATCAGTTTAACATTTTATTAGACAAAATTTACAAACATACCTTTAAAAAATTGGCATCTAACTGGCTGGCAACAGCTCTGGCAAGTAATGTTTTACCTGTTCCAGGAGGTCCATACAGAAGGCAACCTTTTGGAGGTGTTATACCAACCCTTTGAAACAACTCCGGATTCAACAAAGGAAGCTCAATGACCTTATTAAAAATAAATAAGTAAAAATAATAAAATCTAGTCTTTAAAAGTTGATATTATAAATTACTTCTCTCAATTCACGAATTTGTTCTGCCAAGCCACCAATAGCAGAATATGTAACTTCTCCTGGATCTTCATGAGACATGTTGTACACAAGTGGATCTACTTCTCTTGGAAGGTGTCTCATTATAGTCAAAGTAGTCATATCCAAAGCTACTCTAGTGCCTGGTTTCAATTTTGACTTATCTAATTGCCTCCTGCATCCGACAACATAACGTGGTCCATTTGTGGCTTTCACGATGACTGTAATGACATACAATATCAGTTTGTACAGAATATTATTTAGTATATTATTGTTATTTATTACGAAAAGAAAAGCTTACATTTCTCTTCAGTCAGTTGTTTCAAAACTTCTCCTACAATCTGAACAAGTAAATTAATACTTAACAATAAATTTTAAATCAATGAAAGACTTACCTGACCAACACTTTGCAAAGCTTTAAGGTCGTTTTCAGACTTATCATATTGTTTCGTTAATTCTTTTAACTGTTCTCGCACTGTAAAAATTAAAAAAAGGTGAAAATACATGAAATTTATGAAGAAACAGAACAATGCCAAATGTTATGTCATTTACTGTATTCATATATTGATAGATAAGGCAGCACAAGAAGCCACACGCTTCCCAAAATGTACACCCAGCAGATTTACAACTACTAGTTTCAAATACTGTAAAAGAAGAGTGGAGAAACCACTGGGCTTGTAAAAGAAGAAATAACCACGCCAAACTGTGGCAGTTTAAGTAGGACGTCAGTCCATGGTTAATGGATAATTAAGGATAATTAGTAAAAAGGGAACAGGCCACACTGACAAGACTTATGCATAAGGTATACAAAAATAACTCACAAATTCATTTTGGCTAGAAAATGACCAATAATAGGTGCAAGAATAACAGTATTTATAGGAAATATTTTGATATATCATCAGATCTGTACTCTTGGGGCTTGTCGGCGGGCATAGATTACTATTCTGCTACTTCAAGGTGGTAAGGATTTTTAAATGTACATAGTGTGTGTGTTAATTTATTGGAACTAATTTAATTTATTAGGATGAAAGGAGAGGGTAACATTTTAGGATATTGATGTAGTGTACATACAAAACCAGAGTTAATAAAATAAATAGGTGTGTTGGTGTCTTCTCTGCTTCTTTTCAGAATTTGCATATGCCTTGTTGTATTATACCAATCTTCTTCGATGCCTATTCAGACCGCAGTGTTCCTGTTTAGAAAACTGTTCAGGTGTTGGTGGCCACAGCGGTTAAAGTATTGACACAGTGCTCATCCCTGTAAGGCAAAGGTCCTGGGTTCAAACCCCACAGCCTTGCGTTTAAACGAAAGGTTTAACAGGCTTTTTGTTTTATAAAACACCGGCGGTTAATACCCTCTGCTGTTGCGAACCCCCATAAAAATACAAAAGAAACAAAAGATTCCTGTTAGGATTATAAATTTTTTCCTGCTTCCTTTGAAGCATTTTGTTCTTTCTTTCGTTCCAAAATTTGGTACTAGGTTCTTGGATTGTTCACATCCTATGAGTTTCCACATTTTCATTTTGTACTTTTGTCTAAGGTATTGATCATCAAGGTTCCCTATGGCAAACAGGTAAAATTAGAGGTTTATTTATTCAGTGATAAACCTGATTAATCATCGATTGTCCTGGTTTGTTTTGTCTGTCAGACCATGATGATCATAGACGACCAAACGGCTGTTTTGCCTTCACCAGAAACAATTCAATTTCATAACACCATGCATTGTTCTAACCAGTTTTGGAACAAGCATTCTGTTATCATATAATCAGAGAAAGAAAGATGTTTTTCTCGATTGTACAGCATTAATAATTTAAAAAAAGAAAATATGCTGACGATCTATTTTTATTTTTTATTTTTTTGATATAAAGCCAACCAGAGACAAAACAAAATGGTTTAAGAAGAAGTTGGTTGTTATGAATGAACTAACAGTTCCAACAACTTTATAACATGGATTGTGCCCATGAATTACAGATATCTGCAATTATTATAGTTAATGCTTGTATTTATAATAACATTATTATAAGCCTAACATTTTAATCTTCAAAATTTATAAACTATAAAAATAGGATAACTGAAATACATGTGTCGGCATACATGAGTGTTTCTTTTTACAAATGATCAAATTCACCGAAAATCTAAACAATTCAATGATTAAAATTAATTCAACGATAACCTCAATATTGTCTAGGAATTGCGAGTGTAGACGACGAGCTTACTTTCTTTGAGGCGGACCTCGACTTCTTTGTGCTCGAGGAGCTTTTTCCTGAAGTCCTGGAGGACTTTTTCCCTGTTGGGGTCTGGAAGCTGGGTCGCCGTCATAATTGTACTAGCCTCAGTTTAATGCTGTATCACTTAGAGTTTGATGAGCCTCCTCGAACGCATAAACTGACCAGCTTCCTGTATTTCACGATGAATCGATTACCATCAATTTCATTCCTAACAAATATATTGTTATATAAATAAACGATATCATAAAATTTATAAATGTGAAAACTCATTTTTTTTTTAAAGAAACATGTGAATTCTGCAAATTTATTTTTGAATATTGTCCTATATCACCTATTTAGACTGGAGCATACATTTTCTTCCTAGAATGTATCGATTCACCTTATGAAAGTTATAAAGATGGTTCTACTTTTAAAATATCAAATTAATTATTTTTGCGGGTCAAATTGGATGTTGAGATTAAAACGTGGTGTTAATGGTCTGCTGAAATATTGTTTGAATTAGTATGAAATCAGCTCATTTGGTGTCAAACTATCAGGAGCTTGGATAACTTAACTCTTAAGATTAACCAGGCGATATGGAAGGGAAGTTTATTTATTTAAGAAGCATATAACTGGGCATGTACATATACAATATACGTATATAAATAACTAAACAATAAGAGGAAGCAGGAAAGACAGAGAGAGAATGAATGAGTGAGAGAAAGGTGAGAAAGAGAGTATAAGAAAAGAAATCTAAACAAGAAGAGGAGAAAATGTGTTGTTTCAAATTTTTATGCAGACGCTTGTGTCTCGAGCGGGTTTCGAACCAATGACTTTATGCAGCTGAAGGTTGTTGGATTGAATCCTGCTCTGGACACTAATTTTTATTGTCAACTGTCTTTGCATAAAAATTGGAAATAATAATTCAGTAATAACTAAATAAATAATTATTGGTTGAGTGCAAAGTATTCTTTGCAGCACCCATGGATAACCCAACTGTTTCCCCACATCTGATGGAACAGAATTCTAGACTCACCCTTGGTAGGAAAGATTAAATTATTGTGGCTGATTAGAAATGAGACTCAGTTTACAAAGTAGTTTTGTGTTGCTTCATGAAAGTAATGAATGCAAATAAGAAGCAGAGGAATTGACTAGAATTTTAAAAATAAGTGAAAAAATAGCATTGTCAATATATATCATCAAAGAATGTGATGTATATATATTGATATGAGTTAAATAAGTTAGTTATATTAAGCTGGTGATTTGCTACTGTATCGAGCAACTGACTGAAAAGTAAGCTGGAAGGAGGAAATGTAGGAAAATGAATGGAAATGATAGTCTAGCGTGTATTTCACGAGGGGTAAAATAACTTTGTTTTTAAAAGAGTAAAGATTTCCTTAAAAAAGTAAACTTTTTAAGCGCAGAAACCTGAGGCAGCCAGGAAAGTCGAATTAAACAGTGAATAGTTGCAGAATATGGAATAGTTAACAGACAACAGGGCTATAGGCACAACCATTTTAAGCTGAAACAGAGAAAATAATTGCATGGTTCTTGGATGGGTTTAAAGAAAAGCAATCTGCTATTTACCGTGTAAAGTGAACTTTTGAATATTTCAATGTGAAAACTGGCCAACCTTAATCAACTATGAGAGCGTTGCTTATAAGTACGATGGTCTTGCTATCCTGCCCAACACAATACTTATATGTGCTTAGTCTTTTCTATAATTTTTTTCTCTCCTACAAAGAACAATTTAATTTTTTAAATACAATTTTTAATTCAAATTTAATCATAAAACTTTTTTTCTTTTCATTATTATGCCTAAGTGTAGCCTTTTAAATTACACCCTTGCACACATTATGAAATTAAAACATTATTATTATGCAAGGTCCCAATATTCAAAATGTGTAATGTTTCATTGCTTTTTCATAGGGTTTCTATTCTATTTTTATAAGGTTGATTCCGATTAATTTCTCGCGTTACGAAAATTATAATTCAGGATTAAATCTTCTCCAATGACAGTGGTGCCGTCACGTTCGACATTGGAAGGTTAAACATTAATTTGGCCGGTTTCACTACTGTTACCCGCTAATGTTGTGCAACTTACGAATACCCCAAAAATGCAAAATTTCCGAAATATATTCAGTGTCATTGGGGGGAAAGGGTTAAAATTCCCTGGGAACACCATTTCACGACCGTTGTCGAACGCGCAAGAAGGTAAAGGACTTTACGATGTTTCAAATATGTTGTATTTCATGATAAATTATCTTTCATAGTGAGTACCAATTCTAAAGAGAATCTAATTGCAAGCATCAATGGAAGGCCTCTCTACCTGGATGCTCAGGCGACGACACCACTGGTAATGACCAAATAACAATTACTTCTATTCCAGTTAAACCATTATAATATCACCTTATTAAATTTTCAACCTAAATCTCAGAACTACTCTATGTATAGCAAATTAAAAAAAAAGCCTGTCAAACATGAAGTTTTATAAAACAGGAACTAAAAATATGTGTCAATGGGTCAAAAATTCAAAATGAAAAACGTACACCAAGATGTTTTCTGCAGAAGCCCCAATGTTGGGAAATACTTCCCTCTGGCAACAACACCATTCTATGAACAGAATTGTAACGCTCGTAATGTCTATTTTAAGTTCAAATCTCGCACATTTTCAAATAATTTAACCAAATTAAATGTATACCCAATAATAATGAAATCATTTCAACCTCTGTGCCCTGCAATAAAATAATTAGTATCGTAAGGCTGGACTAATTAGACTTGCAGAACAAGGAAAATTTAAAAAATTGTAAGTTGAATTGCTTCAAATACCTCGAAATACAATTGTTTATCAACCATAAGAATACATTGTAGTTTTATATTAAAACTCAGGATTAAGACCAATTTAAAAGAAAATAATACGCTCAGTTCTTTTTTCAACTTTCAAGGAAAATATTTTGTAAAGTTAATAATTTCAAAATCTTGCACAATCTAATCATAAGCCCTCAATATAAGTCTTGTTAACATTAAAGCACCTTGTAAGAGGACATGACATGCCATCCTTTTTAAAAAGATAGTCCTACTCTCAGTAAGTTGTTTTGTAACGATCTGGATTTTGAGTTTTGAGCTCATTAGCAGGTTGAAGGAGTTCTAAAACCAGGTCTCTTGGCATGAATTGCAAAAGGATCCCATCATTTCTATGACATACCATCTTGTTCCGTAAAGTATTATCTGCTGTGAATGCTGTTAAAATACACTGATGGATAAATGAATGCATCTCTCAATTAATTTAATTTAAAATGAGATCTATTATCTTTCCACGTTAATTACAGATTATTATGAAATCATAGTCAAAATAAACAGTAAATAATGCGTCGTTTACCTCCTTTATTTACTTTTGTACTGCTTATTCCCATTTGCATAAAAAGTAGCATTATGCCCTTCCATTCTGTGACTCCTGATATGATTATGATATTATATAATCTTTTTCCTTCGTAGATTTCATTTATTGTTCTTATTCTTAAACCTTGGTTCTTTGGCGCTTCAGAGAAACATGACTTCACACAGAGTCGACCTAGGTCTAGGCCATTTGATTTATTACATTATGACAAATTTATTGTTGGGTAGTTAGGTATTAGCCCTCCTGTATGATGTTTATTGTAGAATATGCCAAATGTTTATGAACAAGAGGAATCTGTAGGTAAAATAGCCTAAATGATTGTTTTTCCAGGGTTATCTATCAAATATACATATATTTTTTAAATTAAAATTTTTAGGATCCTAGAGTTTTGGATGCAATGCTACCATATTTGACATCTTTTTATGGTAATCCACATTCAAGAACTCATGCTTATGGCTGGGAAAGTGAAAAAGCTGTGGAGAATGCTCGTTGTGTAAGTGCTTGACTTATTTCTCACAAGCTAAATTTTGTTAATACCTTTTTCACTATTTTTTAAATTTTATTTTGTAATGATTATATAGCATATTGCTGACCTTATTGGGGCTGATCCTAAAGAAATTATCTTCACCTCTGGTGCAACCGAATCTAACAATATCGCAATCAAAGGTGTTGCTAGGTTTTATTCTTCAAAAAAGAAACATGTTATAACAACACAAACAGTAATCTCTTTGATTTGTTTTATTTTTTATATAACTGTTTAGAAAGACTTTCTGACATTGTGTATTTTAGGAACATAAATGTGTACTTGATTCCTGCAGGGCTTTGGAAAATGAAGGATTTAAAGTTACTTATTTACCAGTACAGTCAAATGGGATAATCAAAATGATAGATCTTGAAGCTGCTATAACTCCAGAAACTTGTCTTGTTTCGATAATGACCGTTAATAATGAAATTGGTGTTAAACAACCAATTAAGGATATCGGTATGTTTAATAAGAATGTGTAAGTTTTTTGGTTTTTGAGTATAAAATTGTTTCCAGGTTTACTGTGCAGGCATAATAAAGTATTTTTCCATACTGATGCAGCACAAGCAATTGGAAAAGTTCCTGTTAATGTGGATGAAAACAATATAGACCTTATGTCCATAAGTGGACATAAAATCTATGGTCCTAAAGGTATGTAGTAACATTTATTTATCATCTTGTAATGTCTGAATAATCCATAACGACATTAGGTGTTGGTGTCTTGTATGTTCGAAGAAGGCCTAGAGTAAGACTGGAACCACTTCAGAGTGGTGGAGGCCAAGAGAGAGGGATGAGAAGTGGCACAGTACCGACTCCACTTGTCGTCGGCATCGGTGAAGCTTGTAGAATTGCCAAATGTGAAATGGAGGTGAAAAAACAAATCTCTTTTACAAAGTAATAAATTCTAATTTATCAACAATTTTCAGTATGACCATGCTTGGATGGAAAAGCTGTCAAATCATTTGATTCAAAAAATAAGTGGCAGTCTAACTCATGTTGTTAGAAATGGTGATCCTGTACATACATATCCAGGCTGTGTCAATTTATCATTCGCGTTTGTTGAAGGTTTTAATCATTCTTAATATACCATAATTGTTCTTGATATTAGTATATCACATTTTATTTCAGGTGAATCACTTTTAATGGCTTTAAAAGATGTTGCATTGTCTAGTGGCAGCGCTTGCACTTCAGCATCATTAGAACCATCGTACGTCTTAAGAGCTATAGGAGCAGATGAAGACCTTGCTCATTCTTCTATCAGGTATTAATTGATTTTAAATCTCAACTTTAAATTCTTGCTGTCATTGTCATTATGATTGTGCTTAAAAGATTTGGACTTGGGCGGTTTACAACAATCGAAGAAGTTGATTACACAGCAGATAAGTGTATACACCATGTTAAAAGATTAAGAGAAATGAGGTATATATATTTTTATTTATTTATTTTTTAAATAATATAAATTTCCAATTTTTATTTTTTTAGCCCTCTGTGGGAAATGGTTCAAGAAGGGATCGACTTGAAGACAATAAAATGGTCTCAGCATTAAAAAAAGGAACAAAATACACACAAACACTATTTACTAGTGAGCTTTCCCTATTAAGATTGCTTTTGTTGATAAATTAAAAAAAAAAAATCCACATAGAAAGACATGTTTTTAAATTTACAGTAATGTTAATTACTGTTATTGTAGCATAAGGCAGTGATAGAAGTTTAACTTCAGTTTTGAAGTTTTAATTAAATTAGATTTTACTCTGTCTATTTTTTATTAATGTTGCTACTATGTTGCTACTTTCAAAATTTATTTTTTTTACAACTTAGAATATTTTTCTTTTTGAAATTTGACAATGAGGTAAACGTTCTTTTGTGAATACGTTAGTGTTGTATATATTGTACCATAGAAATAAAATTGGAAATTATGTATATTCTCATTATATTAAATTATGTATTGTTAGTATAATTTTGGTAATTAATCAAAATACCATAATTTTATCGTGTACTAATATTTTATTCATGATTTAGATTTTTTATTTATTTATTTTATTTTTTTATTATTATTTCATTGTATTGGCCATTAAAAATATATTGTGTAGAAAAATTAATAATAGTAGAATGGATAAATTAGCCAAAGCAATTACAAGATCCTCTCTTGTCATTGATTGGAATTTTTATCAGGAATGTTTGTTTTGCAGGTAAATGAAAACATTCTTGCTCTAAAGGTGTAGTAGGGATTTAAGAAAACTGAAATAAGTTTTTTTTTGCAACATTGCATATTAGCCAATATATTATACATGTGTACGATTTTTTTTGAGGGGGGGAGGTTTGCGTGAAAAAAAGGGCCAGGGATTGTGAGGGTCTGTGAACAGAGATTCTATTATGCTAACCACTGAACTACCAAGGTCCCTGATACAAACAATCCCAAGGTCCCTGATCAACACAAAGAAACAAATTTGCTAAGCCTGGATGTGGTATGGTATGGTACATAATGTTAAGAACATTGGTGTTTTTTCAAGCAGCATTTAGAAACAAAATTTTCAAAACTATAGACAATATTTCTAACTCCATCTATTTAGTTTTTGATAATTTTTTACCATTTTAATTTTAAGCCTTTGGTTTGCCGGCGAGTAGGCAAATTAAAACATGTTTTGTAGGTTGTTAATTCAACATTTTTGTTCTGTTTTAATCCTATAATGTGTTAATTCCAATAAACGGTTGACAAGCTGCGCTAGTTGAGAGACTATCAGCGCCTCCCAAAGGCAATTTTTAAAGTTGGAACTTGGAAGTTAAGAGACGAGTGGAACACTGCAGGTTTTATCTGTATCACAACTTACAAATCCGGTGAATTTGTGTTTAGCGATTATTCAGATTTCCTCTCGAAGTGGAAAAACTCTCGACTCGATTCATTCTCTCCGTTGGATTTTGTCCAGGCCCGGCTATTTGAAAACAATCAGGACTGAATTTATCAACCAGGATGATGGTATAATTACTCACTATCTACAATTTATCAGCAATTCTCCGCCCCTTGCATACTTTTTTTTTTAAATATGGGCAATTACAATATTATTTCAGGACGGCGTGGATGATGAGAGTGAATCTCTCTTGAACTCTGCTAATCAGAGAGTAAGCATTGATCTGCAAAACATTGTTTTTATTACTATAATTTAATATTAAATAAATTGGTAATGGATGTTTTTAAATGTAGGATGGCAGGTCTGAAACTGTAGATCTAAACGATAATGCCTTATTTGTTGATATATCCGATGCCCTGAGTGAAAAAGAAAAAGTCAAATTTACTGTACACACAAAAGTAAGTACTTTTTTGGTCGAATGGTTAAAACTTCAAATCAAAATTCTGCCTATGATGATTATTAAAAAATCTACTTGAATTAAAATTATTAGTTTTAAAATGATGTAGTTCATAAGGTCAGAGGAATTTAAGTTTGCTTTTTGTTATCACATTTAAAATACCTTAAGAGATAACAATTGCAAAGTGCGAAGTGGTAACTTTAAATGTGCTAAAAAAAGTAAAACCAAAAAGGTAAAGTAATTTGTCATGCTAAATAGCTTTACATTCAATTACTGGTTAGATGTTGCACATAATGAGCCAGATCACTTTATCTATACTAATATAAAGAGAAAAAGTTGGTTTTCACGTAACAGGTAATCTACTAGTCAGATTTTTATGAAAAAAAAGAAAGAAAAAAAAGAATAAAGGGGGAAAAGCAGATAACCAAAAATAAAACTTTTGTTCCCTTTAGTACCAAGTATTTCCAACTTTGGCACAAATCATGTCTGTTAAACGTTGTCATTCCTTCAAAAAGATTTTTGATAAAATCCTGAGGAATTCTTTCCCATTCATCAAGAACAGCAGTTTCCAACTCTTCTAGGGCGTTAGTGGGTTTTGCCATTGTTCTCATTGCTTAAGGTGGTCCAAAATGTGTTCTATTGGGTTCAAATCTAGACTTTGAGCTGGCCACACCCAGCGCTCTAATCTGTCCTCGTTCAAGTAGTTATCAACTATACGTGCTCTATGAGGCCTGGGGTTATCGTACATTAGCAAGATTCTCTCACAGATGTGGAGGGCGAATGGCACTACATGTTCTACGATTATGTGTTGTAAGTACCTCTGTGGTACATACTCGGAGATCTTCCTCACAGAACAACCAACTCGGTGTGGGCATCCAAGGAAACACCACCCCAGAACATCAAAACCCACTGTGGAATGCTATCTGATTAACCATACAGCATGTACCTTTCTCTTGAGCGTCTCCATATGAAATTTCGTCCATCTGAAGATTGGAGGCTAACTCTCACCTCATCTAAAAAGAGAAATCGTCCCCAATCTTCCAATTCAATTCACATGTTCCCGTACGAATTGAAGTCTGACTATTCTCTGAGGTGTGGTAAGAAGAGGTTCACAAGCTGGGTGCCGGGCCCTGACAATATTTTCATTGAGCCTTCTTCTTACAGTCCTGGAGGAAATTGAAACATTTCCTGTTGTATTGTCATCAGATATCTTATTTCCTGTAATTATGTGGTTTTGTAGAGCCTTATGACGGATGAATCTATCGTCTCTCTTGTCTGTAGACCTAGGTTTTCTAATGTGAACCTAAAAACCGTTCCTTTTGTAGAGTGATTTAAACTCAGTCTTCTGATGACTTCTTTGCTGGTTGTATCCACTCTCTAATAATGTTATGACCCTGATGCTGCCATATTCACTAACTCCTGACTGGAGCCATTGAAAATTCGTTGAGTGAAATACTCTCCATATTTGATGTCAAATAGTGAGGTGGTTGTGAGGTAGGCTCCTATGAGGATTATTAGGTAACATGGTAGATGACAGGGAGAGGTCCGAAGCGTCCTATCATACCAGTGTGAAAAGCTAAGCGAAGAAAAACAAACGAAAAACAAAGCTATAATACAAATAACAGGTTTTTGACGAAAGCGTTCAGATGATGGAATAGTTTGGAATGTAATTGATTTTGTTTATGTAATAGTGATGACTTCCCGAAAACATTATCATTAAGTACCACAATACAATATCCAGGCGAATAACTTATTTTCCCAAAGGAAGTGGGACAGGTGGATGGATATCCCAACATAAAGACAGGAATAGTATATAATTTACCCAAATCTCAGAATCCTCTTACGGCATATTTGTTGGCCTACTTCTTTTCAGTAATTGCACATAATAAATGGTGAAGTAAAAGAAACTTCACTAGAGATTCCATGGTTTTGCTATAACAATTTGGGACAAACCTATAAATATGTGGGATCAGATTTGAGGGAAGATTGTTTCTCACATGGACAATTATATGTCTGTTAATCAAAAATGAAATCAATAAATAAAGTTTCTATGCAAATAGCAAATTTAAATAATTATTCATATTTATTGGTCAAGTGGACCACAAAACCTAATAAAATGTAATAAGGAAAATGAAGAATACTTCACTAAAGCTCTCCGTGGCCATTTCATTTGTCGGCGAGAATCAAATAGATTACACAACATTTGAAAAATGGCAAAAAGGAGGGAAAATTCAAAGGGTGGGGTTGAGGTGGGAAGTTAGTGTCCGAGTGGATTGAAGTCACGATAGCTCAAGTGGTAGAGCAGCGGCGTATTTAGCCGAAGGTCGTGGGTTCGAATCACGCTTGTGACACTGTCTTTTTTATCTCAACCAAAACCTTAATTAATTGAAAAGAATTTATTTGGTCAAGCGGACCACGAAACCTAATAAAATTATTCATATACTTTTTCATACTACTGTATGTATCTGCTCTATGGTTTACCCCAGTAAAGCCTGCAATGTTTATTGGGGCTTTCTTTTATATCCTGTTCAATTGGTGTTCCTGGAGTTTTTGTTAGTTTTTTTTTCCATGAGAGAGTGAGTGTTCAACTCAAATCTGATATGCCTACGATCAAAATTTGATGATTCCCAAGATATATATTCCAGTATAAAATGTTATCATCAGCCCCTTGGGAAGTAATTGTCAAGTCTTGTCCATATATTCTGTGTCTATATTAGCATAATAGACACCTTGAAGATATCGACAAGCCTTTCTGGGCCCATCTGTTTTGTGGGCAGCCTTTTTCTACCATAGCTATTTTTACTTTTGTCATGGTTCCCTTATTTCCTTCTTGGTGGGTCTTGACTTTTTAGCACCTGCTTTTGAGGTGTGTTATCTTCCGACCTTGGCTTCTTGCTTTCAGCATTTGAAGCAAGTTTTATCACATGGGCTGATTTGTGTTCCTGCTTCTTATCATTTGTTGGTGTTAAGGTTGCCTTTATAAAGTCGTCCGGGATTATCATCCTTCAAAATGTTGATGTGAGTAGGCGGAAGGCTGGACATCTCTGATTATCATACAGTGTTAAGCACCTGATACTTCTTCCTGACAAAAACAAGGTAGTTGAGTAATGGTTCAATATGAGCACAAAAATAACTTAAGCTTGGACTACAAGCATTGTTGTCTTCCATTAGACAAAGATACTGGCCTCTGAATGGGCGAAACTTAGCCAGAAAAACATTCCATCAGAGCATAATTTGCTTGAAAGTAAAACCAAGGACCTTCACGCCATTAATGGGTTCCTTACCTGGAGGTTTTTAAAATTCGTTCTTTAAAAAACAATCTACTTTAGTTATTTAAATCTCAGAATCAAATCCAGGCCTTTAAATATTCTACCCCCTCCTTTAATAGGGTTGATAGCCTATTTCTTGAGGCTCCTGGCAAGCAGACATTGATAATCTCATCTACCGAGAGTTGTTTGATCTCCATCGGTTTGTTGCCTTCAAGGTGACTTATTTACTTGGTTTAGCACTGTTGCCTAGTTGGGCATCTCAGGGCCTGTCCCAGGTGTACCTTGCTTTTTGGTTGGTAGGTTCCATAAAGTTCCCATAAGTAGCTAGGGAAATAAGATGTACACCCAGCAAAGCTCCGCATGCTAGGGTAATCCTAGATCCAGAAGAGTGTCAGCAGGTTCCCTGAGGGCTCCGTTTACTACAGTATTTTTTGAAACCCCAGTGCCCATCCTTCATCACAGTTCACTTTACAACTTGGATTAGGGTAACCATGGCCCCTTTTAGCCTACTTCAATGCACTGGCCACCCATTACTTGAGGGGAGTGAGCCAATGGCAATATTGAGGCATTTCCAGGGGGCACTACGTGGAAGTCAGGATGATCCTGTACCCACTTGGTTGATGATAGGTACATGCACAGGAGAATAAAGAATGCTGTCTAATAACTTGGTATGTAGCTGGGGTTTTAATCTATATTTCACCCCTATTGAAAATAATGTGATGTAATTAATAATAACTTTGCTAAGTTATTAAGTAAGCTGGAGGTATGTGTCGCTAGAATGGTCTGCCTATTCTCACAGGTTTTGTCTGTCATAAGTGTGTTGCAACATCTCACCATATCTACCAACAAATCACTGAATACAATGAAATGATGCAATACTTCTGATGGATAAAATCAGCGTATTGATAATAAATCATCCAGGGTGATTGGTAAATAAATAAGCTATTGAAAGAACTTTCTTTTATGAATGTATGATATAAGAATGTACAGTATGTAGTTATTTTTAAAGATTGTATTAACATAGATTATGGACTATAAATCTCATGTTAAAAGTTGTTTATTTTAAAATTTATATTGATTTTGTTTTAAATTGTAGACGACACTTCGTGAATTTCAAAAGACCGATTTCACTGTAGTTAGGCAACATGAAGAATTTGTTTGGCTCTATGACAGGTTTGAGGAAAACCCTGAGTATTCTGGGTACATTGTAAGAGCGTTGTAACTAGAGTGAGCATTGAAAAAAATAAAACTTTATTAATTTCCCAATCACATGCTACTTAGATCCCTCCAGCACCACCACGGCCAGATTTCGATGCGTCAAGGGAAAAGTTGCAAAAATTGGGTGAGGGCGAGGGCACAATTACAAAAGAAGAATATGCAAAAATGAAACAGGAACTCGAAGCGTAAATATATAACTACAGTCTGTTTATTTTATTGGTGGAATGTTGACAATTTTTTTCTTATTTCAGGGAATACTTAGCTACGTTTAAAAAGACAGTAGCAATGCATGAAGTTTTCCTATGCAGATTAGCCGCTCATCCTGTCTTTCGGACTGACCACAAATTCAGAGTATTTCTGGAATATGAACATGATTTGGCTGTTAAGTCGAAAAATAAAATGGATATGATTGAGGTAATTTGAATGTCTTAGTTTATTTTAAAATGTAATTTTATATTTGTTTATTTTTTTTTTTGCAGGGATTTATGAAATCATTAACTAAATCAACTGATGAAATGCTTTTATCTGCAACTGTAAAAGATGTAAATGAGTTTTTTGAACATGAAAAGAACTTTTTAGTTCAATACCACAATCACTTGAAAGATGCAACTGCAAAAGCAGATAGAATGACAGCCAAGCATAAAGGTTAACAGTCAAATAGAGTTAAAAATCTTTAAAATTATTAATTAATTTCTTCATACAGATGTTGCTGACATTTTCATAAAGATATCAATGGCTCTTATGCAAATTGCGACTACTGAGCATTCTGATCTAGAAAAATTCTTAACAAAAGTAGCTGAAACCTTTGAAAAATTAAGGGTACAAATATTAAATTTATTTTATTATTTTATTTGTTTACAATTATATTTGGTCAATTCTTGTAGAAAACAGAGGCAAGAGTTGCTTCTGATGAAGATCTCAAACTATCAGATACTCTACGCTACTACATGAGAGATACTTTTGCGGCAAAACGCCTCTTATACAAAAGATTGAGATGCTTGGCTGATTATGAAGCTGCAAATAGAAATTTAGAAAAAGCGAGAGCAAAAAACAAAGACATTTTGGCAGTGAGTATTCAATTAATTTTGATAAAAATCCATCTGTATAACTTAAAGTTAATCTCTTCGGGACTAGTAATGAGATATTCGAGCTTGCACGCTCCCTAAGACCTGTGACGAGTTATCTTTTGTGGCTTGTATACTCTCAAGGCCCAGTGATTTATTATCTCATCCTCGTCGTGTTTTGCGTTTTATCTGGACGTTCATGGCATCTATTGGGCTGAGGTGTACCCAATGTGTAGCAGACACCTTGGTAGTGAATGTCAACCTCCCACACCCTTCCTTCCCATCATCATTATTAACGAGTCACTTTTCCCCTTCTGTTCACAGTCTGGTCTCACTCAAACTTTTGTGTAATTGCAACACATTCATTTTTCTGGAAAACCATTCGGCCACAATCTACATCTCATTGGACATGCTCTACTTTTCTTTACCTGCCCTCCCCAACGCTCATTGTCTTTCTGATTTTCCGTTTCTTGTCTTCTAAGTGGCCTGTTTTAATTTTACATCATTTACAGTAATTTTTGGAATATATTTTTTGTCCTTATTTTTTTTTCCAACTACAGTCGTGTGTATGTATGTACATATTTACGTGTGAAGAGTTGAGGTAAATAAATCTGTAATAAAAATTTATTTATTTTTTTATATTTGCTTTAAAACTTTTTGGAGTCAAATAAATTTTCAATTAAATACAATTTTTTCTCCTTATATTTAATTATTTTAATTGTAAAGTATAATAACTGGGGAATGAATTGTCTAATTTTGAACGAATTAATGCAATAAAAAAGGAATAAGAGGAAATCAAGTGAACACTTTGAAATCCGATGCATAATACAAAATAAATTGGGTTGGAGGTCACACAGAGATCGTCGCTCTAGGCAGGGTTTTGCATCTGAAAATCAATCCCAAAAAGTTTGATAGTTTCAAATTCCTTTATGTTACCAGATATTTTCAATCATTTTGAGCATAATAAATATTAATAAACATTTAAAAAATAAAGTTGATACTTTTGATTTATTGTTTTTAGGCTGAAGCTGCACAGCAAGAAGCATGTGAACTTTTTGAACAGATGTCTGATAAAGGGAAAGAAGGTGATATGCAGTTTTTTTTCCCCCAACACTTTTATTAAGTTATTTTAACTGTTTGTGTTTTTTTTCTCCAGAACTTGTTGATTTTAAATCACGCCGAGTTGCGTTTTTCCGGAAAAATCTTATAGATCTGGCAGAGCTTGAAATCAAACATGCGAAGGTATAACCAAAATATATTACTTTAAGATTTTAATTCTCAATTTTCATTTTGTTTTTCTTCTTTATTTTGACTTGGTTTTTTTCTTATCTAGTCTCAAGTTCAAATACTGAAAACGTGCATATCGTCACTCAAAGCAGAGGAGTGACAACAGATCGGTTCTTATGATTGAGCAATATGACAATAAACATCTCAACGATCGTTGTGAGGGATCCTGCTGTCCTATAACAAGCAGATTTGGTACATTCCATTATATTCATTCTCATAATTGATTATAAATCTAAAAATCCTATTATTGTGATTGTAATTGTAATTATTGAACAGTTATAAAATATTTACTATTCTTTATAATCATACTCTCTGTGTATATGGATTGTATTTAAAATTATTATTATTATTATGAATGTATCCATAATCAGGAAAAGTAATATGGAGTTTATTTAATGGCTCGCTCATGCAATACAAATTAATTTTCATTTTTGTTTTATATATTATTATTTGAATCTATATAAAATTTATATTATTTTGTTATTAATAAATGCTTATCATTATGATACTCTTATAATTTTAGTGCAGTCACAGCTCCTGCCTCATATTCCTTTCTGTCCTTAATAAATTCATTTCAAATCTTTGCTGTAATTTAACTATATTATACCTCAAAAATTGAATGATAACTATTATTATAAAAAGTAGTGTGGCAGAATACATAAAATGAATAACATACAAATTAAATTAATTTATTTCATTAACAAAAAATTAAAAATAAGGTATCTATACATGAAACAATTGTCTATGAAGAAGTAGGCTTTGACTTTGTATTTATAACATGTTCTAATTGTTTCAAAGAATGTGTTGCAGATCCCCTCTGGGCTGGCTGAGGCTGTGATGGATCGGGTTTCCAGCCGAGAAAATACAAGATTTGAAATGTCGCAGGAACTTTTTCATCCGAGCCGTACAACTGTCTGTAAATTGCTGAAGCGGCCACCATGACATCTCGGTTAAGGTGTTGACTTCTTGACCATGAACAATTATTTTCCCCCATGCCTAAATGTACAAGGATAATATTGAGTCATGGTAAAAAAGGTATTATATTCGGTCGAGTACCTTTTAAATCCCACATGAGTTCAAACATCGACGGATATGAGACTACGATTTCATCCGCGTCTATAGTGAGCATTGTGAACCCGGCTTGACTCAACAGTCCACCGATATCTCTTACATCTGTGAAAGGGGAAATATGTGGCGATATACCACCCAATCTTTCAACTTCTGCCAATTGAAGGGAAGATCTGAAATAAAAACAGATACAAGTTGAGACTTTTGATAGCATTTAATTTGTAAGAAATAAATTTTAATTATGAATGTGGCATATAATTATGCTATCAATGGAAACATTGAGCGACATAGTTTAGATATATCAGTTTTAAGATATATCAAATTGTTTTAATAAAATAAATGCTTTTAAATAATAAAAATATGGTTCATAAGATGTTATTTTTGTTTAAATAGGTTGTTATTAATTTTTTTATCTTATTACCCACTCTTCCACAGAGTTGGATGTTTCCATCTGCATTGTCTAATTGACCATATTAATTTTTTTCATCAACCCATTGATTAATGATTATTCAGAAATTGTGAGATGCAGTCTGGTGTGATGTAGGTTTCAGAAAAACATTTTCTTTATCGTGCCACGTTTCAACTTTATTGAGATCATCTTCAGGGCTCAAAGAGTTGTGTTTTCTACGTAATTGTGCCATTGCTGCGTGTTGTGTTGAGAGTGCCGATTAATTGACCATTGATTAATATAATAAGTAAAGCAGTAATCACTTCACTAACAGATCGTCGTGGCCATTTTCATAAGTTCCTAAAAATTGAATTCTGATTGCACAACATTTGAAAAATGACAGTGGTAAAATGCGAAAGGGGAGTTGGTGTCCGAGTAGATAGAAGTCATGATAGCTCAAATGATAGAGCAACGGTGTAATGAGCCGAAAGTCATGGGTTTGAATCTAGCATAATTAATATGGTCAAATATGATCACTAAACATATATGTACTACATTTTATGTTGTGTAATAATTTGAATTGATATTTTTTATTATCATTGTTGACGGTATTTGTTTATTATACCATGTTGAAGTTTGAATTGATGTTTCCAATAATAACTTATATATAAGTATGCTCCAAAATCAATAAATTGTTTAAATAAAATAATTTATTAGTTATTAACCCAACTCTGCAGATGGGCACAACCCATGCTATTTGAGATTTAAGTTATTGTGCATTTAGGATTTTTTTTTTTTAATAAGAAAATGTTTCTTTTGTAATGTAATAATAGTCAACACTTTTCTATTCTATTCTAGTTATACTTGTGCTGTACAAACAATTCATGTAAACTAAGTTTGATACCTCAATTCGTATAATGTGTCTCCGCCAAAAACACAACCAATGAAAGCTCCATCGGGCTTCAAGCATTTCATGATTTGGCTGAAAGTACCAGGGAGATTGTTGACCCAATGGAGAGAGAGGCTGCTGAGGAACATGTCTACGGAGTCCGCCTCGAAAGGCAGACGCTCCTCGTCGACGACGAGCTTCTCGACGTTGACACCCTCTTCTGGAAGTGCAGCCTCGTCCAAAATGGGCTCGCATCTATCGCACATGACCAACGTCTCGACGCAATCGGCCAAAATATTCTTGGACACGCTTCCACGACCGCATCCCAAGTCCACGACCTTGCCGAACTTTCGTTTGATGTCGAAGACCCTGTCCGCCAGGCGGTATCCGACCTCGTCTTTTAAGTACTGGTATATTTGAGGATTTTCGAGTTTAGACGCACGCCACTTCTGGAGAAGCTTGGCGTCCCGGTCGAACACGTTCATTATCACATTTTGACAGCACCCTTGTGAAAAAGTTAACGTCCGTTTAAATGTAATCGTTAAATGTTTAAATTTATTTACACATAAACAAGAATTCAACATAACGATGTAAGGATTTAAAATAAGAATCCGAGGTTACAGTATTGTTACCGTCATAATCATAACTGGAAGGTTAAGAAAGGTAAATCGTTTTATTGTTCTTCCAGTTGAACAAATGCACTTCTTTCTCATAACGTTTTACTTAGAAAAACACAACAAATCGTCTTTATACTCAATCAAGGGGATGGCGTTTGAATTTAAAATTTCATCGTTTTCTTGCCAGAATTTATCTTTAATTATATCACAGTGGAGTGGAACTATCACCGCTTTGGGTTTCGTCTCGTTGGGAAAAACTACGGATTTCCTGACGAGTGTGGTCCCTTTACGAAACATTTCCGGTTCCTTGTTGTAGTTGAGATTGAATTCCTGAAAGAGCAGCTCGTTCTTTTCGCTCGACACAGTACCACTTAATTTGTTCTGCGCCTGTAGACAAAAAAAAAAAAAACTTTATACTATTGATTTTAAATTTAAATCAGTTATTATAAGTTGTTTTAAAGAAAATATTAAATTTTAAAATCAATTAAAGCCCAGAACGTTGTTCTGACAGAATAAATTCGCAGCCCTAATAGTTATTGTTTGCTTTTTCTAAGAAAATTAAACGCACCCTTACTTTGATTACCATCCTATTAGTACTCTTCCACCTCTGTGTAAATATTTGAGAAGATTTTATCTAAACAAATATCCTTATTGACTCCCATGCCTTTATATCCTATTTCAATCTGGCTTCAGAAAATTTTGTAGTTTTGAGACAGTCCTCAAATTCTCAGATGAAATACGCCTAGGCATTGATGATAACAAGTGGACTACTATTGTTATATTTGAATTTTTTAATGTATTCAGCCCGTAAATCATAATTTTCTTATATGAAAACTGACAAAACTGTTTGGCTTTTTTTCTACTGCTACTAATTTAATTTCCACTTATCTGTCTGCAAAAATTAAAGAGAGTTAAAGCTTCAAATTGTATATCTTCTCTCTCAATTTTAGTTGGTGTACCGAAAGGTGCTATTCTTGAACCTTTCCTCTTTTCCATGTTTCTAAATAATCTTCCATTTCTCACAATTTTCTTTTTATGCTGATGATTCTCAACTTGAATTATACATCTAACTTTCGAATATCTCTGAAAGTTCGACAAAAATGATTACTTCAACTGACAAGTACCATTTTCAATAACTTGATCCGCTGCGGTATGCTGGATTGGTGACATTCAAACCTTGAAAAATTTGATGGTTTAAATAATCAAAAATTGGCAATGCTGGCCCAAGGAATTTACGAGGTAAAATTACTGAACCGTAGAAAGTTTACCACATTTCACGTGTGTCCCAAATGGATTACTATCTGTAGAGGCTCTTGACAAAAGAATAAGGCAAATTTTTCACTCATACACAAAAAGAATCAAAAAGGCAAGGGTAGGGTAATCGAATATTTTAAGGGCATAGTATATACCTCTTCACGAGAAAGTCCTTTTATTAGGACAAGAGACCAAAAGCAGGTATTGTACAAGTTGTTCACGTGCACGTCCGCTTGCCTCCAGCTCATGTAATCTCTGAGATTTTCGACAGTCGGATAAAGTACGATCCTTGCGTCGAAGGAAGGCGCGTATAGAAGTTTTTTTTCCGGGAACTCCAGAGGCCAGAAGAAGACGTAAGACGAGGAGAAGAGGCTGGTGACCAGGGACAGAATTTTCTCGCTCCTTCTACTGTATATGTCGGTGTTTTTCTTGAAAACGAAACTGTACTCGTCGCTGTGCCCGAACGCGACGACGACGTCCCTGAACTCGTTCATGACTCTCGCCGCCGCTCGCGACATCAGCGTCAGACCTCGGGCGTCGTTCGGCTTCCTGAATCCGTGTTTGTCCGTGAATTTGTGAAAGCCCTTTCCGTCAATTCGGACGACGATCCAACAATTTTGCAAACATTTCGTTTCGACTTCGAAATCGCGCACGTACTCAAATTTGCTTTTGGCCATCTCTTCTACCTTTTATAACACTAACGCTTTACTTATCTTTTAAAATGAACTATTAAATACTCGAATGAAACAAAATTAGTACTCCTACCACGCGTCAAATAAGGAACATCCAGTCCTTATATAACATAAATGAAATTTTCATAATATATAACAGTTGACACGTGAATCATCACAGCCGTAACCTACTCAGTACTTAGTTCTTGTCACCAGTAAAGTTTAAATTTAAAAACAATCGATATAGATATCGATTTCTATCGATTGTTGTCTACTACCAGATTTAATATATTTTTTAATTAGAAATCTTACGAATTATATATTTATTTTAATTAATAATACTGATTTAATTGACATGATGTTATACACATAGTGCAAGTTTTGAGTGTTGAAAAAAATTCTGGAGTTTATCACATCATATAACAAAAAAGTACAATATAAATAAATTAATTAACTCTGTATTAAAGTTATATCATTTTCATTTTAATAAAATATTTTCTGTATACCGATATTACATTATTTTACCCGTTATTTAAAACATTCAAGAAACGAATAATAAATATCCGGCCGTGGAAGACATCGGAGATCGTCACGGTTAAATGTATGAAGTGTGGGCCCGTTATTGCCTTTAAATTATGGTTCTGTTTTTTAATTTTCTTTGACAAGTCTGATTAAACGTAATAAATATTGTAGATTTCTTAACTACATGAACGATGGATTGGTAACTCCTTGTGAACGAAACCCAACACTATTTGGACGTTAAGGTATTTCGGTCGACTATTTTTTGTTTTTAATTTCTGTGGTGCCTGGTAATTTAAAGACATCTGGTTAAATAAACCCAATCAGATCTACTGTGAATGGACCCCAGTTTTATGAACTTACCATTGAAAGTCTTTCCTAAGTGCTTCTTGGCTAATTTCTTTATAAGTTAACTTTCCAAAATGGCGGTACTGTTTTCACAGATATTGGTTTGGTAAAAAAGTACTGTCGTTTTTCAATTATAGCATTAATTAGCTCAATATTTACATTTTTGTCTAAATTGTTTTCGTTTACAACGCTTTTTTAATCCCTGTATTGAAAGGTTGGGATTACAGCTGATTTAAATGGCCCCTGTAATCTCTAATCAAATTTGTTTTTCTCTGTACCACTTCACTAATTTAATTAGGCGTCGCTTTCCAAAGTTGTAGTAATGTTTCCATTACCTACTTGTTAACTACATTTTGTCAACGGTCTCTTCAATATGAAATTTCGACTATACTACTTCAGCCTATTCATCGCCATTATTAAAAATGGTTCTGGTAGAACATTGCAAGTTTGACAGCTATAGTATTTCCTTAAATCTCATCCTGTCCTGGCACATTGACAACGTTTATGTTAGGTTCACATTATATTGGGTTGTCCGGAAAATAATGCAGGATTTTAAGTTTTCATTAAAAAAAATCTATATAAAATATTCTGTTTACGTTTACAGGATTACNAATTATTTTGATTAAAGAACATTGCTTTAAAGTAACTAGTTTCTTTTTTTTTGTTTAATACCAAAATCCTGCATTATTTTCCGGACAACCCAATAACATTTCCCAGGTTGTTGAAGATGAAATGTATATTAATTCATCAGGGTATGTGATTTTTGCTCACTTCTTCACGTTCAAGAATAATCTACCAAGCATATAAACATTAGTTTTTAGCAAAAAATACGTTTGAAACCATGTATTAAAAACATAATTATGCCAATTTGAAGGTATATTACGATTGTTTTGCCGTGATGATGATCTCAGTCGATACCTTGGTTGTAACAATTGAATTTGTTTTTTCATTCGGGCAATACTGAGATCCAGATTATTCGAGAGCAAAAAATTGGTTACATCTAACACTTCAAACCGAAATTTCCTGTTCACCGTGCTCATTTACAAGAGTTCATTTGAAGTTCAAGGGGATGTATTATAAGTTTTTGTTCTATGTATATACTGTATACAGGGTCATTTTAACTTCTGTCCCCTCTTATATTTTTTTATTAAGGTGTTTTTGTGAAAAACCCTAAAACAAGCAAATTTTTACTTTTTGTCTAGTATCTTACAAACGAAAAAGTTTTATTCTATCCTCCCAACCTTCATAATGGGATACGGATAGGAACTTAATATTTTAAATAGCAAGATTCATCAGTATAAATTTTTTGAAAGGTTTTTTGACGCTGAATTCAACGGTGCAATCAGTTTTTAATTTGGTGCAACCATTCACAAGTTATTCACAAAAACCTTTTTCTGAACACGATTTTTTTGAACAAAATATTCTTTAAACAAGAGCCAATTTATTTATTTATCATTTTAATTGATAGTAAATTACTTGTGGTACTGAAAAAAAATAAAAAAAATAAAAAATTGGCACTCTTAATCTAGCTCATTAAAAGGCTCTTCAGCCTGATGCAGACTTTGGTTCCACAAATACATACAAACTTAAAGAAATTCATGTTTGTCAAATTCATGGTTATCAAGCAAATAGTTTGAGTTTTTATATAATAATATGTATAAAAAATTGTTTCTCTGCCTGTCAGTCCATCTGTCTATCTGTTTGTTGTCTGTTCGTCTATCTATCTACTTACCTCCCTTTCTATCTATCTATATGTCTATATATCTACCTATCTATACATCTTGCTATCTATCTATTCACCTACCTACCCACCTCTTTATCTATCTATCTGCCTACTTGACTTCTATCTGTCTATCAACCTACCTACCTACATACCTATCTACACCAACATTCATGAAGAAAAGCAGCAAGGGTAGGCTTGCTTTTAAGTTTTTTACTAAAATTGAAAAATGCGCTAAAGCTAAATGTTTGCTTCCTGCTCACTACTCATTCCAAATGCTCATGGGACATGGAAATTTCAAAGTTTCGAATTTTTTATCACTGAATTATTTATATGATTTGTCTTGTACATTCTATTTTATTATTTATTTATTGTATATGCACAGAACACAAGCACAAATAGTTTTAATGCGGGGCTATCGTCCTTTACATTGTAAAGGGAACACGAGCAAAGAGGGTACCTATTTTGGATTTAATAGTTTTAAAGAAGGAAAAACCCTAAATGTCCTCTAGCCTCCCCTTTAACTAGGTGAGGCATGAGGAAAGAGTTAGGCTAATTACCAACTATTGTCTTGATAACTAAATTTTTGTAAATAATACCCTATGTTAAAGTTGGTTGGTGGATGGGAAGGAAAAAATCGAAACTACAAAAACCATTAAAACAGAGGAAAAGCTTAAACACACCACATACAATGTCTATCTTAAAGATTTGAACACTATATAATGCCTTTTAATTATAAAAGTATTAATAATTAATTTATAATGCATTTTAATTATAAAAAAGATTTAAATAATGTTTAAAAGCGAAATAAGTTGTTCTTTTGCTTTAGCTGTTGTAAAAAAGAGGCAAGCTGTGTATTAAAGTTTGCGTCAGGTTAAAATGAGTTATATCTATGACCTCATGAGTCCCCCTCTTTGTTTATCAACCCGCCGGTTTCTCTTCAAACAATTCTATGTAGCTGCATGGGTTTATTTTGGTAATATTTGTCAATAACTTAAATATAATATATTGTAAAGTTAGTTACCTCAGTTTAAATGTTTCAACGTGTGACTTAAATATAGTTGATATATTAGAGTTTAAAACTGTCATTCGTAGGTAAGCCTAAACAAAAATCTACCCTTTTTACTTGGTAAACAAGTCTTTTTTGTTGTTGATTAGCGATTTATTTAAAAATACGACAGTATACGTTAAACCGTAAATGGATACACATTTTGATTTTATCTCAGTACTAAATTGGTATTTTCATTGATGACCAAAACACTTGTTATTTCAACACAAACGCCAGACTTAAAAATGTTTCCTCACTTTATCACTATGCATATATAATTTCTCTTATTAGCAAGTAAGTTAAAAGGTATGTCGACTATTTGATATTGATGTACATAGTGAAATCATCCATCCAAGGCCAACATTTTACAGATTGTATATAAGGGAACCTTAACCCTCAAATGATACGGTACAGGTCGGATCTGACCCAGCGGTTCATTTTACCTGTTCCCTACCATTCCCTTTCATTGGTGGTGGTCAAGTCAGCCAGAAACCCTACCTTCCAGGGGTGTGACATCTAGTGTAGTGATGATGTCGGATAAGTGAATATATCTTCCTAATTCCAGTTTTCCCTTGAGGTATTTTTATTTTAGGCCGCTTCCGACCTGAGCATACCAATGTTCCTAACATCGCTAATGACTTCTTTTTCGCGTCATGAACAGTGTATTGAAGGTGTTTTGACTGTGATGAGGAGGATGAATGCTCCAAGTCTGATGTAGAAGGAACAGATGATAGTTTCGATTAGGGAAGGATGAGGAAACAGTCTGGACAGATAAGTTTTCCGCTCAATATATTCACAAACCTCTTCTTAAAATGTGATTACTCACCTGTTGAACCTAAAGAGAATGCACGGGACAAAAAGAAACATTATTTTTCACTTTTTGTCACTAATGAAATGATAGGAAACATTGTTTGTCATACTCATAAAGAAATAGAGAACTCAATGCTCAAGTACAATAAACCACTTTATTTATTACCTACATTGTTGGCATCCCTATATGGTATATCAAGACAACAAAATATTTTCTAAAAATAATTAAAAGGTTTTATTTTTGTAAGATATTATCAGTAAATGCTATTTTACAATAAAAATGAACTTATATCTACCAAAAACCTCATCAAAAAGAGGTAGGGTCGGATCTGACCTGACCGTACGATGTATTCATCTCAAACCACTAAACCATTTGAGCATTAACATTTTCATCACCTTATAATTTTTTTTAGCATTTCAGCATTATTACATATAAAAATTTGAAAGAGGGCAAGGTTTCATTTAACCGCTCTCTATTTTTTTAAGGCATGAAGCCTGAAAATTATGACAATTTTAAGCATTCATAGAATAGTTAAGGCTTGGTTTTGATGTTCAATCGAGTATAAAAAAAACATTTGTTTAAGCATATGAAAATTATTTAAGTGAATTAAGTTAGGAATAAAAGGAATTAAAAGAAAATTTTAATTCATAGGTTGTTACAAAAGTCTTTGTTTAGAAAAGCAATTATATCCAATCATTAATCCTCCTTTGATAGTTAAAAGGATATTTTTTATTTATTTATTTTTTTTTTTTCAGTTATCCGGATGTTCATCGTCAGACATAAAATCTGCAAGTACATTTTTCAATGTAAATTGTAGACTTCACTTATTAATGTTAACTTAAAAAAAAAAATTATGTTGGAAAACCTTTTGTAATTTTATTGTACTTGACAAGCATTTAAAAGCTCAAAATCTGGATAACTGGAGGTCAAAAAATAAATAAAAAAAGTATAACTATCATTTTTGACTGTTAAGTTGATATACTATCCACCTGTATATTTGTATCTATTTGCATTAATTTGTAGTTTTAAACTAGTGGTAATCACATGTCAGTAGTACTTCAATGATTGTGATATTGCCATTGTGCAAGGTATGACGTAAAATATGCAATAAAAACAGTTCCGTGAGAGAAGCTTTTATATTTCAAGAGCACTGTTGATAGGTGGCCCTCGACCCATAGAAGAAGGGTCATCTTCACTCGATTAAGAATAAGGCATGATAGGTTGGAATTTATTTGTTACTTTTGGGCTGAAATTCGAGTATATGTAAAAAAGCATGTAGAGAAAGGTCGTTTGATTCCCCCCTCCTGTAGCAGTTCCTTGGCTCTGTATAGAGTTTGGGGTGGTTAGGGATGTAGGAATGCAATCCAATATGAAAATTGTTCAAAGCGATTAACTGGGTCCCTTATTCTTACTCTTGGAGGAAGAAGGGAAGTTATATAGTAGTGATATTGTTGTGTGTTGGGAGTGAATGTATTTATTAGCATAATTTGAAATGGTCAGTGGTAGAATATTCCTATATTGCAAATGAATATACCTCATTTAGGGTAGTTACATATTATGTGAAAAAGAATGATGGAGGAATATCGAGTATAACACCACCTTAACTGAGTCAGTGATATTTAAATTAGAAAGAATGTGTTTAAGTGTGAGGGTGAATGGGTCTGGATTTAGGAACTGGTTAGGTTGGGGATTGGGTTGATAGCCCCTGTACCCCAACAGAAATGACTGAAGTCTAACCCCTGGACTGCCTACACCCAGGGTGGGTGATTCTCGAGGCCTACCAGTAATGTTTTGTGAAATACAAAAGCTAGAATTGCTGGTGAACTGCAAGAAGTGTATCAGTAATCAGCAATCCTTATTTATGTAATTGTGTTCGTTGAGACATCATTGTTAATGAAACTCCATTTTTCTCAGTTGATATAACCAGAATTCGTTAATGGAAGTATCAATTTCTTGACTAACTCTCTAATTAACCCTGGAATCGTACTGGTAATTTTGAGTTTCTAAAAAATATATCCGAAACACTAGTCAGTGGGTCTGCTAATGTAGCTAATTTGATCTTGTTCCAAATGGCTTAAAAAATCTAAAATAATATATTTTTGATAGTATGTGTTGGTTTGTGAGTTGATAAACCGGCACTTACTGACTACTCTCTACTAACTCGTTTCTTGTGTTTAAGCATCAACAAAAATGGCTCCTAGCGAGTGGCCTGGTGCTGGTTTAATATGTAACAAATTACTATTGAGTTTTAAATGACAAATTGTCTACTTTTGTAACCTGGTTTCTATAGTGCTTCACATCGTTAACATTTGACACAGGCAGATTTCATAGAAGTTTCTTGTCCCACCCTGCTTATTCCCCAACATTGTGCAATCTGGCTGTGCTGTTTTTAATAATTGGCATATTTTGTTAAAGGATAGCAAAACTCATGGTTTTAAACCTTTGATATGAAGTTTTAAAAGAAAAATAATCTGTTTTGATCAATTAGGTACAGCTGAGTAAAACTCCTGTACATCATTCGTATTTGAGACAAGGAAAATTGTAGAATGTAAGAAGTCTGTATCTAGCCATACCTCGCTTACATATTTGACATTTTTTCAATTTGTAGTACTGTTTTTTGATCATGGCTGAGGATCATGTCTTAATTCAAACCAAAAGTTTTAATTTTTTTTTTTCAAAATCAGCAGAACCCCAGAGGTTTATATAATAACTAATTACCAATTTTGTGTTATGATGAAGGGCTTTAATGATAATTAATTAACTAATATCTGATTTAAAAAATTGATCAATCACTCTTTAATTTCTGCAAACTCTCTTGTAGTTATTAAAATGGACTCTCATGAACTACAAGATGGTAAAGTTGAAATTCTTGATGTAGTCAACCCAGGTTTATATTGGATTAAATGTCCTTATTGTTTACCAATAAGCACAATAAGCAGTTTTTTAAACGAACACATTAATAAAGAAGTCTTAAAAGGAGTGTCTAGGACATGTTTCTCACCTAAAGTGAACGAAGTAAGTCTTTCTTAGAAATGGTGGTTTTTTTATTTTTTTCTCCCTCTTGACGTTTGTGTTATGCAAATGCTTTTTATTTTTATTATTCTTTAAGCTGAATAACTGCTTTTTGCTTCTTTAACAGTAAAAATTATTTTTTTATTGCTAAAACCATTTTAATTATTCTTTATTTTCATTTTTAAAAAAAGGCGTTTCAGTTTATTTTTTATGGTTTGGGGCTTTTATTTTTTTAATTATATTTTTATTTCTTTGTGTGGTGTTTAGTGACCATTAATTAATGATTATTTGGAAATTGTGAAATGTGGTCTGGTGTGACATAGGTTTTAGAAAACATTTTCTCTATCGTGCCAATGTTTCAATCTTTTTGAGATTATCTTCAGAGCTCAAAGTGTTTTTTTCCTGTGTAGATGTGTCATTCTTCACTCTCAACACTACACACAAGAATGATAAAGAAAATGCTTTTCTAAAACCTACATCACACCAGACCGCTTTTCTGATTTCCAAATAATTTTTATTTATTTATTTATATTTTTTGACCAGAGAAACTTCCATTGTGGTGGTTGCTAAAACATGCTTGAATGTTAATGCTTGTGACTCAACATGTGTAGCCAATGCATGATAAAATAGAAAAAATGCAATATTTGAACCAATTTTTTGTGATTTGCATAATTAAAGAACTCTTACTACTGCAATATTGTTTGTTTACATTTCAATAAGGATTGCTTTACCATGCTTGGACTCACTTGGTCTGTAATATTTAAGCATTATTATTGGAATAATAATTTATGACATTTGCTGCATAAGTTGTAATTCTATTTATACTTATATTATTTTAGAGGGTCATTTTTGAAGACTTAGATGGAACGTTGTACAGAGGCATTATAAGGAAACACGAATCTCCCAAATATTATGTTAGGTTGATTGATGCATGTAAAGAAGTAAAAGTACAAAACACATTGTTATACCCAAGTACAATCATAACATACAATAGTTTAGAAAAACAAGCGCATTTAGTGGGTGTTTTTGGTTTAATTCCTTTTGAAATTTCCGATCAACATTGTATAACATATTCCTTCATTGAGTAAGTACTGTTATTTTTATTTAAAAAAACATCCTCATTGTATGTTGTTATTCCATTATTATGTTTCTTCTCTTTTCAAGGAATTTAAGAAGATGGAACAGTTTCAATCCTGAGATAAACGATATATTGGATAGTTATAAAAACGTGACGGTATTTAAAATAAAATGCTATATTGATGATATTCCTTATGGAAAATTTAAACTTTTTGATGGAACAAAAGTTTACAGTTTGTCTAAAGTGATCGTAGACAAAAATATCGGCGTAGAGTCAACAGATTTTCCCAAAGGTAATTTCCCAATGGTGAAACATTTTGTTTAGATCTAAGAAGTGAGGACCTGTAGTTTGCTCACATACGATCACTGTCTGTCAGATGTGTTGCCGCATTTTACTGTCTTCAATGTTGATCAGTTATTTAATCATCTGTGTTTTCAATTTGGGGTGAAATAGACTTAATTATGGTGTTTTTAATGTTGTTCTGGTATGTAGTGCTTATCAATATTTGTATGTTCATACTTTTTCAGACAGAAAAAATTCAAAACACATCTGATAGAAAATAAGTCAACCAAGGTGATTCAAGATGAAAAACAAATTAACAGTCAACAGGCGACTGTGGTTAGTGTGCTTGACCCCGAGGTTGTGGATTGATTCCCCCCCCAATTTTCTTTAATACTCCCCTTCCCCTAAAAATAATTGGTGTTTTAGTTCACACACAAAAAAATTGTTGATTATAAGATTTTTACAACCAAATTAAATTAATAAAAAGAATTTGAATAATATAACTACTAATTTCACTAATTTCGAGGTCCGCTCGGCCAATTAATATATTACAATTAATTAAGGTTTTTAGTTGAGATAAAAAACTCTATGGCACGAGCGGGGTTCAAACCCACGATCTTCGGCTAGATACGCCGCTGCTCTACCACTTGAGCTATCGTGACCTCGAGCCACCCGGACACCAACTTCCCATCTCAACCCCACCTTTTGAGTTTTCCCTCCTTTTTTGGCAAAAAATGAGATGGGAAGTTGGTGTCTGGGTGGCTCGAGGTCACGATAGCTCAAGTGGTTGAGCAGCAGCGTATCTAGCCGAAGATCGTGGGTTCAAATCCCGTTCGTGCCATTGACATTTTTATCTCAACTAAAAACCTTAATTAATTGTAATAACTACTAATGGATTCTAGTTTTAAAAGTCATCAGTTTGTGTTTTTTCCCCTTTAATTTATTTTATGATCTTTCGTTTTTGTTGCCCTTTTTCATTTATTTTTTTAAAATTATTATTTTTCTAATTTATTGTTCTTTGGCTAATTTTTTAGAAGGAAATTAATTGGATCATAAAAAATAATTAAATCTCATTTTTTATTTAATTATCCATCTTCTAAAAAATTGGCCTTAGAACAATAATACAACAAGAAACAATTATTTGATTTATTTTTAGATATTATTGGAACACAATTTACTGAATTAATAGCTGAAAAATCCAAGATTAAGCAGCCTGTTGATGTTACAGTGCAAAAGGTAAATTATGTTCATTCAACTATTCATGACAAAGCAAATACAGTTATAAAATATTTTATACGTATATTACAGGAAACAAGAGCATCTGTTAAAAAGAAACCAAAATTTAAAGTAAGCCCACAGAGGAATTTAATTATTACAGCATTAGCTAATGGTATTGTCCTAGATTCTACACTACTAACAGAAGGTGCTAAAAATATTTCTGTTGCTCCATTAGAAAATTTTTATAAATCTTTGATAAAATCATCCAAATTGACCAGAAATCAGCCAGATAAACTGTCAGGGTCATGTAATAAAACATCTAATAATCAAGAAATAATAGAGATTTCAACATTTTCTTCTTGGAAGAATATCACAAAAGAAGTAATGAGTGATAATAGTAATGTCAAAATGAATGATGGGGATGAGGAAAGGAAACTTCAAGTTAATATAGTTAATGCAGCCGCCACTTGCAATGAACAAGAAAATTCTGAAGAAAAAATTAAATATTTATCAAATCCACGTGAACCCCTCGAGCCAAAGGTTGGTTGTGGCAGAGGGAAACTTTTGAAACAGTTGTTTAAGTCACACCACCAAAAACCAGAAGACAACAAATTCCCGTCCGAGAATAAATCACATGATCAGTCATCGGTAAACTCGAATGCTGATGAATCCAACAAAAAAGAAATTCATTGCGTGATGGAGCAGCCTTCATTAAATGCTGATGAGCATTTTAATTCCAAAAAAGATTTAGATTTGGCACCACAAGTTCCTTTAAATCAACCACAAAAATCAGATTGTATAAAATCAAATCTTGATAACAACATTGCAACACAAAACATCAATTCACAACATTCTAATCAGATAGATTACTATAATTCTGGTTCACGACACAAAAAAGGAACTATGAGTGTTTCAAGGAAGGTTGAACACACAGAAAATGTAAAAAAAAGCAATAAAAAGAAAGGACCTCCTAAAATTACAATTTCTGTTCCTCAAGACACTTCTTATCAGTCTGCCCAAATATGTGAGAAGGCACAGCCATTACGTGAAGTTTTTATTGACAATGATCCTTACAAACAAGTAGATCTGCCTAGCAAAATGAAGAGTAAAGAATACGTTACTTCTTCTGACTCAAAAGAGGATTTATGTAAAACATTTCCAAAACTAGATGACTCTGAATCATCCAACTCCTGTAAAACAGACAGTTTTGAAACTTGTGTACCTGATACTGAGAAGAACCTTACAGAATTAAAAGTCTATCGTAAGGGTGCTGGTAGAGCTGCAATATTTAAAGCGTTGGTTTCTCAAACTTCACTCTTAGGCAGGGCCTCCAAGCATATGGATGATAACGTAAAAGCTTGTCACCAATTTTCAGATGCTGAATCTGACGAATTATTACAGCCAGAAAAAAACATTCAAAAATCTACTCAAAGAGTATTAAATAAGTCAGAACTACCAGATTCTGTTTCATTTAAAAATCAAGCTAAAAATAATGCAAATGATAAAGAAGAAATTTCACAGAGTTCAGAATTGCCACACCATAAAATACAGGGTGCAGCTTCTCTTAGTAAGAAACTAGGAAGAGGAAAATTGTTGTCTTTTCCATCTCAGTTGGCTACCACTTCAACTCCACTTCCATCTATTTCTTCAGACACAGATTGCAGAGAATCGTTAGACATTTCTTCTATTCAACAAGCCAGTAGCACAGAAATTTCTGACATTGAGAGAATGACTGAGCAAAAAAGAACAATAAACCTGTTAAAACCAAATGCGTACAACAAACAGACAAATTCAAATGAAAATTTGAAAGGTATCATTGACCTTTCAAAGGATTTGAACGGAACAGAAGAACAAACTAATTTATTAGATTCAAGTGATGACGATTTTTTCAACCCTGATTTGAATAAAAACAATTTAAGCCTTGATAAATCTTCTTCAACATTGTCCGAATCAGCCGAAGAAAAGTTATCTGTCTTTCCTGAATATGTTAAGGAAGAATTATCTTCTTCTTTTGGAACTAGTTCTAGTGAAGCAGAAAATGAGAAACCTAAAATTACCGAGCTAGAAGAAAAATATAAGGAGTAAGTTTTTTGTTTTATATAACATAAAATTTAAACGGACTGACTATAAATTTATTATTGTTTTTAGTACATTTCACATTGGAGAGAATTTAGAGAGAATGAAAGGAATAGGCGGGATTCTCCATGGCAATACACAAACCAAATTGGCACCATCACTTCAAGCCATCCCATTAAATAAACTAATAATGGCTGTTAGTTTAGTTTTCATCTATTAAAAGTCTATGAATACATATCTCTCTTGTCTATATATATTTTTTTTTCATTTTTTCAGAATTTGAGTTTCAGGAGGGTTACCGACTTGACAAGATGCCAAATTTTCTCAATACCGGTTCTGCTGGAAAACAGAAATTTTGTTCTTGTCGGTCCACCTAAAACAAAGAAAACAACCTGTTATCTATTGCCTCTTTTAACGCTTTTACTGAATGAGGAGTATTACTCAATGGTTTACTATCTTAATTACTATTAAAATCATAATGTCTCGTATTTTATGTATTTATAATATTTACTATAATGTTTTAAGTTGAAAGACGGCAATGGTCCAAAAGGTGTAATCATCGTTCCGACTGCTCAAAGAGTTAGATATGTAGCAAGCCTTTCTTCTTCATTTTGTGGAGCTAGGATTAACATTATAACTACACATGGAGGTGGTTTAGAATTAGAAAGAAAGGTACAGTGATTCCCTTTTGTGAATTTTTATGCAAACACGTTCTATTAAATGTATACATACACATAACTGAAAATTAACTGACAATGAGTAAGATTTTGTATAGGGGAACCAAAATAAAGAACATATACAAAGGGCAAATAGAAATAAAATAATATAAACATTTTTCATTTTCAAATGTTAAATGAGCTGCCAGTGTGATAGAAAATAAACTAAAACAGATTTATTTGCCTTGTAACAGGATTTTGTACAAAATGCTTGCTTGGTCCATTTCTTTATACATATATTTTTTTAATCATATAATTTAATAATATTTTTATTTGTAGGATGAATTAATAAATGGCTGTGATCTACTTATTACTACTCCAAGATGCTGGTTGAGGCTATTGAATCAACCGCATGTAACTAACATAAGGCGTTTGTGCCATATTGTTTTTGACTCTGTTGATACATTATTTGATCTATTTCTTGATGAGGTACAATAATCATTCTATTTATTTATTTTTTAAATTAGATTTTTGTCTAATTATCTTTTGGTTTTTCTTGTAGTTAAGGGAGATTTATATCAAAATCGCTAGTCTGGAAAAATATAGAAAACAATTTAACATAAAATACGGCATTCAGATGGTATTTATTGCCGAAAGTTGGAGCAAAATTTTAGAAGAAATCACTTTGTCCAAAATAAAAAATCCTGTACTCTGTATTACAGCACATTTAGAAGCGGCACTTTATGCGAGAATAAAGCCAACGTTGGTTATATTAAAGAAAGGAAACAAACTTAAAAAATTTCTAAGTAATCATTTCTTTAAAATTTTGAGAAGTTTATTTTTAATTAAAAATTGTAGTTGTAAAACTTGCTTTATCGCACTTTTTTGCCCTGATGTTTAGAATTATAAGAAAATAAAAATTACTAAGTATGAATTTAAATGTGTAGTATTAAAATGTTTTTCTAAATCTACATCACACTAGATCGCATCTCATGATCTCTATGAATTTAAAATTTAAAGTGTTCTTTTATTAAAAGCTCCTTAGATAAATGTATTTTACTTACATGTATAATACTTACTGTATTGTTTCTTGGCCAAAAATTTCAGGAGGTGAAGTTTGGCCTAGAAAACAACTTAATTAGTATTATCCATAATGAAAAATAAGGAGTGTAAAAAAAAAAGAAAAAAGACCATATTTACAAGACATAAATATTAAATTTGAAGTAGTAATGAAAATTGTATTTTATTGCAGAATTAATCAGTGATAATAATCTTGTGAGAACAGTTGTGGTTTGTAAAGATGCTAGTGAGGTGAAAAATGTCCGGCCATCTCTTTGCAATTACAGAGGAAATGTGTTAGTTGCACATGAAGATATGCATCATTCAATCTTACAAGGTATTTTATTAAAGTCTACTCTCAATAAGTTGAAATTCAAGGGACTGGGCAAAATTGGTCGACTTTTCAAGGTTGCTGAGTTATGCAGTAAGAAAAAGTAAATAATGTACATTGTGAGATTTTTTGAGGAACATAATTCTCACCTCACAGAAAACCATTTTGAACCCTTAACAGTACAGACATAAAACTACTCCATGACAAAGAAAAAGACAAAAATGATTGTGTACATAAAATCTTGGAAATATACAAACATACTTGTTTTTTTAATGGCCTGATGATCAATGCATATTAGCCAATGGGGATGATTATTATGCGTATTCCTATTGGGGGAGGGGATCGTGAAAAAAGGCCAGAGACGACAGTGGGAATCGAACCCACGAGTGCTGGGTCTATGAGCCGAGAGTCTCTCACACTAACCACTCGGCTACCACGGTCCCCCAAACAAGACACTTTTAACACTAAAAATATTACTAAAATTATACAATTTAAAAAGAAATGGACTGATAGTAACCATCTGGAAGTTGGGAGGGATCCCAAATTTTTTCTGGCCACTCTTAATTTTTCTCATTTCTCCACGTAGCGAATTAACTTCACTTGATTTTGCTTAGTTTGACTTATTGAGGGGATGGCACTCATGAGTTTGACTTCTAGTGATGAAAGTCATCTCACAGTCTTATTTTTCTTTGTTATTTAAGCATTTGACATACTGAGGTAATATTTATCATATTATATAATGTATGGGACCAGGAATTTATTCAACAACTAGAAATTTGACTTATAAAGAGTTGACTATATACATTTTTAACGCACTTTGACCTTTTTTTTTAACCAACAGATATTCGTAACTCATGGATTTCACACATGGAAGGAACAATGCTTCTTTGCTCAGATGCTGTAGTTGCTGATCTCTGCATAACAAACGCACAATGGCTGATTAACTACTCTATATCAGAAAGTAAATCTGTTTTCAGTGAACGCTTTTCTGTGATTAAGGAACATTTCTACGATCGTATCAAGAACCCACAGGTATCAAATTCATCATGTGTGTGTAATGTTTATATTAAATATTTATTTCTCTTATGCAGGCTGGAGTTCCAAACTGTAAAGTCCACATATTTCTAGAAGATGGAAACGAAACACAATTCCCCGACATAATTAAGTTCATTGAAAGAATTAACGCTAAGATACCAGATCATTTCAAAACTTCAGTGAAAGTAGGTTCAAAGGATGAATAAATTCATTAAGTTCTTTAAAATAATTTTTGTTTTTTATAGATGATAGAGGAAGCAAAAGAGAAAAGCAAGCATGATGAGGCATTCTGTGATCGTATGTTACAATTTGGTCGCTGTTGGAAGCGAGATACTTGTAAAAAACGTCATATTATTAATGTACACAAGGATAAACATAGTTTGATACCTAGGTAGTTATCACTGCTAGCTTCAATTTTGTTTACTCTTGTTAGTTAAAAATAATAATATCTTCTTTGTTATAGTAAAGGATATTTAAAGATGAAAATTCTTCGGGTTCATGATGCGACACATTTCTCGGTGCGGATTTTAGCGCACACCTCTGATATGAATATTACTGATATATCTGAAGTTCATTGGGACAGCTTTCCATCTAGTTATGGTGTCATTTGTTTACAGATGACACAATATTTCAAAAATAGAGAAAATAGGTTATTATTATTCAAAATAAATTATGTATATTTAACTTTTTTCTTTAATTATGAAACATTTTAAGGCGTCTGCATGGAAGGCCAAAAGTAGGAGATTATGTAGCTATTCAGAAAGAAGCTGATATATTATTTTTAAGGGGAGAAGTATTAGAAATAACAGCAAGAGGGCCCAGGTTAGATCCTGTAGAGGTTCTTTTGGTACTTATTGATGAAGGGCTTAAGACAAAAATGAAGGTTGTTTTTATCTGTTTTTGTTACCGACGGAAGAGTAGAAAATTTCTTGTTTTAGGTTGATGAACTTTATGAATTGCCGACATTTCTTCATGAACCACCTCCCCAAGCAGTCGATGTTTTCTTGGGCAACCTCCGTCCAGTTGATTTGGACAATGCTTGGAGTTATGCTGCGACAAAAGTCGTCGAAAGGAGCATAAACGAAGCAGATGAAAAGAGCAACTCTAACTCTTTTTACATGGGAAAGGTAAATTAATTTAAATTTAATAAGGATTTCTTTTTTTTTTTTAATTTTAATCGAAATGGTGCAAATTCTATGTTTAGATTAACTTGGTTATTGGGAGAAATATCATAATGGAAAGCATCTGCTGTTATGTACAGTTGAACATTTCAAAATGCTACATTGTACAACTTTCCTTAAGGCAGCATATGTTGAAATCTGGATTTGCTCTTGATTCACCTAATCATATTAAAGTCTTGACGAATCTTTGTATTGCAGCTAATCTAATTGATCCACCAAAAGAATGTAATTTTTTATTAATTATTTTTATTCCTCCTATCTCTAATCCAATATTTTTTTATGCAGTGAAACAGAGAGAAGCGGTAAAATTGAGTTTGAATAAAACTGTTTGGGCACATTTGCCAAAGGACAGTTTGATTCAAGTCATCCTTTCGATAGCAGAAAATCCATCGTTGTTCTTTGTGACACAAGTTCAATTAAATGATAGGTAAGATATTGCGATTGTTAATTTACAAAAAAAAAAAATAAAATTGTTTAAATTATAGGCTTATTAACCTTAATAAAGATTTGAAAAAATCACTCGATGAAAGACAGAGGCGTTTACCTATTGTAGAAATCGGAAGCTTGTGTGCTGTTAAAAATCCTGGTGATAATGAGTAAGTGACATGCTCTTAAATATTAAATAAAATATGTCAATGTATTAATTACTTAATTATAAATATTGTTTAATGTTTTGTAAATGCGTACCAAAGCTTTATGTGTTTATCACTAAGCAATAAGAGAACATTTGGCCTACAAATTTAATTACTTTTTATGTGGGGGAAGAAGGTTCCAAAAATGCAATAAACCAGGGTGATAGTATTCATAAAATGTTATTGTTACACTGCCCCGTCTTAATATTAATATAACAGAAAGTCAAATAACCAAGGCAAGTCAGCCATATTATAACTCTGTGGATGAGCTAGTTTTCTAAGAGGTCTTACCCCAAACGATGTATACCATGCCAGTTTTTCCACATCCTTCAGCTTCTTGCAGTTTCCTGGATCCTCGACAGTCGACTATTCAGTAATGCGTAGTCATTAATCATCCCCTTCTATACTGGTTTCCCAACCATGGCAGGGTGGAAAGGAAAAGCAAACATCATTGGGCCAGATGGTCAACTTCCTTCTTGCAAGGTTTGGCTACAACTGGTAATTCTCAGGAGTTTCTATTACACAGCCTCCTGGTCCCTTGTTGAACTTCTGGCAAAGAGTGTACAACGCTCACCTGGCTAATGTGACCTCAAATTCCAGAGTCTGACTGCTTGATGAACTGTTATTAAATAACTTTGCGACTTTCGTTATTTAGTGGACAGACTATTCATTTGTCGCTTTTATATGACGTTTGTGGGAAATGTGTTTTTACCTTACAGTGATGAGCGCCATGTCAACGCCTAAATCGTTGTGGCCACCAATGCCCCTTGATTTATGTCCTTGTTTCCAACATATGTTTGACATTTCTTACACCTATTTTTAATTTATAATAACAACTATTCCTAACAGTTTAAAAAAACAAGTTTAATATTATTGTTATTATTATTATTATTTATTCATTCAATAATTTTTAAGATGGAATAGAGCCACAGTTTTAAATGTTTGTGAAAATTCAGAAGTTGAGGTCTTCTTTGTTGATTATGGAGATAGAGTTATTGTGAATGTTGATCAGCTTTTTACTCTTCCTGATGAATTAGTCACGAGACTACCATTTCAAGTAAGTTTTTTAAATATTAATTTCCTAAAGCTTCATAAACAAATAATTTGAGGGAAGTTTTTCCCCTTTTTAATAATTTTTTCTTCTTCTTTTTTTAAATATTTATGTCTTTAGGCTGTTGAATGTGGATTATGTGGAATTATCCCTTTGAAGTCTCAATTTTGGTGCAATGAAGCTACAGAATCTTTGCATGTTATGACAGAAAGTGATGCCTACAAAAAAGTGCTTTACCTCAAGGTAAATAAGAAATTTTTAAAAAATATATTTTTTACATGGAACTATCTTGTAAACTAAATAACTTTAGTGTATACATTTGAATTGGATTGTAGTAGGAAGCTGTAGTGCTATGGCATTTTCCCTACACTCTTTTGTAATATGTAATCATGTAAATAAAAGTTCATTCTTAACGTACATGTAAAGATTGATAAAATGAATGAAAAATGTATTACAGATGAATTACAAAAGTCTTAAGAGATGAATTGTAAAATATGAAGTTTAATTTTAGCTTAAATAATAAAATAAACACTTTGCCAATGATTTTCTAGGTTTGTGAGATCAAGTTAAAAGCTGATATTACAGGAGGACGACACTATGATGTTATAATTGTCGATACAGACTCAAATCCGGATTTTGATCGCTATATCAATGTCAATATGGTGTACAAAGGATATGCTAATTGGAATTTCGAGACGAAACATTATCTTGATAATGCTCCAAAAGAGTTTGAAGCGATAGCAAAGCGTGATACAAGTGCCAACACCCAAGATCTGCAGTATGAGGCCGATGATGAAGAAGATGAAGACTGGGACAAGAGCTGCACCAACAAACAAATCAGCCTATTCAACGGAAGTTACGCAGATGTTGATTCAAGTCTGGCATGTCCAAGTGACACTAGCAATAGTCAAAGCCAAAATGATGTTATAGACGTGGGAAATTTTGAGTTGGTTGGAGTCGATTCATTGGTTAATTCTTATATGAAAAAATTTGGATTTGATACAAATACTGTAAGTACCAAATTAAATCTTATATTAATAAGTCTATCCTTATTTTTTCATAATTATTCAGAAATCGTGAGATGAGGTCTGGTGTGATGTAGGTTTTAGAAAACCTTTTTCTTTACCTGCCCTTATTTTTTCATTTTATAATTTAAGTATACATATATCTAATACAGAAGAAAATGGTAATCAAATACAACAGTCAAATGAAATGTATGGATACTTTATTTACACAATTTAATGATAATGATCTGCTTGTACGACATTATTTCATAAATTTATGATAAATTATATTAAAAAATAAAATTATATCCCCTATTCTGGATATTTGAAGTTCCCATATTGTGAAGACTATAATTCACATCAAGAAGCATCCAGGCTGGATTTGTCAATCATTTAAAATTACAGGGCTGATTGTAGGAACTTTCTACTAAACAAAAACAATTTGACCGCTGGTTCTATCAATCATTTGATTCAGACAGATCTGGTAGTAGAACTGTATGCCTGTGGTCTGGATCTGAATAACCAGGATCTGTAAATATAACATGTTAACCTTACTGCAGACACCTGATCTGATCTTCAATGAGATGTCAGCTCAAATCCTTGCTGGATCCAACAGTGTTATCAGACTGTTGAATAGGCAATGTTAAATTTACCGTTACATTACCTTATCTGACAGTGGGTCTGTCGTCTGATTTATTCAGCAGTTTATTAATGTCTATGCTGCAATTTTTGCTAATATGACTCAGCCTTTTATAATTCCCAGTCTTTATTTTAATTGTAATTCCCCCCCCCCCTTAGACAAGTTGGCTGCGTCCTTGTGTTAATCTATGGCGGAACCCAATTTGTCATGTACAATAGCTCTCTGGTGCTTAACAGTAATGTCAACTTTTTTAATAAATTAATTACATTTATCTAATTGATATTATATGACAAGAGTTGTATACCCTGTAGCGTTAAGTAATGAAGTAGGCAACCGTAAAAAGTTCAATTTGGATATGTAGTTGAATAAAAGTAATTTCAACTTTCTACAATAATTTTTCCTTTATTTTATGTAATCATTCAAAATGGGTAAAAAAATAATTAAAATAGCCAAACACATACACAGAAAAGCAAATTATTGGTTTTCACAGAATAAATAAAAAATTCACTTCTAGTTGAAAGAAAATTGAAACGACTGTAACCGTTGATATTTTTGCCGTTTCTGAGGCAGCCCTAGGAATTTCAAACAAATTGTGTAGCAGGTAAAGTGGAGACAGTTTAAAAGTATAAATGGGAGGATGCAGACCTTGCCTCCACCACACACAGTAGCATAGTTGGCCTAACTAGTTTAACACATATGTTGTGTCTTGTGCAATCAATGTGTTAAAAGGAATTTCTAGTTGTTATAAGGACATTTATTGTATTAAAACAAACACATATAATTTTTTTTAAATTAATCTTTCTGATTTAGGCCACTAAATCTCCATTACCTGCACTGTTACCAAAGCAAAGCAGCTGTACAGACGTCGAATCAGAGGACCAACAAAATAATACAGACCACTTTGAAGTTACAAAATCCCCTCATCCAGAAATAGATGAAATATTAGAATCAGACGTTTCAGTCGATTTTGGTGAAGATGATGATGATTTGAATGGAGAAGAAGATGAAATTCCACATGTGGAAACAGTAACACGTATCCTTACACCGAATGTATATTGGAGGCAAAACCCCAATCACGTCTGGATCAAGATTTTAATACCTGATGTCAAGTTGTATAAGCTGTTCTACACATACTCTTATTTAATTTTTCTGTAAGTGTCTGTGCTTTGAGATTACAAGTGTAAAAAAAAATGTATTCATTGTTTGTTTCCAGAGCTTTTGTCAACGGAAAAATATACTGGCTAGATATAAATTTTTTTGGTCCTACAGTATCAGAAGGCTTTTCATATAAACTGACCGGGCAGTATGTAGAAGTGAAACTCGAAAAGACTTTAAAAGGTAATTATACAATTTGGAAATTGTTCCTTTATTGAAAAACAACAATGAAAATTTTATAGGTCATGAATGGTTTCGCTTGACTTATTCAAAAGCAAAAGCTCATCACATAAAACTAGATCCGAGTTCAAAACAACCACTAGATCCATTTGAAGAATCTTACGTTGATGCATTTCTTAAAATTGGTACGTTTTATCTTTGTATCTTTTATTAAATTTACTAATTTACATATTAAGTACAAATAAATGTCCTAAGCTAATAATTATTAATATTTTTTTTTTTTAGGAGAAGAAAGGCAAAAATTAACTGTAAATTCATCACACGAGTCACGTGAAAACATTTCTAGAAATGCATTTGCATATCCTGATCGTAATAGTGAGACTGAATCAGATACTGGTTCAGATTTACATGAATTTGATCCTATTCCCAATGATCCTTTTGACCCACTTTGCTAAGGCATTTATGAAGAAATTTTAGACAATTTTAAGACTGAAATTTTTTATTTCTTTTTTAACTTGCACTTTAAAAGACACCATTTGAATATTGTGATAATTGTAAAATTTGATAAAATAAAACTATTTTTACCTAAAGATATAATTTGATAGTCAATATTGTAATATGTTTAATTTAAAAACTTTTATTGTTTTGTTAAATAATTTTTTTTTACACACTATTACTCTTTGTTAAAATCATCTGAATTTATTGACATTAAATAATAATTTTCCTATCAAGAGTGGGTATCGATTAACATTTGTGAAAAAAAAAATTTTATAAATTTTTGTATTTTGTTATCACACTGTTCAAATAAGATTTTATGTTTAAAACAAATATTTTTATTGTAGTTTATATAAAAATATATTGCTTTTTTTTTGTTTACTTATGTATTTCTATGAACCTGTGACTTCTACATATGTACACAATGGTGTATTGAAAATTATTTTCATTTTGATGAAATTAGGTTTAATAGTTGAAGAGGATTAAAAATTAGGTTTAGTAATTTAGAAAATATAGTACATACAAAATAAGAAAATCTATTTTATACAATAATCATTCCTGTTACAACACAATTTTGAACTAACAAAATTTTTAAAAAATAATTGATTATTGCTTTATCATTTAGGCAGTAAATGTATATCAATGTTATTGTGAAGACCTTTTTCAAATTGACTTTTTGGACAATAATGATTTTTTTAAGAGAAAAATAAAAATCCGCCCTCTGCATGATAGGTAAGTTTATTGAATCATTGAAATACATTTCTCTTGGTAGTAAATCTTTTTGTTTCTCAAAAACACTTTTTCTGCATTATAACTGCTGTATTGAGGAGAAATTTAATTGAAGATACATATTTTATCCTCAGTTACATATGCACAACCTAAAATTTTGGCCTATTTTGGTAACATACGCCTATATTTGGATGGATCTTATCTTTAATTTCATAAAATCAATGTATATATGCATTACTTATATGATGTATTTTGCTTTTTAAATTTCAGTAGTTCAAAATTAAATAATAATTTCTGTAAAGTACGGGTGGGTATTTTGATAGGCTTCTTTCTTTTAAATTTGAAATATTTGGTAACGAACCTATTTCTTCTAAGTATTTTTGGGCTTTGTACATAAAGATGGTAAATTTTGGATGGATTTGGTAGAGGTTAACGGTATATTCACATAGTTCACTTCCTGTTAAAGGATGTCACATTATATCTCAGGTTAATGTAAAACTGAGGACAAGATTTTGAGTTGGGGGAAGACTGGGTTCACTCAGCTAAAATACTGACTACAGGGCTACTTAAAAATGCCCTTGTACTTATTCTTAGAGCTTTATTATGAATAGGTTTTCTACCGTTGGGGTCGTATTGTTTTTAGCCAAATCATATGCTATTGAGCCATAATCTATTCTTGATCGCATAAACACCTTATCAAACTTAATCATTGTAAGCCTATTTACTCCCCATCACCACCAGACGTTACCCAAAATGTGAATATGTGGTAGAGGAAGAGGCCAACCAGAAAAACTTCACTTCTAGTCATGCTTTCGGTATATATATTACCTTCATCAGGACTTCAAATATAAACTTTTAGAACAGTATGGGTGAAAACTACATGACTACAAAGCAAATGTAAACACCACTAGCCAAATGTAGTTTTCACCCTTATTGTACCAAAAGTTTACATTCGAAGTTCTGATGAAGTAACAAATCTAGCGAAAGCATGACTAGAATTGAAGTTTTTTTGGCTGGCCTCTTCCCCGATCCTCCTCCACCACATCATTATTGTAGGCCAATAATCCACATATCATCCAAAATGTAAGTATATCTTTTAATCTATCATTTCAAATTATCAATTATAATTTCAACCAAAATCTTACATAAAAAGATTAATTAATATTTAATTTTCTGTCAAACAAAACCCCTAAGTTTTTATTGATTGATGTTTATAATGCTGCTGTTGTTAGTTGTGATGTGTTAGTGCTGCTCGTAGAAATTTTTCAGCTCTATCCAGATTATTATGAGCAGTGAATAAGGCTAAATCAATCTACAAACAATGCGAACTTTATTTCCTATTACTTACACTATCGTGGAAGTCTACAGTGTCATTTATCACAACTAAGAAAAATATAGGACTTAAAAGCACACCCTTGGGGAATCCAATTAGCAAGGGAAAAAGAATTGTCGTAGTCACAACCAACACTCCACCCTAAATGTCCTATTCTGCATTTTGCCATTTACTCCATTTTTTGTAAGTTTTCTGTTTCAATGTGCAGTAAATAATTTGAGTAAATATGGAAATAATTACTGAATTTGTAAATAATTGCAATTTTTTTACCACACGTTCAGATTTTATTTATTTTAATAATATGCTTTAAAACATTTTATGTATAAATATATATGAAAATATCTTTTTACAATTGTGCAATTATTTGTTATTATCACAAATAAATTTAATACATAAGTAAAAAAAAGAAGTGAATTTCATTTTTTATTCACTTCCATACTACCTCCACATGTTTTTTTAAATTTATTTAGTGTTAGTGAATATATAGAAATATACATTAGTCAATTTTTTCATAATATATGGGCGGGCTAGATAAATATTGCTGGTTTGCTTAACCTGACTTTCCACCATATACATACACAAAAATCTAGTCAATTATTTGAGCAATATTTTAATTATATTAAAAATTATATATTATTTATCTTTAAAAAAACAACACATTTTGGGAAGGTCTTTAAAAATCAGTGTGGTAACGAATGTGTTAACTAAGAAAAAAAGGTAAAGTACAATCAAATAAAAGACAATGTAGAGTTAGATTAAATTATTTTTATAATATCACAATCTTATATAATCAATACCTAGTTCTGAAACTGTATTCTTGGCTTTTGTGTAATTTCAATATTTTTTTATAATTTTTCTTTTTAAGGAATACGACACAACTACCTTAGACATTTAATATCAAATAACAAATTAAAATAATATGAAAGCATTTGATAATACATTTGTAGAGTAATACAATTTTTTAAAAGTGAATTTAATATTTTATGGATGCATTTTGGATTTCATAAATGTCATTTAACATTTTAGATCTCATCTGTAATACATAGTAATATTTCCTCTAATTAATAAAATACTAATGACCACATGTATGGATGAAATAAACATGATTTTATTTCTTTGAAACATGGTCTTTTGTACTTTTTCAAAATAAATTCTTTGGAAAAACTTACTTTCTTCCTAGAATATTATTGCAACAACTTGGCTTATTTTCTTATGTGTACTAAACAATTAAAGGAACTAATTATTTATACAAACAACTGAATCAAACATACACGTAGCTGTAGCAGATAATATATGCCATATATCACTATTTATTAACATTTTGTATGGAACCCTAAATTAAGCAATACTTTCGATATATAACAACAATAAAAGACTAAGACCCTTTTGTGCCAAGAAGAATAAAAGGCTTAATTTAGTTCCATTGACATTTAATAATGACCTAAAAATTAAGAGGCACTTAAAATGTTTTTCTTTTTTTTTTTTTCTTTCAGTAATTGTTATTCCTTATGCTTATAGACATCATGAGGCCGTTTCCTGATTTCCTAAATTGATAGATGAGCTGTGACCAATGCCATCTTGGGTCCAATGAGAAATATTAGAAGGCATAGAAGGAGGACGATCAGGATTGGCCGCTGCATCGATATCTAAGAAATAATTTCCTTGCACATTCGACTGAACTGGCACCTAATAAGAATTCAAAAAGGCGGTGAATAAATTTTAAATGAACAGTTGGATGAGAGATGCAGAAGAACAAACCTCCGGAGACTGGGGTGAAGGGTGGAGATATTCATCCACAGATGCTCTGCTGGCCGCAGCCCTGATTTGAACTCTTTCTGATTCCCTGGCTTCTAACCTAAATATACTTTCTTTAACTTCTTTATTGCTATACTGATCAATCCTGAAATTGATTGAATAATTATGTGTGCTCTTTATTTTACAATAAACATAAATTCTCTTACTTATCATAAATAACTGCATGTATGCCAAGATCTTTCAAATGTTTAATTGTTGCAGTGTCATTGTTATCATCCCCCCAGCAAAACAAAACCAAACCGGCTCTTTTCACTAAATTCACTTGGGAGGAGTCTCTCAAAAGATCTTCAGTATGTACATTTATTCCCTGTAAAAAACGATAATAGATTAAATATGTTTCAGTTTAAGTATAAGCTTGCAAATGAATTAAAATAAATAATTATTGATAGTTGAGTGAGCGAGAAACAGAAATAGAGATTGAAAGTGAGTAGAGAGAAACAAAGGTAGATAGATGAAAGAGATTTATTACATTGCAATATTTAAAAAATAAAACATTGTAAAAGTCTGTTTTAAGGAATGCTAGAAATATTACCAAAATGTCCATCCCAACTGCATAGTGAACAGCCATAGGTACATTTTGGCATCTAGGATCATGATAAGCTGGATACTTGTCTGTAATCCCCTGTGTCAAAAACATAACAGGGTATCTGTTTTGTTTAAGGCGGATCCTGAAATAATAAAAGAAAACATGTTAACCTTGTGCATAGACAATGACCAATATAGCTGATCCTGTTAAGGAAAAGACCCTGAAAAAGAGACGATTTTAATAAATTATTTCTAATCGATAACATTAACTTCAATCATTGAGCTCAAAATTCCTAAACAGCTGAAGAAAACCTATGAATCTTAACTAGTTAGACATCCAAAAAATATATGTAAAATGAAATAAAAAGCAATCGTCAACTCCCCCCCTGTTGTTCAGTAATGTTTGCCTTAAATAAAAATGGAATATTTCAATTTGACTAAAAATTTGTTTTGGTATTAGAATTGAATTAATTATAAATTAAAAAATTGCTTTGAATCTGACATAAAAAGTAAATTTCACTGGAAATATAATAATGAATGTTTTCCTTCCAAATATATCATAAATCTTTATACTTACCACCTTACCACTCACCCCTTGTTATCATTCTAAGGAATAAAAAATAAGTGAAGATGGCAACAGATTTAGATATTTTGTCATAAAGCAAATAAAAGAACTTCAATCTGATGTCTTGTATTAAAGGTTTAATATCAACAAAGTCTTTAGTTCCCATTGTTTATGATGTCAAGCAGAGAAAAATCACATTTTAAAATTTTCTCAATTTAATTTTTTTAATCATAAAATCTCTTTAGTGTTACAAATCATCTTTTTTAATTGCCTTTGACAATTCCATTTAACAATACAGAGGTGACTTTTTATTCACTCTGCTGTTTGCTTTTCTTTAATGATACTGAAGAATTCATTAATAAGCTTTGCTTTATTACAAAATGTGTGATACCATCCTTTAAATCAAAAGAATAACCTATAATTAACAAAGTTCTCTAAAAAATTGTTAATATTCTTATAGAAATTAATTTGGTTCAATTTAATTCTATAAAATTAAAACATAAGTTTCTATATACTAGAAAAAAATTGCATCTTTGCTATTAAAAAAAAACTTTAAAAAAAGTTTTTGTAAGCATTATTGTTCTAGTTGCAGTATATAGTTCTAGTTGTTATTAATTTAAAGTTTTATGAGGGAAAAAATAAAAACTGTAAAATTAATCCTAATAATATGCAAGTTAATTAAATTCAGCAATTTGATCAATACAAATTGTGTCTTGGACCACCCAAAATACTTTTCCTCAGACAAGTTTTGTGTTCTGTCAATCTGATGAGTCCAAATAGTATTGATCAAAATACTTGCTAAAAAATTAATTGCACTTTCAAATCCTTGCAAGTATTAATCAGAAATTGTATGAAATATTCCATTTTTTTACATTCAAGAAAAGCCCTTACAAACTCTCACAAATAAATATACATGAGTTATAAAACACAATATATTACTAACATAGTACAGATGTCTGGATGGAAGCAAGAAAATATGATATTCCTTGAACCTGCATGCTGTAGTACTACCTCAAGTACAGTGTCCAAGTATAGATTGAGATCAAATGGGTGGTATAATTCATAAGTACCATCCTGAAATCATAATAAACATCATGTGTATCCCTCTATACGCGAGATAGAGAGAGGAATTTACGCTGCTGAAAGATTTAACAATTTTCTAAGGTGTGAAATTTTTTTTAAAACGAAATAATCTTTCTGTAACAAATCTTTTTTTTTAACAAGAACATCTAATAGTTTGTATTGGAACAAAACAAACAAACAAAAAATAAAATTAAAGAAAGAAAGACTAGAAAGTAGAATCTGTACTTACCCAAAATTAATTGTAAATAAGTCAGTTACTGGAATTGAATTCATAGTAAAAAAAAAATAAACTGTAGACTCTCATTATTTTTAAGTGATACGTACCAAGCATAACCATGTATAACTAGATCCACGGATAATAGGAAATACCTCGAATTTCTGGATTCAAACTTTTTATTTTATTTGCACATACACTTTCTGTGTCATATATGCCTATTGTCAATGTTATGTATGACCTTATGTACACATATTTCGAGGGTTTTTTCAATAAGAAAATACATGAAGTATATTTCACACAGGAAAACAATATGAACATACATACATCCATAGGTGCACATGTAAACATGGCATCGAAACAAATGATAAAACATTTTAGGGGCTTAAAAAAGAAATATTAAATTTAAGATTTAAAAAAAAAAAAAAAAAAAAAAAAAAAAAAAAAAAAAAAAAAAAAAACGGGGCAAATGCAGATGAGTGAAATTGCGGATAATAAGAGTCTACTCTATTTCAGAATTATTAAGACAAGAATTTTCTCTGCGTGCACAAATGATCAAATTCATAATTCTCAACCATTTCTTGTACAAAGACAGATCTTGTTAATACTATCAAAAGTTATATTTTGTTCTAAAGATTGGTTACATGATTTTTATAAATCTACAGAAATAGTATTGTCTTTTCCATCAAACTTTTGTTTGCTCAAACATTAATAATGATTTCCCATGGTACACATGCAATATTTTTTACTAAAGTAAAACATGTCCTGATAAAGATGGAGGGCTTTAAAATCCAACTCCCTTTTGAACTTTGGTACACCGATAAGAGGGGTCAAGTTGCAAAATAATATTATATAAATTTATTCTAAATTACAATGAAAAACTTGCTTTAGAAACATTGGACATCCTAAACATGAAATGTAAATAGTTAAACAAACAAGTAGAACAAGACAAATTTTTACCCAATTAGACAACAAAAAAAGTACATATTACAAAAAAAGTTATAAATAGCACACTTAAGTGAAGACAACCTTGTTTTTCCCTAAATATTGTTTTCCTTTAAGATTAATTATACTTTTCAGTCGATTATCAATCATTGTTTTATAACTGAAAACTTTTCTAATCTAATCTCAAATGAGAAACGTTTGATAATGTTTTTGATCTAGAGTGAAGTTTCCATCAACAATTGATTAATATCATCTTATTTGAAAGTTTAATTCAGATCAAACTTTTTTTTATGTGAAACCAAATAAATACAAATTAAAAATATGTGAAAACAAGTAATTTCAAATGATTTGCTTTTAATCATCTTTTAATCATTTTGATTGGTCAAGACACATTCATGTTCTGTATGTTATTTTCAGTCATGTCCTTTTACATTTGTAATATGGAATGGGGTCTGTTGCCAATTTTATTGTATCTATGTCGGAATAAGACTTTCTGCCATGATGCCCAATGTATTTTTTTTCTCTGCTCTTACTGGTTTTGTAAGTACACCAGTTCTGTACACAATGTCAATTTGTTGTTTTATTAAATAGATTAGTTAGTCATTTTCTATATACGTGAAAGCACAAATGTATGATTCATTATTTGTTTGTACCCTTATTTTTATTAGTTGTGTTCATGTTGTAGCCATTTTTGTATTTGACATGGATAGATTTTAACCAGCTTGTTGTGCACTTCAGTGTTGTGCCTGTGAACCGTTTGATTGGGTCTGTGTGCATGACATTGTTGCTGTGTAATTTTTATATGTGTTGAACTGAGTTTATTGTTTGCTTTGGAATTGATTAGGAAAAGAAAATTTATACTGTTGTTTTTATTTATTGAGGCCAATTTTATATTTTAACAAGGTCTTAAGGTAGTAATATTGTTGTAAGAATAATTCAGTGGTATGGCTGTCTGAACGACATCAAGAAAACAGACATAGTGATGACACACACCAAAAGTGGGCTACATTATCAGGTTCTTATCTTGTATACCACACCACAATGTAACACAATATCAAGTGGTCACGAAGAGCATTAATTTGTTGTTATCAAACCTGATCCCTAAAATGTAGATTTCAGGGTACATATGCATAAGGAAAAAATTTTTTCCCATAAAGAAAGAATGCATTTCAAAATTTAGACCTGAAGTTTTCATTGTAATGACCACTGCAGCTATCATTCACTTTCAAAATTACAATTTCAAAAAAGTTAAAATCTTGAAAATTTTAATCGTTCTCTACCTCTAAAATCTATAATAAGATTTCTTATAAATAAAAATTTCAAAATTATAATCACCTTCAATTGCATTGTCCATTTAATTTCAATGTTGAAGCCAACACTTGGATCCAAGATTTCCAGAGCTTGTTGCAATGTTGGGAAGGGTTGGTGTTCTTCAAGGTGTTCATCTGAAAATCTGCTATTGCCCGTGGTATTTTCACGAATGTGATAAAGCTAGAAAAACAAATAATAAAACTATGCAATGCTCTGGAAATTTTTTAATTGTTTTAAATATAAATTCTGGCATAGAATAAATATTCTTGAATAAAGTCTCATGCATCAAGCAGCGTTAACAGAAATTATCTAAGCAATAAACAAATAGAAAAAAAATTCAACAGTGCTTAGTATACTCAATGCCGCATTTCATTTATCAAATTACATTTCATTCAACATAGTGGCAAACTGTAAGGTTTTGTGTAAATATAAATATCTTTTAAATTGAATCTTAAAGTTGAGAATGAAGACAGAAAGAGAGGAAAGAATAAAGAGTGAGAAGATACAATATTATGTGGAGAGTTTAAGCATTTCCACAAGGTTTCTGATTTATTTACAAGTCCTAATCACAAGGCAATAATAATATAACTTGTAAACAAAACAAAGTGTGCTGGATAATGTCACTTTACTGATACAAGAGGCAATTATGTTGCAGTTCACAGCTTAAAATTAAAAGTAAAACACACAGTTGTTATGAGTCAGAATGTACTGACAGTTCGAAGTAGGAGAAAACAAAGTGCTGGTATATAAAAACTTAGCTGCATTAAAAAATTTAGTTGGAAAACAGGAAAATTATCATTATTGTTAGTATTAATCATAAACAATCTAGATCAAGACTTAATTCATAATACATTTGGAACTGTAAGTACATAAAAAAACCCATTATAATACAAAAATGAAAATCAAAGCATGTACTTTTTATAAATTCAAATTAAACAATAGTGATGAATAAGTAAAAAACTGCAAAATCGTTAATAAACTTTACTTCATAAATTTGAAGAAAGAAAAAAACGAAAGCCAAGAAATAAAACTCGAATATCATACAGCATGCAAATGAAAAAAAGTTGAACATTTTGATTTCAAAATAACGGATTTGATGGGTTGCTAATAGTGAAATGGCATCTTAATTGGAGAGGATGCAAGGACAGGCAAGTAAACAGCCCATCGCTTACCGTCCCATCATCCTCTTCGGTCTCTTTAAAGTGTAGTACTTTACTGGGCAAAGGCCCCTCACTTATATCCTGTCCAACATACCGTACTTTTAACATAAAAGGGTACAATTTTCAAGAAAAATAAATACATTGTTTAAAGCTTTGAGATGATACATAGAATAGCCAATAATAAAATAAAAATGAATGTGTCATTAAAAATTATTGCAATATCAATTATTATAATTGATATAATTATAATGCCTTACTGAATAAAATAAATGTTTTTTTTTTTTGGTCATTTTTTGGGGTATTTTTCTATTTCTTGGAGTGAAAATTATTGATTAATTAATTAATTGTCAACTAAAATTAATTATTCCAAACAAAATAAGTTAATTTTTTCTAACTTACATATAGAAAATGTTAATCAGTATAACTTCGAAATTAAAGCAGATAATTAAAAGAAAGGAAAAAATTAATTAATAATTAATTTAATTAACAAAAAATTAAAATAAATAAAATATTAATTTAATTATTATAATACTATTATACTCAATTTTGATGTTTAAATGAATTTACAAGCATAATTTTCATATTATTTATATATACCTTTAGTCTTTGCAGTTGTTCAAGAGAAAGATCTTTGACTGGAAGTTGTATCATTTCATCTGGTATTTGCATCGCCTTTTTCCGTTTCATGGAAATCGCAACATAGAAATCATGATACAACACAGGAATGAGATCTCTCGAGAGTTGAACATCAAACTCTACGAAGTCAGCACCATGAGAAGCTGCACTTTTCAGGGAAGCAATCGTGTTTTCCCTTACTTCTGCACATCTTCAATACAGCAGAAATTATTTTCAATTGTAATATTTCAATCTACAGTACAAAATAATCCACATACTGTTTAATGTCTCCTTTAAAAGAAGTGCCAGAACCCCTATGACCAACATCTAATCCATGCCAAGATTCCTTCCACTGCCGATGTAAGGAATAGCTTAAGTTGCATGTGTAATTTGGTGTAGGTCTTATGACAAGGTAGTCGACTATAAAACCAATTTAAAAGACCAATGAACGAATAAAAAATGGGAAAAATTATTAAAACCCAAAACTAATGCCTGTAGAAATTTGTTTCTGCTAAATTTTAAGAACAAATACACTCTAAAATGAAATAAACAATCTCCAGTTTCTATACCATTTTTATGTTGTCAACAATAATTGCAGTAAAAAATAAAATATTACCTGTCACTTGTCCAATTGGTCGATGGCGCACGCTGGTAATCGGGATTGCTATTTGCCCTTCACTTCTGTTCATTGAGCTTGGAAGGATGTAGCTGAACCCAAAGTGGCATGGCGGCTCATCTTCGCATGTCCGTGTTGGATAAGCGTAGAAGTCCATCAACACTGCCTGCATTCACAGCATTCTTCACTAATCCTATATGCTACCAAATAGTGTATATGCCCATGAGAACTTATGCAAAACCAACAGCAAATCCAAATTATGAAATCCCGATTTAACTTCTTCTTCATACGAGCTCTTTTAATTGAAATTTTAATAGAAATTGAGATTGAGAAAACATACTAAATTACACATAAGTTCTTTTATTCATGAAACTGTCACTTTTCTCTATAATACTAGCAAGTTCCCAAAAATAAAAATAAAATTGTTGAAAAACAAAACAATACAAAATTTTCTACTATCAGCGGTGCATTTTTCCCTTTGTGGACACAAACAATTTCTATAACTAATCTTAAATATTTTTGTACTACTGTGTCTTAACTTCTTTTATGAAATCCTGAATTGTGCTTGAATCTACCCCTGAAATGATTTTTGATTTATTCAGACCATGAAATTTTGGACGATACAAATCTAATGCATTAATAATCATAACTTGTTACTATAAAGAATAGAAAATGAATAGATTTTTTTCAGTTCCAATGAAATTCTGCTGTTGTAATTATAAAATGAAATTTTTGACAAATCTTGAAAATTACAGTATGTAAACTTCAGCATATAACAATGGAAACTGTTTGTTACATGTTACAAGAGTACCATAGAGTCTACAAATGTTTACATCTTTAATACGGTGACTTTGCATGGTGCAACATGTGTCATGCCAGCCTTCTAGGTGTTAGTCACAGTGCAGGTCACAGTCTGTGTCCCGTTTATACTTTTTAAACTTCCCATCCACTTCACCCACTATTTGAAATTCTAGGTGTTAGTCACAGTGCAGGTCACAGTCTGTGTCCCGTTTATACTTTTTAAACTTCCCATCCACTTCACCCACTATTTGAAATTCTAGGGCCGTCTCACAATGGGTGAAAATGTCACTGGCTCTGGTTATTTGAATTGTTTAACATTTATTCTGTGAAAACCACATAATGTGCTTTTCTGGGTTCTCATTTGGTATGGGTTTTTTTTACCAAAAATTAAATTGAAAGTTTTAGAAGGGTGCCTTGTTAAAGGAAATTTAACGCTTTTCAATTTTTTCTTCTCCCCAAAAATGAATTTTAAGAGCTATGAGTAGATTTATGACAAAAACCATGGGAAGTTTAAATAAACATAAAATGTGGAATATCTGCGAAAGGGTTGAGAATCGGACCATGGTTCATGCAAACTTTTTGGAGCTGTACAGGTAGTGAACCACCTTGTATATCACCTATACATATATATCTCACTGCAAACTAAGGATTAATGAAGGTCTAATATAAAAAAGTCACAAATATATTGTGTATAAAAAAACGAGAAATTGTGTTTATTCATTCCCCCATATGTTGTAAGTTAAACCGTCCATTTACTCTTTGTAAAAACAAATGTTAATACAAACTTAGTTGTACAAGTAGTGAACCACCCAGTATATCACCTATACATATATACCTCACTTCAAACTAAGGATTAATGAAGGCCTAATATAAAAAAAGTCACATAAATATATTGTGTATACAAATGAGAAATTGTGTTTATTCATTCCCCCCATACTTTGTAAGTTAAACTGTCCATTTACTCACTAGACGTTTACTCATTACTTTCATTAAATTCACTATAACTTAACTTTTTATTTTAAATTATTAGATTAAACTAGTCATGTAGTTACTTACCACAAGATCTAAGTTGGTCACAAGGACTTGAAATACTATGAAGTCTTCCTTGCTGTATACTCTTCCAAACTGCTCTTGGAATTTAAATATCCTTTCGCTTGCATTAAGAACCTCAAAAAGTCAAATGTAAGTTAGTTTTTATGATGAGTTATATAGAAAAGAAAGCAGAACTTACAGCGATTTCTGTTATTGGCCAGCCTTCTTTTTTGTCTGAAATATCCATTGTTTCAAGGCTCAGGCCATCATCAGCCATTTCAGGCTGGGTTAGGCTATTCGCTCGAGAAAGATTGATCGGGGTTACTTTAATAAATATCTGCAATGATTGAGTTTAAATTACTACTTCTTTCTTTTAAAAACAATGATAATAAACGTACATCTTTATCTTTTAACTTTGATTTCCAAATTTGAAGATGTTCGCCAAACAGTTTCAACTGGATAGCGGTTTCTGTTGTAAGCCACCCTCTGTCAAGTTTTTCTTTATTGTCATAAAATCCCATCACTTCAACTTCAGCCGGCCTTTCAGGGCAATTGTACATCACTAAAAAAAATTTTTTTACATATTGTTTTGATATTATTTAAAGCTAGTAGCAAAATTGCAACAAACTTTTTTTAGGTATAAATCTTGGTTGTCTATTCGTTTCCCATCTTCTAACTATATGATGTTTCTGTAAAATTCTACTTCCATCGGGCTCTACTAAAACACATATCACATATCGATACTCCACATCCAGGTTTGTAGGGAGCTTTACTGTGCCGGTCCAAACTGTATCATTTCTTGAAAAATACAGGCACGATGAAACACACCTTTAAGTAAACACACTCAAAACATAATCACATACCCATCATCATCTTTTTCCTTAGAAAGGACGAATACTTCATCATGTTTCCAATTACCTAGTACATCACAGTTCCCAGTGACACACATGGTCTCCCCTGGATTGAGATCGGCTCTGACTTTGAAGACCCATTTTCTTTTGGGAGGAATTTTTTCAATGTCAAATGGTTCAAAGTCTTCGTCTTGTTTATCTCTAACTGAGTCATCAATAGAACTTGCTTTTTTCTTTAAGTAGGCTTCATTATTCCACCAACGCATCATCTTTCAATAGATTTTCTACAAGGCAAAAGTAATTACAAACAATTTGTCACATTGATAGCACACAACAATATAACCAATTGTTAACAGGATTATTCAAAATTTGTGTACAAAATGATTACTATCACCTTTACAAGTGGGATAAAATTCCAATTTTTATCTTTTCATTTGTATTATTACTAAGCTTCTTAATCGATCTGAATGTCAAATTTTAAAGGTTTTCCTCTGAGCTTAGTAATAAGTAACTCCTACTTCACAATTACTACAAATATATTATAATTATAAAAAATATAACCTAACTCTTCACAAAATTAATTTTGTAATGTTAAAAACCTAAGCATACAATTAATCTATTATTACAATTAAATTGTAGAGAATTTGTTTTAAATTTAATGAAGAATGACGTGAAATAATATTACAAATAAATAAAAAAATTGTTACTAAACAGAAAATCACAGGTGATAATGGACAATGATAATTAAAAATTACATTAATTACTTAAAATGGAACTTAACTTATGAACCTGGGCTATGTAATAAATTTGTTTTTACAATTTTTCTTGCATGAAATCATTCACTGCAAACTTACTGAGACTCATCTCAGTGAAAGCAGCTTTATCTTTCAATAAGGTTTTTTAAATTTTTTTTTAGTTGAATATAAAAAGAAATCAAGTTGAGAAAACAAACAGCTCAATGTTTTGTTATTTCATTTAAGAAAATCTTTGTGTACTCAGTTGTTTTAAATGAAATTAAAAAATCTAATTAAAAAGAAAGAAGAAAAACTACATAAATTCATCAATTATTTTTAAAGTAAAAATCTTGTGAAAAGTTGTGATTTGTAATAACTATTAATTAATCAATTAAGCAATTATGGAAATTTTCTATGGTAATCTACATAATTAGGGGAAAAAATATTGTACAAATACTCTTAAAATAGACAAGCTGTGGACCAGTCAATTGAAAATTAATTTCCGTTTGAGCAATTACAGAAGTAGTGATTTTATGAAACAATAAAACAAAATGAAAATTATTTTTCCAGTTTTTTTCTCACAAAATTGTTTTCTGTACAAACACAATTTTAACGGATTCTCTTCTGCCCCTCTCTGGGTCCTCGGCAATTGACTTTATTTGTCTGGCCATAACTGCTGGTTCTTGCTTACTCTGGCTCGCTGAGGCCTCTTGGTGAGTCCCAGACAGAATATGGCTGCTTACTGCTCTGGATAGCCCTGGCTTGACTTGAATTTACTGTGATTCATCAAAACCTTTGCTTTCCAAATCATCCCTTTTATACCAGTTTCTCAACCAGAGTAGGGAAGGCAAAAAAAAAAATCAAAAGTCCGTTTGGACCAGCTGGAATGGGGGGGGGAGTTTCCCTTATGCAGCCCACTGATCCCACGTGGGAGGTCCGGCAAAGAAAGATATCGCCCATCCAGTTGACAAAATTATGTTGTCATTATTGTACGAATTGTGTCTGAGACAACCTGTCCATACTAAATAACACTTCAACGTTCATTATTCAGTGGCCAGACTAGTCAGCTAATGAGGTTCTATGGTCTCCAGGTTTGTGGGAAATGTCATTTTGCTCCCTTCTGAGTGGGTGCCCTGTCAGATTTACTGGCTTCTTTCCAATGGTTGTTTGACCTTCTTTAATTTTTTTTTTTTTTAATTATAATTCTAACAACTATCCTAACTTATTCAAAGATAGTGACCAGCTTTATTTAGTTCTTATTTTAAAAAACTGGCAAGGAGTCAAAGAAGCCTGCAATATTTCCATGCCAATTAATGTGCAAACTAGCCAAGAAAGACAAAATTCTGGCCCATAATTTGTCTTATGTTGGGGGAGAGCATAGCATAATTCACAGGAGTGGGGTCTAAGCTGGGGGGTCCTGAACCAATGGCTCTCAATCATGAGCCATTCGCTGTATAATCACACATACTTCAAATGGCAACGAAAAGAACCATTTATTGATTCAAACTACTTTGTATCTTTACTTTATTTCTATGGTAATGAAAAAATTAATTCCTTTTTACTTTTCCAACAAAAATTGAAGCATCCTAGGTTCACTAATTTACTTTGTCATTATTTCCCACCTTATTGATTTTTGCAGTACTGGAACAGTACTGATTTGGAACAGTCACAAGGGCATGTTCCAATCACCTATCCAATGTTAGCTTAATGACACTTTTTTTTTTTAATGGTTTACTGAAAAGTAAAGATAAATTTAACTTTAAAATGTCCTGAATTCCTGCCTTGCTAAGCGAGACAAATTTGATTTTTTAGATTTGCTACTATATTTCAGAGATTCTCTTATTCTTGCCTTATTTGATCACTTCTTTTGAATAGGAGCCAGGCACATTAAACAAATGATCAAAAGTTCTTCATGTTGGCCAATTCAGTATTTAATCTCTATTTAAATTATCTCAGAGTACGGACCATCTAATGACACACACAACACAGCAGGAACGAACCTATCCAAAAACTAATAAAAGAAGTATCTACCTCACATACTTCTACGGCAAAGTCACCGACTGAGAAACAGAACGACTTACCACAACCAAAATTGAAACTCCTTAGTAATAAGGGCTCTTATTAGTAAGCTTGCTCAAATCCTGAGGCCTTCTGTGGCCTAAGGATGCCCACTTAGACAAAATGACAAATTGAAAATTAGGAAACAGTGGTCATGTCAAATGGTCATCGGAAAAAAAAATAGTATATTCCAACACAGCACATGCAGATTCTACAAAGAAGCAGAGGAGACACCAACACACCTACTAACAAACTGTGGCACAACATTTGCTTGCAAGAGAAAGGGTTTTGGGATATACAACATAAATGTGGAAAAAATTCAACTAAGATTCACTGGTGTGCTATAAGTACTAAATGGAGGATACAAAGGTCTCAAAGGGCACAGAATATTACACCTTGAACATTATTATAGCAAGCTTAAATGGCTGCTACGGTGGGCTTTAACCAACACACACAAGAACAGACAATACATCAGTTCTACTTCCAACATAACTACAAGTAAACTGGTTTTTAGAAGAAAAAAAAAAATGTGAAACTGAGTTACTCACTGAGTCGTTTGAAGGACTTTGCAACTGTGGTATACAGCACCACAATAATTGGTAAAGCAATTAAAGCGACAAAGGAAATTAGCGAAAAAGTGCCTAGGATGCTTAAATTCTTAAAGAAAAAGTAAAAAGTGATTACTTTTTATAGTATGAAAATTTATTTAAAGTAGTTTTAATCAATAAATGACTGTGGCCCTAAGGGGGGGGGGGGCAAGGAAGTCATCAAATCACCAAAACCACTAGATTTTTTCCCCCCAAGTTAAACCCTAAAAATCGTTTGAAATTTTAGGAAATCCATCAAGGACTTGTTAGCAGCAATGTAATGAATGAAGAAAGAAAGCCCCATGGACCAATTGATTTGCTTTATTTTCACATCCGGGTACAAAAAAGAAGGCCAAATTCGATATTTTCGAACGGATTAAATAATCTGTGGTCAAAACCAAACCAGTTCTGTATTTAATTGCACCGTGTTGCAAGTAATAATACACGTGGCAATTGATTTCTATTGGCCTGCTGAATAGAACCAATAAAATGCCCTTTGAATAATTGGCCCAATTTGTTTTTATTACGTATTATAGTCATTAAATTTTGAATATAAATGTATCATGTAAATTCTATGTTTACATTTGTAGAATGTATTTTGTAAAAGATCGTTCAGATCTTTTGTTATAATGTTTGATTTAACAATTAAAACCTTAACAACAATAAATATTATTAAGTGTGACGTCAAAGATATTGACCAATGTTTTTTTTTAATAAATGTTTTTTTAAAAATCTGAATCAATTTTTTTAAATGAATACGAGAGAATTTTTATAAAATGGGGCGATAAGATTAGCAAAATGATGAAACGACCAATTGTTTTAACTTCGTTGTAAAAATTGAAAACATCAAAAATAAACAATGGTGTTTGAAATGGTCTTGTTATTGCACTCAACGATAAAATGATGAGACTAAAACAAAGAAAACGATGTTTCGTGTAATTACGGATAAATAAACAATAAAAAAAGTTAAATTCAAGGTGGAAGGTAGAAAACGGACAGACTACTAGGTTATTGAAAACGTGCGTTAAATTGCTCGCAAAGGTTGTTTTAAAAATGTAATGTCAGGAAATGTCAAACGGTACATACCTTAAAAGCCAGGGGGAAAACTGTAGAAATATTTAAAATAAACACTGTCCCGTCTATGGTGACAATTTTGCATTAATCGCTAACAGTATAAAAAAAGGCGGCGGGCACGCATTTTCAATAAGATTCACAGCCGAAATCGTGAGCAAACATTGACATGACACCGTACAAAGTGTAAATGTGCTGTTAGAAAAGTTAAGAGGAAACGGATTGAGTGGAGAACTCCCTCCCACTACCTTTAACATATGACACAAACCGTCCAATCCCTTTACGATCTCTTGTCAGACTTGGCAGGCGCCAAACTCAAAAAGCCCGACTTCGTTCTTCCTTTAAATAAACTCCGGGCGGAAAATAGATCCGGTCTTTGCCTTTTCCACTTCGACGCCAAGTCTACTCGCGTTTTGAGGCAATGGCCAAAAGGAACCTTGAAAGTACCGATAAATCTTTCACTTTAGGCGGAAAATATCTTCCTATACATCTACTTCCCTAAAATAAACGAAAAGAGTAGAGAAAAAAAATCATACTTTCTTACAATTTACAAAATTGTACAAAATGAGTTTGGTTACATATCATTTTCATAATAGCCAATACATACTGTGATTTGTAGAGAGTAAATAATGATTTAATAAAATATCAATTTCAAATACAGAATTTACATACATATAATATTTTATATAGGGCACTCTCAACACAATACACAGCAATAACACATCTAGCATATGTACCGCCGAAGCAAGTACAAAATATTCCAATATATTCAATACACAATATATACAATATACTATATAAATATACAATATACAATATTCCCTTCATCAATACTTCTTGGTTTTCTCATCGGTTTTCGCTACCTTGAAAACTTGGGATTACTCTTGGAAAAAGTGGACTCAGAGAAGTTTTGCATTTTCACGGATAGTCGAGCGTTATCCTACAAATCCAGAATTTCAATATCAGCGCTATCAGTGATTACTTAATAGCTGAAGTTAAAAAAAAAAAAAAGTTATTCGAACTTGGGAAAAGCAGCAAAACAATAGCTCTATGTTGGGTCAAGGGTCACTCAGGAGGTACACACAATGAAAAGGTAGATAGACTGGCAAAAGCTGCTATCGCGAGGACAAAGTCAAATGTGCGGATAAAGAAAGGGGTTTTTAAAAACTACATTCTTACCAATTGTATGAAAAAAATGGCAATTGGATTACAATAGAACGGTGGTAGGAAATTATTATAAAGACCTATTCCCTATAATTAAGAAAAAACCCTGGTACTCTGGGGTCTATAAGGAAAAACATTTTTTCTTTACAAGCTCAGACCTTCACCAAATTGTCCAACATGTGATGTTCCAGAAGACCTAAACCATATAATATTGTTATGTAAAGAGTTTGAGGGTAACAGAAGCATATTATTAGAGAAGCTAGGCAGACTCCAGAATATAAAACACCCTTTCAATTTGGAAACTATTCTGATGTCAGAGGATATAAAAATATATTCCCTTATATACGAATTTCTTAAGAATATTGACACTTTGATATGATAAATCACCACATTAAACTAATATGTAAAGTGGATAGAACAGAGAATACAGTGTAGAAATAAAAGTCTGAATAATAAATTTCAATTTGGTTGCACTTGGCGGCTGGGTCTCGCTCTGTCATCCGGTGAAGGAATTGTATGCATGGCCAATATGAGAAATAAGGAAAAAATGACACATTTACACAGAAAACAAAAACTTTGTGCCCTGAAGATGATCTTATAAAGATCGTAACATTGACATGGTAAAGAAAATGTTTTTCTAATCTTACATCATCATCTCCAAATAATCATAATATTTCATGATTTTTTATTGTAACTTTTATTTATATGTATTGTTCTTGTAAGTAATAGCAAAAGAATTTCACACACAAAATTTGTAGAGAACAACCTCACAACATAAATTATTTGTTTCGATTTATTTAATTCAATTAATTATTGGTTTTATCTAAGCTCTTGATTGAGATGAGAAAGTTAGTGTCCCAGCAGGATTCGAACTCACAACCTTCAGCTCAATACGCTGCTGCTCTAACCACTTGATTTATCGTGATTCTGTAAAAATAATTAATATGATCAAATATGACTGCTAAACATATTTGGATTAATATTTGTTCGTTTTTATTATTTTTTTTAATTTGATATGTTTAATTGTTTATTTCTTATCAATTGTTGTTATTGTGTCCTATTTTTTAAAATTCAAATTACAACTTTATATTTAACAACTAATAACTTTTTATATTTAAACTCACATCATAGCAATTTTCTAACTGCCTAACACATTTAATTAGCAATTAACACAGCAATTAACCAACAGGAAATCCATTGTACAGATAGTATAGGCCTTTAGTATAAGAGCTGGGGGTCCCCCAAGGAACTGTTCTCGGATCAACCTTATTTAAAATCTTTATAAACAACATTTGCAAGCTAAAAACTTCAGCTGAACTGGTTCACATTGGTGAGAGCCTCCTGTAAGGATGATCCTATCTGCAGAGAATTATCACTAACTATAGATAAATGTTTTAAATATTTTGAAAAAAGGAGAATCCGACCTCGTGGTACCGACTGTACATTGACAATCATAAGCATGGATGATGGTGAGATTTTCTCTTCCTTTCTGTCACACGCTGAAGATGGCAAATTGCCAAAACACATCTGACAGACCAGGTTGAGAGAGATAGGCAGAGCAAGTCAATCACTATCAAATTACAAATGTAAGATGGTCTTTAGCCTAGAATATCATTGAAGAAATTTCTTAATATAGTTGAATAATAACCGATCAAAAATACTTCCTTCTGAACATTTGAAAACATTACTCTCTAATGTTAGTTATATATGACATCAATGATGATTGTAACCACATAACAAGTGGAGTTTAACTCCAATATCTTCAATCTATATTAACATGGCTCTACTACTACTAATCATCAAGGAAAATTCTTATAGTTTAACACACAACTTAAAATAATTCGTTTTAAAATAAATTAAAGGTTTGATCCTACATATCTGTCAATTTCTACACAAAGAAAAAAAAATACTAAGCCCTGAAATATTTTGCATGCAGTAATATCTTAAACTTTCTGATTAAAATAAAAAAAATTATTATATAGGGTACTATTAGATGCAATGCTAAGATGCAGGTGTTCTTCCTAGTATTGCAATCAGCATTCTCTCCCTCCAGGGTTACTTAATTGTATTATTAATCCAAAATAATTCATTCCTAGCCTAGCTATCAGTCTTGCACTAGGATAAACTTATTATTCAAATAAAGTTTTTTTTAAAAGTAATCACCAAGTGAACAAACTTAATTTACATATATTTTAAAAACTTTCATCATACCTTTATATAAAGAAACAACTCAATTTTATAAAAATTTAGTTTATTTTCCAGCCCATTTGTATCAAATGGTTGATAGAAAAAAATGAAAGAAAAAAGAAATATTCTATACAATCATTTACAATAATAAATTGATCCAACTGTACACAATTATGACCTGATTTTGCAATTATATGTACTTTTACACTTTTATTATTTTTTATACCATGTTATTATTTTACAAAATATATACAAACTTACATATCTGTTATATATAAAGAATTAACAGTCCTCACTTTATTTACAAAAGCAACTTTCAATAAAACAAACAGTTTTAAAAACGTACACATACATATACATATATTATACGTTCTCCCATTAATTACTTGAATAGGTGCTTTACACAGGAAAAAGGAATAAATAAATTGTCCAAGGGGATGGGGGGGAATACAGTACGAGCAAAACAAAGTAAAGATTAAAAATGAGAGATCATCAATTCCTTCGGTGGAAATTAGGACATAGTCCTTTAAAAGAGCCAACATGCTATTTTTATCTGTTTTTGTTTAGTTGATGTTTGAACGGACATTTTGGTACTCGGCAGAAGCCTTTCTTCATAAAGTTATTGCACATTCCTCTAGGTTTCCAATTCCCACTTCCTAAAATAGATGATAAAAACATTATATTAACAAAAAGACAATTTTGCTGATAAAGAGTACAAAGATACACAAAACACTGTTCAATTTTGTCAAGTGTAGTTTCTTACCTTTGTTATTATTTTTGTTAGGATGCCTCCAATTTCCTCCACCACCACCTGGAGGTCCTCCATTTTGTCTGAACCATTGTTGTCTCGGTGGCCTTATGTCTTGTTGCATAGGAATAGGGCCGTTCGGTCCCTGGAAAGGCCCAGGCCCACCTGGGCCGCCAAACATACCCGGAGGGGGTCCAAAAAATTGAGGCATCATATCAGGAGGTCCTTGGAACATGTCAGGCGGTCCCATCATACCAGGGTGCATGTTCGGTGGCATACCCGGATTCATATTCGGCATACCGGGATTCATACCAGGCCCCATCATCATCATATTGTTGTCTCCTCCTCCCATTATATTTCCTTCTCCGTTCACCATCCACTCTTGGCCAGGCATCATGCCGGAAGCCATGGAATAAGGAACTGGAGGAAAGGGACCAGGAGGGAATGAGGGCGGACCCATCATGGCTGGAGGTTGCTGCTGCTGCTGTTGCAGTTCCTGCGGTGGGAAAAGGTGAGGTGGAGATTCGCTTGGTCTCGAAAGAGTCCCAGGTTCGTATCCTTTTGGTTCTGGCCATGGTTTATCTTTATACGAAATTACTGAATCTGTATTTCCCGTCTGATCGTCCAAAGGTATGATTGTCGGTTCAGTCATAGCGTGTATTTCGAGGTCAGGTTCTGCTGGTGAATCCGGTATTCTGTAAAACAATAAAAAAAAATACATTTATACATGCTAATACTATTAAAGAAAATTTTCATTTTTTGGCTTTGCATTGAACACCTACATGCTCTTGTTGAAATAAATTGCTTGAAGGGTTGTTCTTTCCCTTGCTTGTTGAATTTCTTTTTCTATACTGTTCTTTCCTGGAATTACTAGATCACCCTCAATGTCAATCGGAATAAGAGGTCTCCAAGGTGTTTTTTCTTCCATGATATCTTCCATTGCTGCACAAACATAAACAATATTACAACTTAAGCAAAGCATAAAATTATTACTATTATTTAAATAAAAGGATAATAACCAAGTTTCCTTGATAGGTGCATCCTTTCATTTATTCTCTCCATTTGCTTCATGTCACTGAATGCCTTAGTTACATTTACTAAAATATAAGAAAGAACATTTAAAATATATATTTGTTTTTAATTTATGAAATAATTAATGAAGTATAATTAATCACCTCTTTCATTTTCATCTAATTCAAAATACTTAATAGCTTCTAGTTCTGCCTCGGGTTTCCATTGCACACCTTTCTTAACACCCGCTTCTTTTTTAACATAAACTAATACTCCTTTGGGTAACCTATTTCTCTCCCTCTCAAGATTTTTTTTCTCTTCCCGTTTCAAAACTTCGTTTATAGCTTCTTCAGCCTTAGCCACTTCATCCTCAATTTCTTCTTTTGAAAATTGCTCAACTTCTAAACAAGCAAACAAAAACAACAAATATCAGGTTAGTGATGTAAAAACACTAAAAAAACTGAAATGTAAAAACACTTACCAGCTACTTCCATTTTGGTATCTTCATCAACTTTTAAAATAGTTTCGTCTTTACTATCATCTTTCTTGTCTTCAGATGTAATTAAAGTATCCTGATAGAACTAAAAAAAATAAAATATTAATTAGTGATTTATTTTTTTAATTTAAAGCAAGAGAAATGGATATATTTTAAACCACCTTAAAAACAGGTTTTGGGTCTTCAGGCTTATTTTGCACTGGAGGAGAAACTGCTTCTTTCTTAACTTCAGTGACTGACGTGCTCGGTCTTCTTTTTCTTTTCCTAATATCTTTAATAGGATTCGCAGCAGTCAATGCATCAGCAAAAACGTCGCTTTCTTGCAAGCCAAGAGCTAAAAAATAAAATACAACTGAGTATTCAAATCTTACAATTTTGTCATGAACCATATAAAAAGGAATTGATTAAAAAAAGTTACTTGAATGCAACTTATACATTTAATAGAAAAACTATTATTATTGATCAAAAGTGATTTTTTTTTTTTTTTTTTAATGAAATCTTGACAATTCCTTTGTTTATGTTATAACGAGTAAGATAACATGTCTGGCAGTATCAGTTTCATAGGACAAAAATAATTAAATCTTTCCACAATTAAAATAAGGTAAAAAGGTGGAAAACATATCTTGTGCATTCAAGTAATTGATTTTAATTTTTTTAAATATTATTATAATGTGCTTCTCAATGTGTTCCCAATTATTATCATTATTTATTGATACATTTGTGTGAAAATAAAAATTTATCAAATAATTCAAAGCATCCCAACTTTCCAAAAAGGATGTAATGATACTTTAATTAGTTGATAAATAACTGTTAAAAAATTAATAATAAAAAAATTAAAAGAAAATAAACAACACATTAGGGTTAATACAGTTTATTTCAAAGATATACATTTTTTTATACAAAAATGAAAACTGAGTCTCTCCGATGATCAATGATACCTGCAAAGTATGTAGTTTCAAGTTGCTATAAATAAAAAATAATTGGTCTCTCAATAATTGTAATGAATAACAATCTAAATAAAACATACGTCCATATAACAATAATTTGATATCAATAAATTTAAATAAATAAAACCTGGCCACTTGTATGCTGTTTATTTGAAATTAAGATTTTTATTGTTATATTAATTACAACATACTTATTTTAATGTACACCCAATTAAACTCGATCAGAAATTCATGTTTTTATCAAAATTATTTAATTATGATGGTTTGAAAGAAAATTCAACAAAACACCAGAAAATAATTTAGTGATAAAATAAATTGTTAGCTAAATTTTTATTCCATCACCAAATGCAAATGATTTTCCAGTGTTGTGGTTAATTGTCGTTCAAACCATCAAAGTTAAATATTTTTTAATAGAACTCATACATTTCTCATCTCGTTTAATTTGGGTTAAATGAATGTAAGTATATTGCAATTATTTTTCTTTCCAAAAGGTAGATTGGGGATGAGGCCAGGAATGAGGCCCCAATCTACCTTTTGGAAAGAAAAATATTTAAACTGAGATCAATCACCAAAGAATACACTGCATTTAATATAACACTAAAAATAGATCAACATACATAGTTTAAAATAAACTACAAAATCTAATGTATTTTTTTTGTCTATGAGTGTGTAAAATTGTAGCAACAAGGAAATATTTTACAAAATGATGACATTATTACAGTGTTATATAAACTATGCAAATATTTTATGAAAAATTTGTATTTTTCCTTTTCGTTAAATAAATAAAGCAACAAAAAATTGTGGTAGCGGTGGACTTACTGGACCAATTTTACAATAAAAATTAGTTAATAACAATGAAAGTGAGCGTGTGTGTGTGTGTGTGAGAGAGAGAGAGAAAGAGAGAGAGAGAGAGAGAGAGAGAGAAAGAGAGAGAGAGAAAGAGAGAGAGAGAAAGAGAGAGAGGGGGGGAACAATGGTTTTCAGTTGTTAAATACTATTAAATTGTCAAAAAAAAATTATTTGTCCGACCATCAAAGGTTTACCAATTACAAGGCCCCGCCTTTAAATATCAATTAGCCACACAAAAAGCGCATCTAGTATAATTTAGCATCAAAATGAAAACAAGCAGAATGTTTTATTTTAAATTCCCCTTTGATTTCATGTAATTGTGTAACCTACGAAGGAACTACTTTTGGCACGAGGCCGCCATTGATACGAAGAGGACGCCCGGCCGCCAGTTCATCGTAATAAAATCAATTGAAAGAATACCGACAAAACACTTCTAATCTGACTTTTGTTCAAGAAACTTTTATCAACAAAACAACACTTTATTTCATCGCATTGTTATTTATAAATAGCTCTAGGAAAACACGTAATTTCAAATTCTGTAAAACTAGTTTGTGTATCGCTTTAAACTTTGAGTTAAGCGAAAAATAAGTAGAAAAACGTTTTTACTTTACAAAATATGTTATAAGAACAACCAAAATTGTTTGGTCAACTATTAAAACGAAATATTCGTAAAATGGTTTGCATTTCGAAAAAAAAAAAAACGTTACAAAACTGTATTGATTAATTCGAACCATAAAGAGTAGTTGGTACAAATAAAAGAGAACGCCTAATTTTAACGAATCTGTTATAACGAAAGGAAAATTTAAAAAATTTTTAGTTTTAAAAACTTTACGAATAACCAAAAGTATCTTTCGTATCCGGAAAAAGTGACGATTGAAACAATTGAAAAAAACCATAGCCTATTTCTAATTATAAGCGTAACAAAATTAAGTCTTCTTAATTTCGTTCAAAACTTGTAAATAAAAATAAAATGACTATGTCAATTAGGGCTGAAAAGAGAAGGGGGATAGGAGGAAAGGAGAGAGGGGAGAGAGAGAGAGAGAGAGAGAGAGAGAGAGAGAGAGAGAGAGAGAGATTATTAGAGAGAGACGAAAACGAGAACTAAAGTTTGTACGTATATGTTATTATGCATGTAAGTAAAATTTTAAAATTAAACTTATATGATGTTATGTATACATACAAATTATATATAAGTTCAAGAAAAGAAACGTGCCCTTACATGCAAAAAAAGATATATCCATTGGTAGGTAATAATTAATAATAATAAAAAAAAATCCAGGGAATAACTAAGAATAAAATTGATTTATTACGTATTCATTCTCTAATTCGCTTTTTTCTTTTTTGACCATGCCATTTAACTTTTTAATCAAAATTAAACTTTCAATCAATCCGGATAAACCAGACGAAACTATACTTCAATACTATAGTTATAACAAATGCAAAAATTTTAACCGTTTTACCACCAAAGCCAAAAAACCGCTTACTCGTATTTTCTTGTTATTTCAAATTATATGTATGCATTTTTATTATTGTATTAATTACAGCACACCAAAAACTAGAACAGAAATTCGTTTTAATTAAAAAAATGTAATATTTACAATATAAAATTTAAATACAATTTATTCTATCACTAAATGATTTTCCGATGTTTCGGTAAAGTTTCTTTCAACCCATAAATTTTTATTAAAACATGAATTTCTTGATCTCGTTTAATTTGATTTACATTAAAATAAGTATGTTATAATGAACATAACGATATAAACATACATAAAATTTGAAATTAGCAAAAAATGCGAGTGTCCGGTTTTTTTTAGTTTTGTCAAGGTATATTTTATTTATTTAAAAAGTAGGCAAAGAAGAGCTACTGGAAACAATCAGGAAACATATTTGGTGGGTGGGAACTAAGACGCTTATATTAATTTCTTCTGAATCATTACCTTTAACAATGAAAATATGAAATCAATGTACAAAACGGAACGATAAATTCTAAAAGTAATATTTTAGCACCATTAATAGAGCAACCAAAAGTAACTTTAGTGTAAGTAGACAAAAAATATTCATCTAAATTTCGACAAAACCGATAAAACATTACGAATACAAATTAAAATTGACAGTTTCCTCCGTATGATCTGCGGGGAAACGGACTTTTTTTTTTCGTTACCAATCATTATGACCCACTGAAGAAGGCGAAATACCGAAACGTCAGAAAGACTAACCCAGGGAGGTAAGCAATCAAAATAATCGGTAAAGATCGAATCAAGAATTAAAACGATGTAGTCAATTTAAAAAAATAAATATCACCTACGGTAATAATTAATAATTTGCTTAACTAAAAAAAAAATAATGAGAAGAAAAGATCACACTTCATTTAGAAAAGCTGGATATGGAAAGAAAAACAAACTACACATATAAAATCAAAGATTCAAAAGTTCAATTTTTAATTTTTTTTTTTTAATCGACCAAAACTAAAACTTGCAGATAAATTAAATGATGGATTATTATGACATATAATAGCGAAAGAAAATTCCGAATTACTGAAAACATAAATAAAATTTTCTTGGAGGTCCGAAGTCGTCCAATGTAATGTACAATGTGCTGCAAGTGCCTTTAATCAGTTCTCTAGTTATAGAAATGACGATAGTTTGTATAAATCATGTTTTCTTTCATCATTGTTATTTATGGTTGGGTTTTTCTTTTTTGTAGGCTTTTCTTTGATGTTTTATATTCTCGTACAATTAATTATTTTCTTTAAAAACACCTTCAAATAAAAGACCTACAGAAAAAGGAAAATAAAACCATACATAAATAGAATTTACACTTTAATAAATGTGTGGTGATTAGTGACCGTTAATCGACTTTAATAAATGATTCTCAATTAATCGCTAAGCTAAAGATGTAGTCCAGTATTTTTTAATTCTAGATGTAGATCAGAGATGACCCAATGCCTAGCAATTGTCTACATCTAGAAATCTCAATTAACACGCAACAACTAATGAACTCGTCAGCATTTTTACTTTAATGAGATCGGTTCCATTTTTGTTTATGTCAGATATGGCAATTTGTAATTATGTCTTTACTTCTATCCTGTCCCAAAATAACAATATCGACGTAGAATCTGCCTAAAATTTTATCAATTTAGTTATACGAAATCATTTGTTTTAAGACATTAATTTCAGTAAACTAACATAATTTTCTCCTGCAAAAAATCTAAAATCGTTATAAAAAATAAGGTTGGATTTAAAACAATGCCTACCGATTGTTAAACAAATAAAACTTGAATTATTAAAAATCCCCACTAAAAAAAAAAAAAACTCAATTTTATTTAAAAAATAATAATTTTTATGACTTTATTGACTAATTTGAATGAAGAATGTATTAATCAATGTGGAAAAGTATATAAAATCAAGACACTTCACGACTATTGGCTAATTCCTAGGGAAAATTTAACGATTAATCGATCGTATACAACGCTTTTCTCCAAGAGCACATATAATGCCTTCCATACAAAAGAAGGTGTTGACTCAATTGATTTAATATCAAAGCCCTTAATAATGAAATCTGAGGATCATATGAAAAAAAAAAAAAAATTAACAAACGGCTTGACTTTTTTTTAAACGGTAAAGTGGAATAAAGCTGCGAGTTTTATTTTTTATGATATAGCAAATTACTTCAATCAATTTATATATTGATGCCGATGCGTTTTGGGGCATTCTGGCTCCCCTATTCAGGATTCGTTGTTGTCCAGCAACTGAGTTTGTTATGAGCCCTTCAGAGGGGAACCACAATGCCCCAAACGCATCGGCTAAATAAATTTATTGAAACAATTCGCTATTCATTTGTCGGAATCCATCATCAAAGAAAAGACAATCAACCAAAAAAAGGAAGAATAATTTATAATTGTTTCAGACTCCAAATTTACGGCATGATGTTGGCCTAAATTGCCCTATTAGAGGAAATATCTATTGACAATGTAATTAAATTGTCACATTTAAAAGCCCATTTTTACAACTTTACAAGAGTTCGATTTAATATCCATTCTGTGAATATGTTTCAAAGACTTATGGGGTTAATGACAGGCAATCTTGTTTTTATCATTTTGTAAATAGTAAAACCACAATGTACAGATATCTTTATACCTGAAAAGGTTGAAAATGAAGGTAAAACTTTCATAATAAAAACATTTTTACTTAAGAAATTTTATACCTGAATTTAAATTTCCCGAACCGTCAGTCTTTTACTATGTGATGATTAGTGACCGTTGTCGATGATTATTCGGAAATCGTGAGATGCGGTCTGGTGTGATGTATGTTTCAGAAAAACATTTTCTTTATCGTGCCAACGTTTCGATCTTTATTGGGATTAGCTTTGTGGCCTGGAATTTACAAATATTGTTTAAATTTAACAAATACATGTAGGATGTGGAAAAAGTGAATTTATACAATGCAAAAAATATTTTTTATATTCAATCAAAGTACGCAGAAAACACACTTTGAATCAGTAGAAATACTTTGATTGAATATAAAAAATATTTTTGCATTGTATAAATTCACTTTTTTTCACTTCTTACATGTATTTGTTAAATTTAAACAATGTTTGTACATCCCGGGCCCTGAAGATGATCTCAATAAAGATCGAAACGTTGGCACGATAAAGAAAATGTTTTTCTGAAACCTACATCACACCAGACCGCATCTCCCGATTTCCGAATAATCTTTTACTTTTTACAGAATATACTTATGGAGGTTTTTCAATAGAATTTATATAATGTTTGCACGCAAATCTTTTTTTAATATTTGGTGACGATATTAAAATAAAACAGATCAAAATTAATTAAAATATATATGTTTAACGGTCATAAATGTCCATATTAATTATAATAATTAATTTAAAAAATTTATTTATTTTTAACATTTAATAACTTGGTATTTTTTTAATTAAGTGAAAATGCACCGTTTTTTGCAGTACAACTCACACTAGACTCCCGAAAAAACCATAACTCGAGGAATTACGTGACGCCGAGGATATTTTAACGATTTTTCCATAAATTTAGTTAGGTTCCAAAAGAATAAGTCCAACTATAGAATATTTATAAGATTTAAGATCTTAAGGACGAACTCGAGTATAACACGTTACACGTAAAATATATTATGTGAATTTATAAAAAAAATTACATGATGTTACGCAAATAAAAAAAAATACAAATACACCCTACCCTGTCTACGGCAAATTTTCTGACAAATTTAAAAGTCGCTAGAATTTCATTTTTTTAAGCATAATTTACAATATGATTTAATGCACTACAAAAAGTTAAATAAGTATTCCACTGGCTAAAGTAAAAAATGGAAGTTCTCCCGTTCGTTGGATTAGAATGGCACGTGCTCAAGAAAAGACGCTAAGCCGATAATGGAAGGGGGAGGTCTAAAAGTCCTGCCTGACACGTTTTTTTTTTTAATTTTACCTAACATTGTTTGAATTAACGACGGATATAACTATCTAAAGAAAAATATACGTCTGACCAAATTAAAAAAAACGCCAAAATCACATTTATTGCTTAAACCTTTCCTTCAAGTCAAAATAAATGTAATTTTATCACTAAAAATTTTTTTGTGTCAAATTTAGCATTCACCGCCATACTTAGGGATAAATATAAATTTTGTTTAGATAAAATAAAGGAATGAATATTTATTATCATGTTTAAAATCCGTGACCCATGAACTTCAATATAATTCTATCAACAAAAAGAACCCTCCCTCCTTCCATTGTCACAATTAAAAACAGGGTATCACAGCTAACATTATAAACGTAAGGTACACACAATATTTATATAAATATACAAAAAAAGTTTTATTTTCTAAAACAACACTTTTTAATACCAGAAATTTGTTTATTTCAAGAAGAAAATAAATCATTCTATTCTTACTGTTTAACTGATAAAAATGCTGATTATACAATAAAAGAAAATCCTATTGAAATCTGTCCACTAATAATGGTTAGCATTAGCATAAACCTTTTTGATAAAATTTACAATTAACACTTGAACAGTTTGAGTTCTTTTATAAACGTTTTAAGGGCTTTACACAAAATGCTTTATACCAAAAATCCATTGAAGGATAAAAACTTATTGAATTACAAAAATATAAAAAGAATTGTGAGACTTCGCATAAGAAAATAAATAAATTGATTATTTAGATTTTTAACAAACAAAATCGATAAACTTGATTTTTTTAAAATGAGAGCTCTAATACTGTAATTTACTTAATATTAAATTTAGAAAAGCTTTTGTTATAAAAAGTTTGATTGTAATATTTTGAAAATAATTTTCCAATATGATAGTCATTAATAAATAATGCTAACCCAGAAAGTGGACAGTTTTTAGGATTAGAAAAAAAACACGAATTAATTTCATATTTTTTATTGTATAATAGTACACAGCATTTATATCATTGTAGAATATGTTCTAGAATATATTCACTCTTTAATACATCAAATTAATAATGAGAAAAGATAAAAACTTGAAAATAAAACAAACAAAAATTTCTGGTATCAAAAATTGTGCTTTCTCTTTTTTAATATCCTCTAAATGAATTAAAGTCCATTGTCCACACTAAAAAAATGTAATAAGAGTTCAAATTGTTTTGTTGCTGCACAATGTTGACTGGAGCACCCTGTTTTATATAAACAGATTTTAATATAAAAATAGACTTTTGCACCTCTTAAAATATAAAAACATGAAGGAGTATTAGGGATTTCAGTTAACTTGTTTTTTTGATTTTTCTTTTTTTATAATTGTTACATAGAAATTATGGTGGGGCACAGCAGGTGCCTTAGTTCATTTTTCCACATCGCTTACCTTCCAACCATCTTTTCTTCAACTTTTTTATTTTCATTTTGTTAGTGTCAGAGATCACCCTCCACCAAGATACTAATTTAACGACTTTCTAAAAAATATTTAATTGTAAAATTAAGTCTGCTTAAATGTCAGCAAACAACACATTGCAATTTAATTTAATATGTACTGACACTTATAATGTTCTCGTAAGACTTCTCACTAAAAACAATTTAAACCCAATTTTAGACTTTGTATAGAAGTACTTAGAACACTGAACCAGAAAAAAGAGATAATTCAATTTTGTTTAAAATTTTAAGATAAAAAGGTAAATTTCTATTGAACTTTTAACATACAATTCCTTTTTCGAGAATAACACTGAATGCACACATAAAAACTGATTTAATAGTTCAATGTTCTTTAAATTCTTCCTATTATAATTCTCCATTTTGGTTTGGTTTCGATAGAAATTGTAGTTTTTCCATTTTTTCCAGATATGTACTGATTGTTGCTCTTAATCAAATTTTAATTTTGACATGTGTGCTGCAATAATTCTTGAATTATTTTCACAAATGTAGTTTTCTAATTGACTTATTCTAAGTAATCATCAATCAGTGATTGTTGTAATACTTACCAATGGTGTAACAGACAAGCATCCTTTAATAAATTGGACAAAACAACGCCAAGCAAAAGATAGTCCAGAAAATGACGTCAGAACGCCGATAAAAATAAAAACAAAAACAAACAAAAAAAAATTTTCAAATGAGTCAAGTACGACTCATTCCTTTTAGAATTATAACAGAAATTAAAGTGATAATGTAGATAGAAAAAAATCAAATTTTAACTAAATATCTGGATTAACAATTGATTTTTTAAATAAATTATTATTTCAGGTAACTAAATTATATAATCACTAAAATTGATTGTGATACCTTCGTAACCTCGGTGAAACAGCAAAGTGGAGAATGGGTAGCCAACTTCAGAGCCTCTTCTGCTAAAGGTAAAGCTATAGGGAAACATACTCAACATAGTTCAATATAACACCTTCAAAATCGATTACCAAAAAAATCAATAAAAATAAAATAAAACAAATGGATAATAAAAAATAATAATAGTAAAAGGAAACACAGAGCACATTATAACTAGGAACCACGCAGCTTCTTGAGGTCGGCAAGAAGGTCCTCAAGACTCCGCAAGGATTGCTGAAAATTGACACAAAAATATTAGATATAGTATTAGTTGTATAAAATTGCTCTTTGATAATTTCATACTGAAAACCAACGTCCAAACTATATCTGTACTCATTAATAATAATTTTGATGCAGCTGCTCATATCCACTGGAAAATGGCACCTTGGTGTAAGCGCTAATTGGGGCAAGACTTTTTTCTAATAATCCATATTAAGGTGACATATTTTTGAAATTATTATTATAAAACACTGACACATCTGATCAATGTTCACTTATGAGCATACCATGCAAAAAAATGTATCTTACCTTTAGGTTTAACAGCTGGTTTTTCAGCCTTATCCTCTTTATCTTCCTTTAATTTTTTCTCAGGTGGATGAGTCTCTTTTGATGGAGAGGGTCGCTTTAATGATTTTTTATCTTCCTCATCCTTCTTGTGGTCAGTCTTCTTAAGGTTTTTAGGCGGAGGTGGGAGTTCCTCCAGTCCTGTAGATCTAAATTTAGAATTGAAAGTTTTAACCGTTTTAGGCCTTTCTTCTCCTCCTTTTCTCACTTCAACTGAAATGTTATACTTCTTCGGATCTTTTGGCTGTGGTGGAGGTTTTTTGGGTTCCACAGGTTTTTTATTTACTTTATCTTTGTCATCAGTCTTTTCTTCATCTTTCGTCTTTTCTTTTTTACTTAAATCATCTTTTAATTTCTTAGGAATCTTTCCAACATTAGTCAATGAAGGAGTCAAAAGTTTGGATAAAACAGCTCTGTCTTTTTCTTCTTGTTTTGATTTTTCTTTCATATTCTTTTCTTTTTCTCTTTCCCTTTCCTTTTCTCTTTCTTTATCTCTCATTCTTTCTTTTTCCCTCAATTTTGCTTTTAAATCCAGTTTATATCTTTTTTCTGATGACATTTTCTTTTTGTTTTTATCTTTTTCATCTGTCTCAGTCTTTTTTTCATTCTTTTTCCTAGATACTGTTGTTTTCTTGGGTTCTTTCTTGCTGTCACTTTTACTTGAATCTTTTTGTTTTTGGACACTTTTATCTGCACTAGATTTGTCAATTTTCTCCAGCTCGTCAATTTTATCCTCTGATGGTTCTTTGTCAGAAATACTTTCATCACTCGATTTACCTTCTTCTCCCTCTTCTGATATCAACCTGTCTACACGAGGTGTATTTCTGTCAGAAATAACTTCAGCCAGTACTTTTTTACCCTCACAAATGGTTATTTTGTACAAAGGTAACTTATCACCATCCTCTCGACTTTCTTGTTCTTCTCCTTCGATACCCTCATCAGAATTATCAGCCTGGGATGATTCAGTTTGGCCCTGTGAAGTCGAAGCTTCACAAGCCCCTTTAACTACAGCCAGCCATTGTTCAACTACATTACAAGCCATGACTCTAACTTCTAAAAAAATTAAAAAGTGTGATTAAAAGATTTGTACTTTTTTATTGATTAATTTATTAATGGAAAACTTACTTTCTGTGGCTTTGGGTTCTTTAGAAAGCATTTTTATGGCTTTGGGACAATTGTTTCCTTTCAGTCTTTCAATATCAACAGGGCACAAAAGTAACAATTCAACCAACTCTAGAACTAAAGGCCAATTTTCCATCTGAATTCCATCAGAAAGCCAATTAAATGTCAAGTCCCATCCCCCAGCAGACATAAACCTTAAAAGGGAAGATCATTAACTTTTAGCATTTAAGTCTTTATGAAAACAAAACAAAAAAACCCTTACATGTCCAAAAGATCGGCTTCAGTTGTTTTTAATATTAATACATAAATACATTTGCTCACAAGTTTTTTTGAAAATTTTGTCATAAGGCTAAAACAAAATACAACAAAACATTTTATACAACGAAGTGTTAAATTAAAATAAAATAAAATGTGTGCAATCAGCAATGTGATACAATGAAAATCAATTGTTTTAGTCCTCCAAAAGGGATTATTTCACTTAAATGAATAACATTCTTTTTAATTGGATCTAAATGTATGTAATGTGGGTACATAAGAAAAAAAGATTATAAAGCCGTATTTAAACAATAAAATAAAACATTATGATGTAATTGCTCGAGTTCACTATTAAAGATATAAACATTTTAATTTGAGACTTACAATCTAAGGTTATATTTGCATATATTAAATTTTTTTGCAAACTCCTAACGCACAAATGAGAAATCAAACATCTCCAAGCTTCAATATTTTTGAACTGACAATCACATAAAAATGTCATTGGTTGTTTACTATTATTTTAAAACTATTACTAGCTAAATATCAAAATTGCATTCTGACCTTGCTATCCTTTGAACCTCATCTTTACTGCGTATTCCTCCGCTTGGTGAAAGGAGGACACTCAAGCATTTGAGCAACTGATTGGGATCAATTCTTGGCTAAAAATTAAAGACTTTCATTAATAAAAACTTGCATGCACTTTTCTTAAATTTTAGGTTATGAACATTTAAATTATTTGGTTTGAATCTCACATCGCCACATTACGAAGTGAATACATATTTCTATTGTAACAAAACCAATTCAGAAAATTATCCAATTCCTTAATTTATATTTTGATTATATTATTTATCTTCCTATATCCTTGTATCATGTTTTTTTCATTTATAATATATTCTGCAGATTGTGATATTTTCCTAAATTAATTTTCGTTATAACTATTTTAAAGCATTTCACAGGTTTAGTAAACTGTATTAAACAGTAAAAATATACTAATCCTACTTTTTTTGTAAGTAAAAATAATTCCTTATTTAATACTAATTTTTCTTTTGTTTATAAAATACTAATATGTTTTGATAACTGCATCAACGAAACCATCCAATTTTATTTACATGCAAACATCTAATTTTGAAACGGAGAGTACAAAAGAGAAAAACCTAACGAAAATCAAGGTGTTTTGTTATTGTTGTTTCCAATCAATGAAGGTCAAGAAAACAAAACAAAACAAAAATACGCAGCACAAAATTTGATTGATATAAGTTTTGGATAAACAAATATTTTAAATGAACACAACAAAAGTTCCAGGTCAGCACTGCCATATCTCAATGCAAGCTGATCTGAAACAATGAAAATCTCAAATTCGTTTATTTTTTAGTTACTTTTTTTTTAACAGTTATTAAAACTAAATGGGCAAACACAAAAAATAGATAATTATGAAAAATCTAATAAAAAAAAATATATATATATAAACTTAATTGTAATATGTATTTATTATTTTTTGTTTTGGAAGATGTTTTGAAATTAAACATATATGAATATACATTAAAAAAATATTGTAAAAAAATGACTGTTAAAATCTATGCCCAAATTACCTTCATGAACAAAAATAATTACTTTTCACTAAGTGATCTGTGTAAAGTAATCAAACATTCACAGGCCAGAGCTAGAAAATTTGTGTAGAAAGTTACTTATTATATTTCATAAGCTACCTTATGAAAGCAGCGGTTGTTGGCAGGATATCGTGTTACAAGTTGTCGAAACAAGAAAATTTTGTCTTTCCTATATTTTTCTCTTTCTTTTTCACTAACGTAGACACTATTTAAAAGAATTAACTGCTTCTAAGATCACTATAAAATACACAATAGAATTATAATTATATTAAATGCTATTGGTACACTGTGCGCTCATAAGCTGTCAAATGAAGACTAATTTGTAAAATGGTAATTTCTGTTAGAATAAACAGCTGTTTGTAATTTGCATGGCCCTCTTAATGAATTTTATAGCTTTTTTAAATATATTATTTTTCTATCATGCTGTCATGTGAAATTATTTTTAGAAAAACAAAAAATCCCATTTAAAAATCAAAGTTAAAATTTCAAAACAAACTGTCTACAAGAAATAATTACAATTAAATTTTCTATGAGCAACATTTTGTTATTAAAATTCATACTCAATTTCACAAAATAATAGAGTATGAAATATATTTAAAAGTTGAGAAAATAGTTTTATAACTACATTTAGTTAAGAAAGAGAAAAAACTGTTTAAAGTATGTAAAATGACATACTTTCTATGTATTTTGTTCTACTTGTAATAAAAATTTGGATTTTTTAACTTGATATAGAAATATTTTGAACTAAATTATTCTAGAATATTTTAAGTAATTAATTATTTTTATGTAGTGTGATTGGGGTGAAAAATTATGCTCAATTACGAATTTGATTAGTCGTGACAAAAAGAGTGGTCTTAGCTTTTCACCCTGTAAAACTCCCTGAGTTAATTAATCAGATCTAATAGGCTACCTTCTGATTCCTCCAAACTTATAATGATGACTCATACAGTTTTTTAATTATTCTGACCTATTTATCACTTACTCCCGTAAGTGAATTTCTTTTTTCAAGAGTTTCTCATGTGGTATGATGTCAAATGCCCCTTTAAAATCTACAAATATTATAAAAAACCTCTTTAATCTTAGTTGCAAATTTATTATTGCCAAAACATTAATAAAACAAGACTTGTACTTAACATTGTAAAAATCTAAGACTACAAATTTTAATAATTATACAGTCCTTCACCGAAGATGGTGGAAAGCTGAAACGTGTTTTTCCATCTAAACCAGTTTGTATAAAAATACTTTGGAAAGGGGGCCTATGAAAACATGTATAAATATTCTTTAATATCTTTAGGTTTGAAATTTGTTTGCCACTTATGGTTCATAATCAAGTACACATTAATATTTTTTAAGTGCACAGGATTGTGAACAATCAGAGCACCAATTTATTTTTTCTCCACCAAATTTAAAAGTAGGTTTTGAACACCCTTGATTTTCCTAGTCGCCTACTCCTGTTGGTTATATCCATCAAACATTTCACCAATCATCAATCCGTCAAATTGAACTGTGACAAATTTTGTCTAATGCACTGAAACTGTTGTCACTTTTCCACTTAGTAATTTAAACGACAAGTTCACCTTTTCAAGGTTTTCTTGTTTGACTTTGAATAAATAGGAAAAAAGTGAACTGATTAAATAGGAAAATAACATTGATTAGAAATTAATTATGCTTTTTGTCTAAGGTCTTGGTTGAGATGAAAAAGTTAGTGTCATACTACTTTTGATGGTTTGAATCCTGCACATGAGACTAAATTTTCATCTCAGCCAAGGCCTTGGTATAATTATTTGAAATCATTAATACGGTCAATTATGACTACTAAACATAAAAAATGGTTTAATTAGGAAGTTTTAAAACAATATGAAATTTTAATGGCCGATTGTGAGAACATTGTTCCTAAGAACTACCCTATATTAATAAGAAAAACGACCAACAGGGCAAACTCAAAATCGTCATTTATACCTCACAAATATTTCAAAAAAACCTTTTACTAAAGTTTAACGACTTAATACCACCATTTTAAATTATTCAAATAAACCCGCCAAATTATTCTGTACACGAGGTCGTCGACCCACTTTTCAATCCTTTCTAATGCGTTGTTTGACTCGTGGGAAAACGATAACCCTGGAGTTCGGGCGATTTTTTATACGCTCCGAAACAAAAAAAAACAACTATTTAAGTCATTACCAACTGAAAAAATCGCTTAAAAATAAATTCAACTCCTTGTCTGGAAAATTCAGTTTTCCAGTTATTTTTAAAAGCGTTGTTCATCACGGCTTATGATTAATTTTTAAAAACAAACTAGTTTATAAATAACACTGACGTTTCATTTATATTAAGAGGTGGAGTGTGGCGATGTGAGGCTATAAAATACCTAAAATAAAATCCTAATATTTGTATTTTTTAAATAGAAAAAAGAAAATTAAGAATGACTTGCAGTTTAACTCACCATTATTAAGAATTTCCTTCTTGCGTTTGAAGAACTTTTATATAAATAATAATATAAATTGCCTGTGCAAATATGCGACGGAATTAAAATGACCTTCGACGGATTAAAAAAAAAGTTTTAAAAAATAATCGCGATTTACTGCTAATTTCTTTGTAGAAGAATAAATAAAAAGGTCCAAATTTTCTACCAAAAACCGGAGTCGGTTCTATAATAAAAAAAAAGAAGAAATATTGAACGTGTGTATGGGTTTGTCCCTTAGAACCAAGTCAACATGGCTGCTCGAAATACATTCATCCCATATTATCTAGGCCAATCCATATTTTCTTTTTTCGTCCAGTCCTCCATCTCATCCGAGACATAAAACCAACAATCCCAAATAGGTATGTATATCCTACGATGGAATATTCATTCTAACCAAATTAAATGGAAAGAAACGTTATTGGTAGAATTCTTATTAGGTTTTACTGATCCAGAAGCGTGGTCGATTCTCAGAAGGAACAATTACGAACTGATGGAAATTGGAAACTGAAAGGGGAGACGGAATACGAATGACAAATGCCTGCGCGTAAACACCTGCGCATCATTGCAAAACTCATTCTTTCAATAGATTCCAACGCTATTTTCCATCCAACACTATTTTAACGCAAAACTATTTATTTATTTGTAATCTAAATTATTATTAATAATGAAACAAGTCGTCAAACTATGATATACATCGAGATGACATATCTTAACAGCACTGGCTCACGGTTTATGAATCATGACGTACTAATGCCTTATGTATTATTGGTTTGGCGACAAAGTAATACCGTTTTTCAATTATAGGATTAATTAGCTGGAATATTTACATGTTTTGGTCTATATTGTTTTTTACAATGCTTATTTAATCCCTAAATGAAAAGGATTTATTTCTCCTCAATTTCAGTTTTCAACTTCTTTGGTTGTGTCGAACCAAAAGCAAAAATACCCACATTAATATCCATAACATTTTACCTCTTTAATATTCTTCAGGTTTATTATCTATTTTTGACTTGTGGGATTTTTTTTCTCTAATCTTATATTAATACCTGTATTAATAAGGTCCTGTACAGTGATGAAACTGTAATTTGGTCATTTTCGATGTGTTGGACTGACAGATGTGTTTCAATATTCCACCATGTTCAGTGGTAATTGTTTTACTTACCAGGAGGATCAAAAAGAATTAAATAATCTGTATTACCATCATTCTATGGTTAAGCTCATTAAATGTTAAAAAATGGAACCTCACTTATCACAATCTATCATTTATTTATCATCAATTAATAATCTATGATTAAGAAAATAAATAAAACAAATTGTCTTTCGTTTTAACAATTACAATCCTACTTCTTATTTTATTCAATTTACCAATATATTTACAAGGCAAGAAACAAAATTTGCAATTCATTTTTATTTACAAAATTCTGATTATAATAAAAAAAATTATTTACAGTGACCGTACAAAATTGTAAAATATTATGAATTATAAAAATTAAAAACTAGCAGTTAACATTTCAAGATCCAGCATGTCTTCAAGAAGTTCATCCACTTTTGTACCTATCTTTTTCGCTATCTCATGACGTTCTGGAATGGAAAGGGAGATGTAGATCCAGACCAATTCTCCATCAATAATCCCTCTCGCAACATTGCCAAGAAGTTTGTTTGAACTTTTATACTGTCTGGAAATGTTAAGTTTCAAATAGTAATTTAAAAATCCATTAAAAAATGTGAGTACATTAAGTTGTATCTAAGTTTGACTTACCGGTATGCTTTTGGGTTAAGGCCAGCAATATGTGGCACATATGTTATCAGAAGATTTTGCAACATAAGTAGCCTTCTATAAGTCTTCTCAGGTAGCGGTAGTAAATAACCCATTGCTCCATCCAATGTAGCTTTAAAAATGAATATTTATATATGAAAAATTAATTTTTCATTTAACATATATGAAAATCCAATACATACCAAATACTGTCACATGTCTTTTATCAACACCAGCCAAGTGTTTCTTTTCTTGTTCAATTTCGCTTGTTCTACATTTTATTCTGAAAAATGTATTTATGTGTTGTCCAACATGAAAATCACCTTTTCTTATTAGCTTCTGACCTACAATTTTTTAAAGATAATGAGTGGAACTGTTAAAAATATCATTTGTTTGTAAAATTAAACGGTATACACCAGATAAATTAAAAAGTAAGAAAAGTACTTAACCCATACAAGTTATCCAACATACAAATTGTGCAATTTGGTTCATTCTACAACATACTAACCTCCAAAACTTTCACGTGCTTCAGGCTGATACATATACAGGACAATATTTTTCTCCCTGTCAGTAACAAGGAAGCCCAGATGGGTGTTATCAATGAGAAAGTCAATGGCATAAGCTTCAGTTGCACGGAAATCCTATGAGAAAAGTTTGATTTAGTACAACAAACCTGATAATCTGGTACAACACAAATAATACCCTGCTAACTAGCGAAAGTGTTCTATATTCTTCTTGAAAGCGAAGAAGAGTAATAGATTTATATATGTCTGCTACAAGAATCAGTGATTTAATGCTGAGAATTTGGTGAATATAAACTTGGGTGTCAATAAAAGCCACCCCAACCAAATCATTATCCTTTAATTGCCAAATATAAATCTAAAATAATAATAATAATTAAACAAATAACATGTGTAGTTATTATATTTTCTAATATAATACCTTTTGCCCAACAGCCGAAACTAAGAATCCTAGAACGTGAGTAATAGCAGTTATAGGCCCCTTTTGATCTTTATTATAGACCATTTTTATTCTATTTTTCGTTAATGGTTGTCCAGGTTCAGGGACAACATCAATAATGTCGAAGAGCCAGATCTACATCAATGTCATTAATAGTACAATATGTCGAAAGAAGAGAAGAAAAAACAAATACAAACCCTCCCACGACTTGTTATGTCTTCACTATAATTATAATTTGTACCGACGGATATGTACCCTTTTAGACCACTCCTTGTACCCTCGTATGCAAGGCTCACATTTTTTAAACATGTGACATGTTCCCAGTCATCTAATTCCATTCTTGTATTTGGAATTATCTGAAATAATTGTTTGAAATTTGTTTAAAAAAAAGGCAAACTCATTTTATGCAATCATAAGTAAAATGATAATTGCACGTACTTCCCAAGAAACTGGAGAAAATAAAGAAATACTGAATTTCTCTGCAAGTGGGAAGGGAAATCTATCATCTTTATCTTCTACAGCCAGTTCCTATGAAGAAAAACAATTAATAAAAAACTAATTCACGCAGTGAAAATAACAAATGATATAATTTCACCTTGTCTTCACCATTGAATTTATAATATTCCTTTGTCGGCTCTGCTACACTTGTTACAATACAATATGTTTTACTTTCTAAATGGTACGTCACAAAATGTACGGTACATCTTAAAGGGACCTTTCTAACTGGCCAAGCAGCATCGTAAGATAAGTGAGTCGGCAGCACACATATTCTCAGTTCAGCCTTAAAATAATGTATACATGTCTTATTTATCATTTAAATTCAAAGTACAATGTGAAATACCTTATTGTTGAAATAAAGGAACCCCTGAGGACAGTTGATATTGTGAAATGCTGCAAAGCACATAACAGGTCCGTCTATGTACATAGGATGTGTCCTCAATTCGCCACGAGCCGTTAAGAAAACCCAATAAGGATTGTTACCACAAACAAACACCTGCAAGATCCAAAATATTATTTAAAGAGATCAAGTGATGGAGTCAAAACTCTTAGCACATCGTATAAACTAGCTTGTATGCTGCTTTGTAATCTTTCCTTTTCAAAAACCCCTGACAGACTTTTAAAAATAGCAAGAATATGCACAGCAGGGTGATCAGAGATGATAAAACTACATGTTTAACCTCTCTCAGGCATCAATAATGTTTTATAACAACAAATAATATTAATGTTTTTCTAAAATAAAATGTTTTTCAGAAACCTACATCACACCAGACTGCATCTCACAATTTGTGAATAATAATATTAACTAAAATTAAACCCTAGTTTCTATATAATGAAATTGTTTTTAAATAATTACAAAATATCTATGAGTAAAATTTTAAAAAAGCAAAAAGAAGGGGAAAAGACTTACTCCACAGTAACCAGAAATGTTACTGAAGAATCGTAATTGATTTACCCTCACATCATCAGGATCATCATCTTTGTCAGCCCTATATAAATTAAACATTTATAATTAGAAAAATATATATTTAATTAAAAGCAATAATTGTATTGTACCTTAGAACATCTTTCACAAGTAAAGTTCCTATTTTTGAGAATTTTAGATTTAAGCTAACATGGGCGTAAGAATAAGCCTGATATATCAAAACTTCGTTTTCAAGCCTAATGAACAAAAGCGGCTTGCTTCCATTGTGTCCAAGTCCGACGAGCAATATTTCTTTGATAGCTGGTTCAGTAAAGGCGTGCGCTAAAATACAAACAGTAGTTCAGTTTAAAGATTCCAACCTTAAAATAATGAACGCACCGTTATCAGAATTTGTTTGTGCTAAAGTGGGCGGTGCAGCCAAACTATCAGCAAGAATGCCATGTGCTAAACTGACATTTGCCACAAGGTAGCTCAACTTTAAGTCTGGAAGAGAGTAAATTTCCAAATGGCCATTGTCTCTTGTTAACAGTGTCCAATATGACACTTTCATCTCTTGAAGATGTCTCCGCCACCTTGAGATATTTTTAGATTTTATTTGAAAATTTCATTAAAAAGATTTAAGTGTAAAGAATAAATACAAACCAAGCTGGTTTTCGACTGGGTGGAATATTGTTTGTATAAGGTAAAGGGTTCTGTTCTTTTTTTATGTTTAATGCACTTGATTCACCATACAATAATTCCTCTTCATCATCAATACTCTCCCTGAATATTTTTAAATTTATCAACACACAAATCAACAAATTGAAAAAGTTAAATATGTAATTTTGCTTACGTTTTTACATTATCTATAACAAAAGAAGACGGAAGTGTATAGACTTCTGATTCAAGTTCTTCTGCTGTCATTGTAAACATTCCACTGATATCTCGATAAACGCATATATTTGTGATTTGTGGTCTCTAAAGGAACAATATACAAAGTATACAATAAACCATTTGTTACAGTTTAAATTTAATTGCATTACCAGTTGAATTTTTGGTTTAGAAATGACTAGCCTTCCAGTGTTACGTTGTTCTTTCAATGTCAGCAAGATCAACTGGCCGTCTCCCGAGAGGCAGAGGATGTAAGGATCGGATGCAGAAGCTGTGACAAGAGGGGAACCCAAATCAATGGGAAGATGTTGGATTTGTTCACTACCGTGAAGAAGCCTGACCCCCATTGTTGATACCTAAATGAAACATATTCCAAATTTGTGATTTTTACAGTGAAACTTTATTTTAATAATATAATGATTTATTGATTATATCCAAATTGATACACAGCCAAATCTGTGCACAGAGTTGAGCCTATCACTTTTCACAGTCCACCGGTAATTTCAGCTTTTGTAATTTTCAATAAATTACTGGTAGGCATCGAGAATCACTCACCCTTGGTAATGGCATTCCAGGTTGAATGTCTGGTAATGGTCCACCTCGGTCTTAAATGTCTGGGCGCCAAGGGCTATCCACAGATAGGTTAATTCAACCTCAAACAATCAGTTCTTAAATCCAAACTCATTCACACTTTCACTAACTCTTACATAATTTCTTTCTTATTTAAATACAATTCACTCAAGTAGGGTGGTGGAGCACTCAACAATCCTCCAACGCATTCATGCTAATAGTTACATTCATTCTCAACACACACAAGGTACACAACAATATCAGCACTACATACAGTTAAACAACCCAGTTTCCTCCACGAATTAAAACAGGGGACCCATATACTTGTGACTGTGCTCAAGCAAAATTCTCATTGGGTGGCATTCCTACACCCTCTCTATATAGACCCAAGGAGTTGCAACCTTCAATTAGGTGGAACACATCGAGGCCTTTTCATTACCCTCCACACCTATGTGTCTGTGTACCCAGTCAACAACCACCATTTTGCTGAGACGTTCCAGTATTTCACCAAAAAGAGAACAACGACAGGTTCAAAACGTGCTGCGGGTATCAGCGAAGTTATATAATAAATTAACTAACCTGAACAATGTATTTATTATTCCCAACATTTCCAGCAAATATTGTCGGTCCATGAGTGTTGAATCCTGAATGATCCAATTCGTTAATTTCACGGCCAGTTTGTAATATCTATAAAGTATTTACTGCATTTTTAATATGAGTTTAAAAAAATATTGTTTATAATTATTAATTACATACCATAGTAGCATCACGTTGAGTTAAAATCATGAATGCATGAGTCAATTCCTGATTTTCCCCGAGTACCTCATGCTTACTTCCTATTACAGTCCACATATTGATGCAGCCAGGGAGTTCAAATGTTGTGGCTACCTGTAAATTAAATTTAATAAAACTTGTTTCAATCCATGAAATAAATGATGTGCTGCTATTTTATACAACCTGAGGTCTTATAGAACGTTGAAGAACACATAAAGCACCATTTTTTCCGTAACCTGAACTAGTGACTAGTTCTATGTCTGGATTTGGACTGTTCGTAAATTCTTCAGAGAGAAATGCCGGTTCGCCCATTGAAACATTTCCGCAAGGGCCAATATTCAGTAAACTGTCACAAACCTATTAAAAAAATAAATGAAATAATAATAATAATAATACACCTTAATTTTTACAGGGAAAAAATTACATACTTCAAAAGAATAAGAACATATTTGGACTGATGTTTGCACTTCATTCCCATACACCTCTAATTCATCCTCATCTCGAATTTCAGTTACATCAGTTGCCATGCAATCCCCTATATGGAGAAAAACAAGGAAATTTTGCATGAAATTAACTCCTTCTTTTTAAATTACATATCTTAGAAAATGCTATATGAGTTCTGAGCCTTCTCTAGAGTATACACCATAAATGATTTGGTTAAAACCAGGATAACGGCTGGTAAGTGAGTTAAAAGGATTTTCACCCAGAGGATTAAAAATGACCACGACACATAGAATTTTATGCTTTTAGTTTGCCAAAGAACATTGGTTGCAGAAATAGTTACTGTTCAGACTATAACACACATCATTCCAGTTAGCCATGAAGGGTTAAGACTTATGAAAAAGAGAAATTGACAGTATTTTGAGCTTTTTGGAATTTTTGGAAAAAGGCTTGGAATGACATGGCATTTTGAACAAGGTCCTAATAAGATCAGCTGCTTTCCTGACTTTAAATATTTATGAGTTATGCGTAAGAGCTCATACTGCACTTCAGGTTCTTTCACACATACAGGTAGTTTTAATAGTATATGTTGTTGCTTGTTAGTGTAATTACAATAAACAAAAAATAACCTAATGTATCAAGTCTTTTCTTTTTGACAGGAGGAGGTTGGCACAAATCTATAACAGGAATGACTGGTTTTACATCTGAAGAATATTCTTTCTCAGTTAGTCTCAATAAAAGTGAATTCCCAAGTCTCGATCCCAAAAATAAAAACTTATCTTCACACAGGCACATCTAAAACAAACAATCCAGTGAGAATTTGATAAATTTTGCAAGAATTATTTAGTCATGAATAATTTTTTTTTTTACAGAAGTTGTTAAGACGCTGGCTGCAGCTTTCTGAAAATGAAAACTACGCACACTCCTCATACTATCGGCATGAAGTGTCAATACGTATAATTCTCCTCCCTTGAGAGACATAACAAGTCTATCGTGGCTGAGAAAACAAACTTGGGCTCCTTCCAAAGAGATCTTTACACCATCTTGTACCTCTGTAAGATTATTGGCATCAGTATGAAAGTAATAATTAAAATTGAACACAAACACACTTACTTAAAGGGAATCCGGTGCTGACTTCAGTGATTGAATTAAGACTTACTCCATATGGCGGAACGCTTTGGTTCAAGTAAATTAACGCATTGTGGGATAAAACCAATGTGCCAGCCAAAGGTTTAGCCACGGGTACCAAGCTAAAACAATCCATGGGTAGATTGTTCACAGACCAAATCACAGGATGTACCTTTTGGTCCATATTTAAAGAAATCGCAACCATACAACATGTGTCTCTTCTAACAGCAATTCTCCTATAAAAATACATTTGAAAAAAATCTTACACCATAATTTAATAATTCAGACCGACAAAATAATTAAATATAAAAGAACCCTTATTTTTATCCTGTGGGACTTTTTTGACATTATGTCACACTTTCATGTAATATTTCACATAAAATTTATTTAAGCTTGACATTTCATTTTTGGAGAAAAACCGATCCCATTATGAATTTATAATACCAAATTATTAAAATTAATTTAACTAAAATTAATTAATAACTAAAATTCATTTGTTTGTTTTTAGTTAAATTTTTTTAAACAAAAAATTTGCTTTGTGATTGTTTCAACAAATAAAGAAAATAACTACTGTCTAAATTTGCAGTCTTAATATTTGAATTTTGAAACAAAAAATGATCTTTTTTTAAATTAATTTTTTAATTATTAGTTTTTACATATATATATATATATATATAATGTTGGAGGGAAGAGAAGCATGGAGAAAAAACAGGGGCAATGGTGGGAATCGAACCCACGACGACAGGGTCTATGAGCCGAGAGTCTATCATGCCAAACACTCGGCTACCGCAGCGCCCAAAAATGAGCCTAAAATAATTAAACGATTTTTTTAAATTCCTTACCCTGGAAAGGTCTGCATTGGTTCAAACAGTATGAGAAGGGTGGGCTCATTATAGCCATGCAAAAATTGCACATCCAATATATTTTCCATTTTTTCTTCTATTTCTTTCAATACAATAGTGTAAGATGTGAGGACAGGAGGACGGTTTTGTACTGGGGTTGGCGTCGGGTCTAAATTGGTCACCGAAGGGTCTTCAATAGGATTTTCCCTCCTGAATGGCAAGACTACCAGCTTTCTCCCATATATCAACATCACCGCACAACGCCCCTCAGGATCAACTCTCACGATTGGTATGCTGTAATGTTGTGTCCATCCTCCCTAGAAAACGATCATTAATCAATACACTTGAATTTATTCTATAATCATAATAAAATAAGGCAAAATGACATTATAGCTTCTAGTGCATGTACTATCATCTGTTCTCCTCAGTTGAAAACAGAGCTATGGTTTGAAGTATTAGAAAAACATCAAACATGAGGTCATAGAAGAATTGATTGTTTTATTAATCAATGGAACTAAAATCATCTGAGTAAAGAAAAACATTTCCTGGAGTTATGTTTAACAAGCTGGTATCTTGAGACAGATTTTCATGATCAAGCTCCACCAACTCTTCTTCTTTTATGCTTCCTTTTGTTCAGGTACTTCCAAATTTAAAAGCCACCTTCTTTTGATGTTATGTGGTATGCTATTTACATCAACTATTGTTAATCTGTAAAATGTTAAAACTTTGATATACGAGACTTTTTCCATATCTTATTTGATGGTTGATGTATACTTTTCTATACTATAAATCAGACTCCATTTAACATTGTCTTGCCTTGTCGGTCCACAAATCAGAATACATTTAATGTTCTCATGTCTTACACTAACTACAAGTTTGATGTTTTGTTATTTTGTTTTTCTAATACTAGAAGTCAGACTCTATTTAACTGAGGATTAACAATAGAAGGTTTACTGATAAATTTCAGTGGGATGCAAAAGTGATATAATTATTAGCTGTTTTAAATAAATTAATTTTTTTTTAATCTAAAATGATTTGAGATTGTAAAATCACCATTGCCTTACAAGCATGTATGCCCTAAGCAGAATAAATTACCTGCATTTCTTCTTCTTCAAAATAATGCAAAGAAACTGTGTGCAAAGAATTTGTGTCTAGATCGTACTCTACGACACTCAATTTAGCATCTTTAAAACTAAGTAGCAACGAATCCCTTTGTGAACCGATAAAACTGACACACTGCATGGACATGACGTTGCCAAACAGTGTGTACGAAGCGACACATTCCAGCCTCATTTTTGGTGGATTTTTTTCTGAAAAAACAAACAAGAAAATAACAACTTAAGTCTGGCTACTAACATCAATCAATTTCACCTGTGTACGTATGCCTTTTGTGAATATCAATTTCAGGCATGAAACGGAATACACGGATAACATTGGCCCCGGCGACAACGAGCGACTTTTCTATCCGGTTAAAAAAGTAACAAGTGATCGCATGTTCGATCCCTGTCGCTGGGTGGGTCAATTTGCAGATCGAAAACATGACTACCTCTCTGATGAAAACGATCTCCAAGCTAATTGTTCATTAATTAACTGACCGCACGGGACCAAAACAAAAAATTAAAATTATAAAAGTAATAAAATAAAAAATAAGAAGAAAACGGCAATCACCAAAACCGCCACAAATTCTCCAGTACAAAAGTAAACCCAACAGATTGAAATTTTAAATCCAAGAAAACATTCAAACACTCAAAACAAAATGGAAATACCAAATTCTAAAATAAAAAAAAAATAAAATTATATACGGTGTATTAATAGAGAAAATCAAATGGGAAGTGGGACAAACCTATATTATAGTTTTATTAAAATTTATTATCAGTATTCCCTCGTGGATCTTCCAAACAAAGCGGTTTCAGCATAGATATTTCGGTTCTATGTATGTTTACAAAAGTCTAACCTATCTTTTTACATTTGAAAATGTTTATGAAAAAGGCATGTGATGCCAACGTTACGTTATGTTACTGTCGTCACCGGTATTTAACCGGTTAATTTATTATTTCATTAAAACAAAATTAATTAATAAAAGTCGTATTATTTAATGAAAAAACAAGTAAAATAATTGAGAAGTTTTATTATTTTGAGCTACAAGAAGGAAACATTTGAATCATATTTACTGATTTATAACATTTAAACAATTAATTTTTTCTCGTGTTTTAGAGGATAAATATTTTTAAAGGGGAGAATATAATAATTTGTCTCTTAGGCACAATGATAAATGAGAAAACGTGTTAACTGAGTTCATTCTAACATATTTCAGCATAACTTACTTTACACGCTTACTTTCTATCTGTATTGCTATCATAACATTAATTTGATGCCATTTATCAAAATTCCTCAAAAGCTTTTGATTCTGTAAACCTTGATCTTCTTTTATATACTTTTATATACTACATATAAAATTCATCTTTTTTTCATGGTTTCAAAATGATTTTTTTAAAAATATGAATTTAAAATTTTTGCTCTTTATTTTATAATTTTATTATTTGTATTGTAGGTTGTTGAACATGTACTGCAACATGGAATTTCATTTATTAACATCTCATGTCAGAGTACTGTTTACTGTTAATTATATTTGTTTATCCAGTGGTCTTCCCAACAATATGTGGCACGAGAGTTATTTTTGGGTTTAAATAAAATTACATGCTGCAGTATTCATATGGTCCTATAATACACAAATAATAAAATTATTTTAATATATATATGTATGTATATAAATATCCAAATAGTACCCAGGTATTTTAATTTCTTTGTCAATACGAATATAGTGAAAAGATTTGTTTAAATCTGTTACAGTGAAATATCTTTCTGTCTGTAAATGGCCTGTAAAGTTTTTAATAAGGAGTAATGGCCAATGGATGTGCTTTATTTTTTAATTAAAATTATCTTAGAAAATGAGCTTTATGTGTGTTAGATGAAATTATTGCTTTCGTGAAATTAACAAATTCCTCATTACCCGACACTTGTTGTCACAGTCACAAATATCGATATTGGTGATGGGTGTAAATTCCCGAAACGTCCAAATAAATGTAAATAAGTAATGTATTTACTTTTTTATCAAAAGAAAAAAAAACATGGAAAGCTTTCTAACATAAACCAAAACATTAAGTTATGTTTTTTTATGTAATATTTATGTGTAATCTTTAGTGACCATTAATTAATTGATTGAAGTTAATTAATTAATTAACGGTAAATTAATGATTACACAGAAGAAACACACTTTGATTGAGTACAAATACTTTGAATAAACCTAAAATTTCTACATTACGTACATCATTGTATAAATTCATTTTCACATCTTAAATTTATTTGTATAATCCAAACAGTTTGTGTAAATCCCAGGCACTGAAGATGATCTAAATGAAGATTGAAACATTCGCACGATAAAAAAAAATGTTTTTTCTAAACCTAACTAATAATTATAATATTTAGGTTTATGTATATTAATATTTATTATAAAATATACGTTACGGCCATTTATATTTGGGATGTTTACAGTCCAATAAATAAATTTAAAAAGTTTGTGTCATCGCTTGTGACGAATTTTTGATAAAGGTTCGGACTGTTAACGCAAGCACGTGTCTCGCCTTTCTGACGGCGGACCTGGCGGCTTGCCTTCAGCCCTGTTCTTGCGTCCGGCGTCGTTTTCTCATTCGACTGGTCATCGCCGACACCTGGAAAATCGTGGATATTTCGTGTCGAACGAAGACGGCGGAAGGAAAAACGAATAACTAAGACAATGGCAGTCCGTGTCCAGTTCGAAAACAACAACGAGGTCGGCGTTTTCAGCAAGTTGACGAATGCCTACTGCCTCGTTGCTATCGGCGGTTCTGAAAATTTCTACAGGTAGTTATTCAATAAAACAACAAGTTTATACACTTATGACTTGGTTAAATTTACAAACAACAAACTTTTGTCGACACGTTTACAGTACTAATTGGCACAAAATTATACAACCATCCTCGTTTTTGGAATAATGTTCAGTTCTTTTTCATTCTTACTAAGGAAACATTGGCGCTGGAATCCTTTAAAACAAATCTGTATATTCTTAACGTTTGAATAATTGTACGACAGATCAGCATCTTCCTCAAGAAACAATTAATTTAACTCCGTGTTAGGCATGCCAGCATCGATTTCTTAGTTTGCCTTTTATTTGTTGTTGCCATCATACTTAAAGCTGGGATGTCCCAACTTTCTGCATGACCATTGTGATCCTATGTGAGCAGTAAAGAACACGATAAAAGAAAGATGGCAGCATCAGTGACCAGGATCCGAGAGGCTTTTGCGTGTCAAGAGTACGACCTGTAGATGGCCCCCTGAGAGCATTAGCCAGAGATTATGAATTGTCTTTATCTGATTAAAATTAGGCCATACATGGTTGATACACAGGTACCTGGCGTTGGGCCAAAGCCCATGCAGTGCCCCTTGACCTAGCTGTCGACAGCCACCGTGGTGTGTTAACCCCGTTGGTTGGGAAGTGACAATCTCCTGGGCATCTGACCTAAAGGGGATACTAGCGACCCAACCGCATAACGAAGTGGGTGAACTCTTGGATGTATAGACCCTAGGGTCAGTACATCAAGGATGACAACCCTTTGGGGTTAAAGTCCAGTGCAATAAAATTTAATGATTTATTATTACTATTAACATAATTTTTATTTGATCATTTTGACATATATGAATTTTGCACGTTGTGGTGCAATTCCAGCTTGCAGCATTTGTGAAGCAATAATGAGCATTGGTTTCACAGTTTGCCCTGCTTACATTCTACTACAAATTCAAAAAATAGATTGAAGTTAAACGCTAATGTACCAGGCTAAAACTTATGACAGAATACAGTCAGGGATAATGAAGGTTTATTGTAATTGTATATAATGGTGGAACAAGATATGCAAAACAAAACATAACTCAACAATGCAACAGGTCTTGGTTATAATAGACCCAGATTTACACGCAATAAAAATCCTCAAATATGGCATATTGTATGAACTAAAAAACCCTTAAATATGGCATATAATTTGCATTAAATTATTAAAAATGCAGGATGAATGTCAACTACATCACCCAACTAATAATGAACTAATTTTTTCAAGTGGTAGAGCAGCAGCTTATCTAGCTGAAGATCGTGGGTTCAAATCCCGCTTGTGCCATTGACTTTTTTATCTCCACTGAAAACCTTAATTAATTGTAATATATTAATTGGCCAAGTGGACCACGAAATTAGTTAATTTAATAATTTTTTAATGTTGAACCAACACATTGTCGTTTACTGGGTCTCTCTCCTCGCGGGTTTGTTGAGTTATTCAAACTCGTTTCAGCATTCAGCCATCTTAATTAAAGGAGTTCATCAGTTCCTCTCTGAAGTTAGCGCAATGCCAAAATGCAAATGCACACAAATCCGGGCTTTAGTCATATCTCATACGTCCTATGTGCAAAAGGACAAATATACACAACATTGAGTTGTCCCAACCATTTATCTCAACTAATAATGGATGACGATTTTACATAGCATTGCCTGTAATATGAAAAGTAGAGATATAGCTGTAACATAATATCATCATAAAAGTGACTGGAAAATACCAAATTCTCTTGCAGCATTTCAATGATATTGTCTGAACAGGTGTTATTAAAACTTTTTTTCTATTTTTAAAAACTCTGACAAACCCATTTGTATTGTAAAAATGTACCATGTTGCACAGTGCATGCATTTCCCAAATTTTTGTAGTGCTATGTAGTGATTATCACACTTTTTTTGATGGCCATGCTCTAGCACAAATTCACCCAACAAACCATGAATAACAACCACAATCATATTGTACTTCTAATATATGTTCATTGTATTAATTGTTTGTCAGATTTAGATGAATAATATGGGAAAAGTGTTTTCTTTGTTCAAATGTCGAGTTTCTATTTTTCCCTTTGTTGGATTTTGTTTTTAAAGAGTTAAAGAAAAACTTTTTAACAAACAAATAAATTTTTAAACAAATAAGATTCAACATGTTTAATTTAATGATTCAAGTATTAGTTGTGTTGCCCAATTTTTTACTCAAGAATAATCTGGGTCTCAGTTATAGTCTGGTTGAAAAAAAAAAAAAAAAAATCGTATCCACCAAGCTTTTGACCTATTTTAAGGTAATCATCAATGCAAAACAAACTTAAAGATGAATACAAAATTGAATTAATTAAGTTTTTAATATATTGTTTCAAATTTCTTTCAAGACTGACTCAGTCACATCTCCAAGGACTTGGTAGATGACGATTGAATTTTATTTTTCATCCAGCCCATACTAAGATAGATTATTTGTAATTGAATGATGTTCATATTTATATTTTCAAGATTTAACATAATGCTTTACATCATCAATTAAAAAGTAAAAATAATAATATATTATTTTAGTGTTTTTGAAGCAGAATTGTCAGAAACGATTCCAGTTATTCACACATCAATTGCTGGCTGTCGCATAATTGGTAGGCTTTGTGTAGGTCAGTATTCATTTAATGACTTTGTTAATATTATTTTAACATCCAAGATATTAATAATCTTTATACTTTTGTTATAGGTAACAGACATGGTCTTCTTGTACCGAATACTACAACAGACACAGAACTTCAACACCTTAGAAATTCCCTACCAGATTCTGTGAAATTGCAGAGGGTAGAAGAAAGGCTGTCTGCACTGGGAAATGTAATAGGCTGCAATGATTATGTAGCCCTCGTACATCCCGATCTTGATAGAGTGAGTTTGTCATTACTTTTAAACATGAAATCTCATTTCATAATCAATAAATTATTTAGGAAACTGAAGAAATCCTTTCCGATATCCTGAATGTTGAAGTATTCAGGCAAACTGTAGCTTCTAACGTACTTGTCGGCTCTTACAGTGTTCTTTCAAACCAGGGAGGACTAATACACCCACAAACAACAACTCAAGATTTGGATGAACTTTCATCCTTATTGCAAGTTCCTCTTGTTGTAAGAGATTTATCGCAATGGTGTTGATTTTTTAAGAAAGAAATAAAAAATTTTCTCTTCTTTTTTTTTAAAGGCAGGAACAGTAAATAATGGTTCAGAGGTTTTAGCTGCAGGAATGGTTGTGAATGATTGGTCTGCTTTCTGTGGCATGGACACAACGTCTACAGAAATTTCTGTTGTAGAAAGTGTATTTAAATTAAATGAGGCACAGCCTGCTGCCATTACAACATCAATGAGAGCTTCATTGATCGACAGGTAATGGATACTCTTAAACAAACATTTGTATGTAAACTGATTTTTTTTTTCGTTTTCAGCATGGCGTAACACACAGGCCTTTTTATTTTTAATAATTTCCACCCAGATGTAAAGGATAAGTTTTAAAGAAAATACCGGAGGAATAATTTTCTTCTATTGTTCAAAATAGCACATGTGATTAAACTCAGGTGCAGTTTTATTAATGCATATTATTTATTTTTTCAAAGTGTAGTTTGCCATATGTAAATTTTTCACTCTGAATAATATCGAAATAAAATTAACATACAAATCTCTTTACAAATCTTTATTTTTTTGAAATACCGAGAAAATAACCTATATACCTAAATAATAAATACATAAGTTGACCAGTTTGACTTGAATCACATTTGATATTTTCAATTTGTTGTCATTAGAGACAGACAGCCTACCAGACCATGGTTCTTCTTAAATTCTGTCATTCCCAGAAGCAAACTTTGAACTACTTTTGGGCAGTGCGGTTTCATCACCGAAATTTTATGAGCTGTGTCGGCCACCCAAACATCAAGCTAAAATTAATACAGTAAGCACACACAAATTATGTGTTTTGAAGCCATGAGAAAGAAAATATTTTATAATTATAGAGAACTGTTTAAGAAGACACACTTTCTTTATGAACTATTGCATTTTTTTGGTATTACATAATGTAATCACCTAATTTAACCAATTTTTATTAATTTAAATGTGCTATTTAAATGCTTTAATAGACTACATTTAGACCCTGGTACTTACAAAATGTGGATATTTTTACAGAACTTATTTGGTAGGACTAACCCCCTCCACCATAAGATACCAAGGACAGTATGAACACCAATATTAATATTACTAAAAAGTGTGTTTCTTAGTTACCTGTTGTTTCGTAATTTGTTAAAACCGTGAGGAACGGTCAAGAATGAGGTAGATTTAACAAACACCGTTTTCTTTTTTTTATGCCGCTATTTCGATCTTCACCCAGGCCCTGAAGATGACCCAAATAAAGGTCGAAATGTCGGGGGGGGGGGGAATAAATGAAAAAGGTGTTTTTCTAAACTACCTCATTCTTGACCGCTCCTCATGACTTCAACAAATAACTAAAACTTAAATGGCATAATAACAGCCTAATGAGGGAATATCCAATGCTCATGGCCCCCCAGGGATGGCATGAACTGGGTAGGTGAATTCAAACAAAATTTTCAGACAGACCTGAGAACGGCACCATCTACTGGTACACTGATGGATCTAGAACATAAGGTACTAAGGAAAAGAGTGTCTTGGAACCAAATACGCAGAACCCAAGTACACCAGTATCTCCCAAACCGAATTTCTTGTAATTGAGAGATGTACCTGAAGAAAGAGTGCAAGAAACGGCTATCGTGTTAGGTAACCAAGCATCCTAAAGCTTAAATATCACTAGCTCAAAAATAGTGCTGAATTGTAAAACTAAATTAAATAATTTAGGTATGCACAATAAAGTTACTTTCTGATGGATCCCAGGACATGCGGAATAGAAAAAAAGTGAGCAGAAACCTTTGTGAGGAAAGGGCCTGCTATTCAGCTGATAGGTTTTGAGCCCTTCTGTCTTAGGGATTCACACTATCGAGTATCTTAGACGAAAGAAAAAAAGCATACATGCTCTTTTTATTGATTTCCAACAGGACTTCGATAAAATTAGCAGAAAGGCTATGCTCGCTGCATCACAGAAAAATGTATTACCTGAAAAACTAGTGAGGCTAAAAAAATAATTATTAATGCTTCCAAAGCTTTTGTGTATAATTTCAAATAACTGGGCTGTTTTAACAGCACAAAATATAATAGAAGAAATTAAAGCAAGAATATTAGCAGACAACAGAGTGTATTAAACAAATGTCAAGCTGTTTACCTCAAGGTTTTAGTTTTATTTATTGTCTTATTTTTTTATAATGATGATTCGCAATAGCAGAGGTCATATTCACAAGGTGCTGGTGTTTCTGAGCCCCATTTATTTTTACTAAATTGGTACTATTTTTTAACTTAGCCAAGAACACCTTTCAGTAGCACCAATCTGTGGAACATATCCACAAAAGCTGATGGGTTGTAAAAGGGAATTATTTGTACAAAGTGTTAACTTCTTAAAAAAATGAAATAATAATAATAAAATAAATAAACTTATTATATTCCTCCTTTATTTTATTAACGAACATTTAACAAATACAAAATTAATACATACAAATATATATATGTATATATTACGCATTAAATTTTATTATTAACATTTTAAAATAATTATCTTGTGGAAATGAAAAGAAGTAAAATTCTAAACCATTAAGATTTTTATAAGGTAACCTACCAAATACAACATATCACACGAATAAGGCGTATTCTTCTAGTTTAGCATGTGGTTATTACTTTATTGTATACATGACTAGACAGTAGACAACATTCAAACTACAGAAGGAATGAACAAATTAACCAGCCTTGAAAGCTTAACCACATAGAATATTTGTACTAAATTAATTACAAAGGAATAATATCATTTTCAAGTTAGGCTTTTCATAAGATCACATGATTTTTTAATTTTTTTTTTTTTTAACATTCATCACGATTCACTGGAAGGAGAACTATTGACAACATTAATCTGATTATACAAGTGCTAAAAGGCACATTTTTTATATCGAGATATTATTTTTAAACAAAATAGTCATACAAATTAACAAAATGTCTTTTAAATAAAACTTAACTAATAATTAAAAAAGAAAATCAGTTACAACTACACGCTTAATTAAAAATAATCAGGTACTTCAATTAAATTAAAATACACTGTAGTTAGTAGTTTATGTGATATAAAACAGAAACTGGGGTAATGATTAATTTTGAAAAAATAAATCCTAAATTTTTTTCTCAATTACACCTAATTGGACTAGCTTTTTCAAGTGGCTTTTTTTCTCTCTCTGGTCATCATAACTTTATAATAAAACATTGAAATGCTTTTTTGATATAAATGTGATGTCTCTTATTGTATCAGTTCTTTAAATTCATATTATCGCAATGTAAACAAATGTTAATGGTAATAACAATATAACAAAAACTTAACTTAGAGATTCTTACATATTAAAATTAAATACTTAAAATAAATACATAACAAAGCATGTACCCTCCATAAAATATAAATGCAGTATTGAGATTTAAGATTGGTTGTTTTTAAAATCTTGTAATAGTTGTTACAATATTTTTAATAAAATTTTTTTTTTAATAAATAATTCATACATTTATATATATTTTACATTTAAAAAATTGCACTTCTGCTTCAGATTGCAATATTTGCCATCTGATTTTTACACAATTCTTATTCAACCAATCTTTTTCGAATCACAATTAAATTATTTTTTACATATACTTTTTATCTATTTATTATACATAATTCTTATATAATTATAACAAAAAAATTACATCTAGGTCAGTAAATTTATAATTTTAACTTAGGTCCACCAATTTCTCTGTTTATTTTTACAGTACTATTTATTTCAGTTATCACAATGCAAATGTTAGTTTTATCACGGAAGACAAACATTATTCTATGCATAACAATATAAAATAAGACCAGTTCATCTCTAAAAATTAACTCATTTCTGATATGAAATGATAATTTAAATTATAATAACAACCAAATGGAAATCAGTGACTGGTCGTCTTAAATAATATACCAAATTCGGACAGTCTAAGGGTTGTTGTGAGAAACAACTTAACAATAAATTCTCAATACTTGTGTCTTTCATACTTACTTACTTACTTATTTGGATTAGAGCTATGGGGGGAGGCAACGTTTATTCTTGAATCAGATTTTTGGGTGCTCTGCTGATTGTTGGAAGACTGGCTTATTAGAATTATGAGTATGAGTTATGTGTTGTTTAAGTTTGTCTAAAAAGAAAGAAAACATTAAATTTAAAACAGATAAAATTAATTAATATAAAATTTACCCTTTCTATTATATTCTTTTGTGCATCCTTTATTAAAGAAAGGACATTTAAACTGCTTTTCATTTGTGTGTGTCAAGCTGTGCCTGACTAATTTGTCCCTACGATTAAAAGCAGCCGAACAAATCTATAAAAAAATCATAATTAGAGTGGCCCCCTGACTCAAACACAATACCGTCAGGCATTTACAAACCTGGCAGTTATACGGTTTTTCAGACGAGTGTATGAGACGATGAGCTGATAGATATTTAGGCGTTTTAAAAGCTTTATCACAATCAGGACATGGATACGAGGGTGTTGCACTATGCAGAGCTAAGTGTCTTCTCAAAAACCGTACGGAGTGGAATGTGCGGTTGCACAATGGGCACGAATAGACATTACATTTATGTTCACTAAAGGTGGATTCTTTTGTAAATTTAGATCCACATTTTCGGCATGAAAAACTCCTTTAAAAAAATCAAATATTAAAATAGTTGTTGGTTGAAAACAAATAACAAATAAATTTAACTAACTTGGCAGCCTTTTTTGTTTCTAGTGTGTGAGAAGTTTGATGGAGGCCGAGCTCGTCAAGAGAATGAAATTCCAATTGGCAAATATGACATGTATACTGAGCCATTCCCCAATGTGTTTGAGTATGTTCAAGAAATTGGTCCAAATCAGAAAATGTTGAATCACAGGCATTCTGAATACATTTATACACCTATGGGGGAGCGGATTAAGAGTAAATTCCAAATCGTATGAGTATAATATAAGTAAATTACTTTGACATTGACATGTGATTTCATATGAAGCCTCCAGTCGCTATAATTGCTAAAGGCACTAGGGCAATACTGACAAAAGAACGTCTTATCAAATGCAATAAAAGTCTTATCACCTGCAACCTGTAAAATAAGAATTTTTGGTAACAAAAATTACATAATAAAAAGCCAACACTTTAAATACCTGATACGCAGTAACTGACGTTTCCGTTGAATTGACATGAACGTGAAATTTAGGCAAATTGCAAATCTTTTTTGGCCAGACTTTGTGCGTACCCATGTGTTTGATAACATTAGACTTCTGTGTAAATGCTTTTCCGCAAATTACGCATAAAAATGGACGTTCTCCAGTATGACTTCTGATGTGTTGTTGCAGATTGAAATTCTTACGAAATACTTTATCACAAAATGAGCACTTCAACTGCATGGAAAAAAGTCAATAAAATATAACAAAATTGTTTTTATTAAAAAAAGAAAAGAAAAAGACAATCTATTATTTACCACGTTGTCTGTTTTATTCTCTACATTTCTGTTCCCTTTTTGTTTGACTAAAGTCTCAAATACTTTCGTATCATTTACATCACACTTATCTTTTCTTGTGAATGAACCACTGAAATAATCTATCTCACCATTATCCTGTAATATACATTGATTGACTTTATCGTCCTAAAAAAAAGATTAGGCCCAATTAAAATATATTCAACTTTCAAAGCTGAAACAAGCAAATCACTTTTACCCTTAAACTGTAACTGTCCTGTAAAAAATTATTCACTTCGATGTTTGGTATATCGTTCACAATGCGGTAAGATTTGCATTCCAAATTGATTGATGTTTCATTAATTTCATTTTGAATATCCAGATAGTTCTAAAAAAAATTCATGATCATTCAAGATCTAACAGTTCTAACACTTTAAATAGTATTAGACTGGGGGTCTGCGGTAGCCGAGCATGTGTTAAGCTCTCAGCTCATTGATTTGCAGTCATGGGTTCAATTCCCACCCCTGGCCTTTATTAAAAACTATTACGTAGAGTTATAAATACCTAAATAACTTCTGTTTTTTTTTTTTTTAATTTTTTAATCAGACATTTATTTTGCTTTCATTAAATAAAATTATATGAGTTTATTATGTATTCTCAACTATTATGTGGTGAATACATAATAAATTTCTTAATTTTGATAAAATAAAAACCTTTTCCCATCATTCTAGCAGTTGATCAATTCCTTCCTTGTAAAATTTAGTTCGAACTAAAAGAAATTTTTAACAGGCCGACTGACTTGGCTTTCAGAATTAAGATTTTTCCATTCAAAAAAATTTGTAAGGAACAGAAAAGGTGATCTGTCGGAGCAAGGTTTGAGGTCTGGTAAAACAACCATCCAAGCTCAAGAACTTTTTCTTGAGTCATCCTTGCTGTAAGTGGCTGCACATTGTCTGTAAAAGAATGACTTTTTATGACTGACAGGTTCTGAACGCTTTTCACGCAGTTTCTTTTTTATTCTAATCATTGCAGCTGCTGAATGTACGCACAGTAATTGTTAAATTTAATTTCAGGACTGTATTTTGCAGACGATATTGTCATAATTAACCCATTTTTCATTGCCTTCAAGGTTCAATTTTTACGTAAGAGCAGATTTATGGCGATTGGCATGTGTTACTCCGTAACTTGCTGACTTTCCCTAATTTCATCATGCATGGCGAGTGAACAGTTGACTGATACATTCAACCTTAAGGCTTGTTGATTGATGTGGACCATTGCACCACTATTGCCTTTAAGAAGTTGTTTTAAAGCCCCGTCCTCAGTTCATCTTTTAAGGCCGTATCTCAAGAATGAAATTTGTCCTTCACTATATGCCCTGCATACTTTTTCGGCTGATGCCTTAGAACTATAGCCTTGTTTAAATTTCCAAAGCATCATATAACTAATACACACTATTTCACTCCCTATTTCCACCAGTCAAAACCGTTGACAGAAGATTATCCTTTTAGTGAAAGCCAAAACTCTTTTATTTTACTTGGATTTCTTTTCAGGAACTAGACTACCATTAAACTCTTTTTTTTGTCTAGTTCCAGAAAAGAAACCCAAGAAATATAAAGTCAACAACCGAAAAAGAAGAAACAAAACTCATTTGTCGGTGACTCATAATGGTTACTACACACAATAAATTCTACCTACCTGCATAAGAATATCTTTTACGACTCAGCCCAATATTAAATATTTTTCATCAAAAATTATTGTGTAAAAATTATGCCAAGTTTATTGTGAATTTAATTTAATTTTGATAAAAAGATGCTTCTTCAATCCAAAATAAATTAATGTTCTCTAATAATTTACCTGAACTTGTTTATAGTATATTAAAATAGTTTGAAACTTTGAATAATGATTTTATACCATATACTTAATATAAGCACATGATCATGCTGGTACACTAACTTGACACAAATTTGCTGAATCATTTTCATTGTCCTGCATAAGTGTGATTAAATTGCTTCCATCAAGAATTATCGGAGACTCTATTTCTTCGTTTAATTCTCTCACTTCATCAATGTTATACTCTTCTGAATTTGTTAGGACGAGATTACCTTAAAAATGGCATATTAATTAAGAATATCGAGTAAATCTTTGCAAAACAAGTGCCATGTAAAATGGTAAGCTAATTCATAACATTTAAAAGTAACTTACCTTGACAGTTGCTTTTTTTGTGAAGAACAAAATCAGAAAAAGAAAACTTATTTCGACACTTTCCACATTGAAATACATCACCTTCATCGAGTATAATGCCTGGAAAAGAATAATTAGGATTACTCTTAATATTGAACGGTTGAGATTATTAAATAAGTATTACTATTGTCTTGAACATCGGAATTAAGAGAAATCATCGGCTGAAACAGGTTATGAAAATCTAATTCTGCCTGCTGCTGATCACCTCCTACAACTGTGAGTAAAAAAAAAAAATAAAATAAAGTTGTTAACAATATTTCGAAGAACACGTTAAATTAATAATTACCAGGAAGAGCTGTGTAAAAAATTTGAGCCATTATGTAATAAAATAGCTATGCCATTGGAACACATAACGCCAGTCTTAAATAAGGGGAGAGACTACCACCTCAAATGCTACAAAAAAAAAAAATAAAAAAATAAATAAAATAAAATAAACAAATAAAAAAGAAATTAATTAATAATACAAGAAAATTACTTTGAAGGATAACAGTTCACACAAAATTTTATGTCTGTACTTTTTTACCTATTTTTTTTTGTGTATGTGGGTGACCACATTGTCACAATTAAAATGACTACAGAAATATTTTATTTGGGTAAATAATCCTCACCGGCATCCATAACTTTCTCCCAATGTATTATTAGCCCAGTAATTATGCCATTTTTGATAAAAGTTTGTGTCATCAAAGGGGGAAAAATAAATTCAGCTCATTCTCCAGCTGTTGATGATTATCGAATTCCCAATTGTCCATTGCTAAGAAAAGGCGAAAGTCAGATGGTGCCAGATCTGAAGAGTACAGATGGTATGATAGGACTTCCCAACCAAATTATCACCTCTTTTGTCATTCTGACTGTATGAGGTCTTGCATTGCTTGATGAATTACAACTTTCCTGTTCACAAAAGGAAATTGTTTCTAGGCCAGGACAAGGGATACTCGTTGCGGTTAATTGAGTAGATTTCTGTGATGATGGTCTGGCCACATGGAGGAGTTCGTAGTGCACAATGCCTGCTGTACTCAACCAAACGCAAAACATCTTTTGTTGGTTAATATTTGATTTTCGATCAATGGAACAGGGTCAATTAGTGACAGCCTATGGTACACCCTCCTGGTGTTACGGTATAGTTGTCGCATGTAACAATCTGATCAAAAAAGTCTTTAAAGCAATAAATGGCAAATGTTAAAATGCTCCAATTTATTACAGTTGGTCAATTTATGATAAATTCTATCTCTCAAGTTGATGTAAGCTAGAGCGAATGGTTTCATCTCTGAACACTCTGGTGAGCTTCTGACCTGTTTGACTCAAATCAAGTTTCATAGCTTCCCCCAATTTGTTGTCATCCAAGACAGAAGATGTACCAACTTTTGTAAATGATGGTTCTACTTACAGATTAAATCTGAATGTTGAACCATCATTTACAACAAGTGTACCAAATCTTCATCATTTCTATAAAAGTCAACCAGCCCGTGATCATCTTCAACCCATCATTCCCAGAAGCAAACTTTTTGAACCACTTTTGGGCAATGCGCACACTTATTGTTTCATAGTAGTGCACCCTAGTACTAAGCTTAAATTATGCAACAAGCGTGAATGAATTACGGGTTTTGAAGCTGCAAGAAAGAAAATATTTTATAATTTAAGTGAACTGTTCAAGACACTTTTTCTTTATGAACTGATTATCCTCTTGGTACTGCGTGATATAACTAATCTTCCTATGTAAATATAAATGTTTACGGTATTGAAACAATTAGAAATGAAAAATCGCACAAAATTTTCTGGTTTCTGGTGTTTCAAAATGGATGAAATTTTGAAGTTGGGTCGTTTTCGACCATTCTGGTCTGTGTATCCTTGCTGTTTTGGTGTGTGAGACATCTTTTAGTACAAAAATGTATGACGAAGGAAAAATGATTGAAACGACCAAACTACAAAATTCACCTCGAAGAGCTCAAGAAGAAATGTCACAAGGTATTAATTAATCCTTCTTGTTTTACTTTTCTTTTTCTTTTGTCCCTGAGGAATGACCTCTCATCAAAGGAATAGGAAGCATAGTATAACGTTTTATTCACAATACACTTTTTTAAATGTACAATGAATAAATCATGTAGGTTCTGAGCGAAGCAAAAACACGAAGAAAAACAAACTTTCACAGTATTACCAGCTCATTTTAAGGGATTTCCTTCAGAAATTCGATCTTAGAGTAATAAATACAAATGTACAAGATAAACAAATATCATCTCTAAGAAGCGATATAATAGATATCTCATGTGAAAATAATACAAAATGTTTTTCATAAATAAAAGTCAAGAGGTAAATTCAACTTACCGAGTTCAACCGGACAAATCGAATCGGAGCCCATTTCCAACTAGACAACTTGACAATATACTTTAACGAGTTAAAAACTTTTTTCTATTGATTAAATATCACAGACATTGCTTAGCTGGTTAACTAACTTCCTTGAGGGATTAATTGAAAAATAGAAAATAATTTTTTCGTCCAAATCTTTTCCCTTTAAGCTCCTTAATAGACGACGATAAGGGGTTCAGAGTTCGGACAGGTTTGGATTTGGAGTTTGGAATCTTAACTGGGACTTAACTGGTGAAGGTTAAATAGCGCATGCGTCACTTCGCCTAACCTTTAAATTTCTTTTGACCCTGAGGAATGACCTCATCAAAGGAAAATGAAGCATAAATTGGTATGAATTGAAACATTTTATAGACCAAGTGTAATTAACAATAAAGAAGAAGAAGAGAGAATAATAATAATTGTTTTATTAAAACAAACTTTAAATTTTTTTCGTTAAATTAAAGGACAGCATTATGGACCTAGATCATCTGATCCATCTGCCAGAGGTCATTTGGATATAAATATATATACAATTTAGAGAAGAGAAAGAGAAGAAAAGAAAAAAATAAACAAAATATTTAAAAAAATAAAACAAAATATAAAGTATATATAAAAAATACAATAAAAATAAACGAACGTACAAATATTAAAAATTAGGACTATACTCAAAATTTTGATAGCTTAATAACAATGAAAGAATAAAACTTAAAAATTAAATTCTTGAATTGACTTGTTTCTCTAGCTCCAAGTATGTTTAGCATACTGAATCAAGCAATGAGAATTTTGGCCATTCAAAAACCGCAATAGATCACGTCTTGGGAGAGTAAAACGTTAAACAACCAGGAGTAAGAGCCAAATCTCACCCAAAATCAAGCAATCTGCCAAAAGTGAAACACAGTCTCGACAGAACAAGAATTGCATAGGGAGCATATACCATTTTACCCCTATTTCACACTGAATTTACATGTATCTCACATCTCAGCTTAAAAGCTCATCTTAGTTCACTTCACACAAGGAATGATGGTCAAAATTAAACTTCTGGAAGAGGTTAAGTTACTTTTAGTTAGTTAAGAAGAATAATACTTTATTACAATTTACAAAATTATATATAGTGAGTTTGGTTACATATTATTTTCATAATATTCAATTCATATTGTGATTTGTAGAAAGTAAGTAATTATTCAATGAAAAAGCAATTTAATTGATAGAATTTACATACATATAATACATTATGCTTTATAGAAACAATCTCTTATTTATGTGTATTGTGCTTATACAAATAAATAGTAAAAGGAAAACGATTTCGCACATAAATTTTATGAAGAATAACTTAACAACATAAATTGACGTTGAATTAGAATTTTAATTAATGTTATTATTCTCCCTAGTTTTTTTTTATAAATTACAATTTTATATTTAATAAATAATTAATTTTCTACCTCCTTTCCTCAAATATCTTCTCCAAGAGGAATACTTTCTTTATAATAGATTTACCTAATGAATATTTTTTAATAGATTAATTTAACACGATTTTGTCTAATTTAATACTATCATCTAAGTCTTCAGGAATTTGTAATTCTGCAAAGAGTCGATCACTAAATAGGTTGTAGGATTTATAGAAGAGAATTATATGGATCATCAAATCTTTATATCTTTTGATATCGACAAGAAAATGGAGACCAGTTCAATTTTACAGGATGTATTTATTACTTTGCTGTTCTGACTTCACATATAACTTTTATAATTTCAAATGGGACATTTAGGTTAATATATGAGACTTCAAAGTTGGTGTTATGTATATGTCTTCCATTGAATCTGCAGTTAAACAAATTTAATAAATGGTTTTTCATAGACTGTATGAAGGCTTTTTGTGTTTTGTCAATACTCCAACTTCTTCTTGCCAAAATCTCTGCGCCCAATTGTGGTCAAACTATTAAACAAATAATTGCACCAACTGTAGGGCATTTACAAATTTACAAAAAAAAAAAAAAATCAAATAATTTAACTTTTGATAATATAATTTTGACAAACTGTAATTTTGCATGAAAAGTAAATTTATCCACAAATTAAGGGTTATTTTAAATATTTGGATCTGTAGTGGTGTTCTCCCCATCTCAGAAACAGAAATTACATTAAAGCTAACTGGTATGGTTTTACTAGGCATCAATATGGCCTTTGATTGTGTTTGGCATAATGGCTTACATACAAATTAATCCTTAATAACATTCCTATGTATATAATAAACATAGCTAGTTCTTATTTAATGGACCAATACTATGGGTTGCCATTTCTGAATAAATCAAGGTGGAGTTCCTCAAGGTTCAGAGCCAAGACAACATTATTCCTTGTTTACTTGTAACATATGCCACAGTTCCAGCATTTCCAATTGCCCTATTCGCAGAAGACACTGCCCTGTTTTCATCCTCAAAAAAGGCAACCCTGCACTATCACTAAAAGACTGAACAATGATTTACGAATATTGGAAAAGTAATTTAAGCAATGAAAAATAAGAATTAATCTTAAAAAACAGTCGCTATCCTTTTCACTAAGATACGACCTACACTCAGAGACGGCATGGTGATAAATGGCAATGGGATACCTTGGTCCCCCTCTGATAAATACTATTACTCTATGGCTAGACGGTAAACTAAATTTTACGACACTTTAACTGGCTTAATAGCAAAAAGCTGTCAAATTTGTATTTCCACTACTCTATAGGGAGTTGGGTTTGATTCTGAATAATAAGTTGCTTGTATACAAAATGATGGTAATTCCTGTGCTGCCTGGCAGTCAGCGGGCGAAAGTATAAATAGTAGTTGATTAGTAGGCCTGGTTTCTGTGGTTGAATCTCTTCTACAGCTGCATTGAACATCCCAAAACAATTCCTCCTGTGGACAAGTGTAGCACCACAGTTTGTTAGATGAGTAGGCGTTTACTCTACTTCTTTGTAAAATCTGCACTTCCATGTTGGGTTATGCCAGTCTTCTTCAGATGTCCATTTAGTTTGTACTGTGCTATTAAGAATCATGTTACAATTCAGTTTTTTTTGCTTCCTTTAATGCAGTCTGTTGTTTCTTTACTCCCATATTTAGTTAAGAGATTCTTGGATCGGTTGTGTCCAATTAGTAAATTCCAAAAGTTCTCTCATTTTCTTTTTATCCTTCTGTCTGAGGTGCTCATTGATAGTATGGATTCTTATTACACTGGGAAGGTTAAGCAGAAGGAATATTGTAAACAACCAAACTTCATAATGTTGACATAGTGTATTTATAAACATACTATAAAAAAATGATAATTTTCTTGTAACAGAATAATGTAAAACACAAATTACACTGTATCTATAGTTTGATCTTTTTGACTTCACTAAGAATTACAGTTATGAGAATTTCTTAAAAATTAATATATTTCAATTGTTATCATTCGGTGATAGATTGGTTGATTGTGTGAATCTCTTCTTGTTTCTCTTTCAATCTTATAACTTTATATACATATACTATATAGAGAAAATTAAGTAATTTATTGTAACATTAATTAAATTGTTAAAGTAATCATATAAAAGTTAATTAACTATTCTATTTGATTTAACACACAACAAATCAAGAGAGTAATTTTTCCTTTCTCTCTTTTCAATTTAAAAAATATATATTTTTTTAAATTTTTATAGTAATAAAAATATACATATTCTTCACTTAAGTATTTCAGAATATGGAATTATGAACGAATGTATAAAATAGTAAATACTAAATTTGGTGAAAATTATTTTACATTTTTTAGAATATTATATATTTAGTACATGTACTATATATAATATAGTACATATACTAATAACACTAATAACCTGGGAAAAATAATTTAACCCAGGATAATCAAGAATCAAAAATTGGAAAAGGACATTTTAATCACTACTGGTTTGTAAAAGTGAACCTAGAAATAAACGTTTTTCCAATATTTATGTTATATAGAGTTAAAAAACGAAGCAAAACATTGCATAAAAATGTATAAAACATAATATCGTTAAAGTGAACATATTAATGCTTAAAACAATGAAGAAATTTCTATATTTTTAATTTAAAAAAAAACTTCTTCCATTAAAAAATATATAAAAAATTAAAGCAAGTATAAAATGTGTAAAAGTATAAAATATGTGTATATATATAGATGTGCTATATAAATACAATTTTTTTTTTTTTGTAGTTTCATGTTATAAGAAGTACAAGAGATCAGAGAGGCCCAAGTTTGGTTGTTTATGGATATGCTGGGCGATCAAAAATGCAAGTTTGTGTGCATACTGGCACTGTGCTGGCACTCGAACAGTCCCCTAGAACAAGTGAATTAATTAATTAATTTAAAAAAAGTTTTCCATTTCAAAATTTGTTTTATAAGAGATTGTACATAAATAAATTGAAACATACACTCCAGTTAAAGTACAAATGAGTCATTTTGTATGCTAGGCGTTGCATAATATCTGGCGTCAATCCAGTAGTATCAGAAATCACATTGTATGACGTAGGGGCGACAGTTCCCTGTTTAACAGACTGAGATACTAGATAGAAATCGTACCTGTAATACACATAAACATTAATAAATTGTCATTTAAGTTCTAATAAGGCAGTATTAACATACTTATCTGGGCACGTGACTACATCGTCGACTACTGTTCCTGGGGGAGGGTTATCTCTGTTAAAAAATATTTTTGTATTCACACGTTTTGAAATAATTATCACTGCAAGTGGAAGGGGTGTTGATTCATATAATTTCTGCACTTTTGCCTAAAAACATTATAAATAAATGAATAAAATAGTCGGTACTATGCACTGTAACTAACGCTTAATTGAAATTTAATTTTTTCATTTAAATACCTTTATCAGTTCAACTTCATGTGTGAAAACATACGGTATGTTCCCATCTCCCACACCATCTCTGTACAGTATTATTTTAGAAGGTAAAGCGTTGTTTATTTTTCTAAATTGTACAATGGCTTCTAAAAATATCACAGTTGATTTTAATATGATATAACCTAATTAATATTTAGTTATAAATAAAATATAAAAGACTTTCTTACTGCAAATTTGTATGGAAAGGTCGTTAGAAAGCTCTTCGCCCGTGGAATGAGGTGTTACTGCTGAATAATACCTGGTGTAATTTCCATTCAACGACGCAACCATTGCACCGTATGCTCGCCCTTTAATAGTTGTATCATGGCAAACATCAAATCCTATTATCATTGCAGGTATCTGTGAAATAATACATTTTTGAGATCGTAAGTGTTTTGATCACATTATCTATCGATTCTTCAAAAATACCTTAAAAGGAACAACAATTGACCAAGGTCCTCCACCAATTTTACAGTTCATTTGAATAGCAATTTTAGTTGCAATAGACATTACTCCTTTGGAGGACAGATTTTTTGATAAAACTACTTGACTAGGCACTGAAATACATTTTGTTAATAGTGATTCAAACAAAATCGAACAGTACATGACACTTACTTGCTCTATCTACACAACACTTCTTTTTAATTGCCGAGTATCTATCAGATCTGTTGTTTGGTACAATGCACATTATAAGGCTTGGAGATGATTGATTAATAATTTTTTCAATTGCTTGCACGTATGTCTGTGACCGGTCATCAGGAATTTCTTCACTGAAATTATATTAAATGTCATTAATTTTTAATCACATATTTTTTTTTTTTTTTTTTAAAGTGTGGAACTTGGGGTTTATTTGTTATTTATTTATTTTTTAAAATGAGGGTTCACATAGGTTATATCAACCCTCGGGGTGCCGGTGTTTTTGAAAAAAATGCCCATTTGTAAGTTCGTCGAGTTTGAATGCTGGGGCCACTGTATTAAAAAAAAAAAAAAAAAAAAAAAAAAAAAAAAAAAAAAAAAAAAAAAAAAAAAAAAAAAAAAAAAAAAAAAAAAAAAAAAAAAAAAAAAANTTTTTTTTTTTTTTTTTTTGGTAAGTCCTATTTAACCAAAGTAATGATTTAATTTGTTACAAATTTAATGTAAAAATTATAAATCAATTAGAATTTTTGGCTATTGATTTTTTACTATTTAAAGTTGATTGAACATTAAGTTGTTTATAGCATAGTTTATAAACCTTTGTACATATAAGGTATTGGTTGAGATAAAAAAGTCAGTGTCACAAGCGGGATAAGAACCCACGACCCTCGGCTAAATACGCCGCTGCTCTACCACTTGAGCTATCGTGACACTGACTTTTTTTATCTCAACCAATACCTTATATAAAGATTAATTAATTGAAAAACGTTATTCAGTCAATTGGACCACGAACTTTAATGAATTTAATAATTTATAAACTTTAAAACTTTATTGTCATTATCTAGTTGTATATTTTTAAATTTAATCATAAAATATAATTGAAGTTTACATATTGAGTTTAAAAAATGAGTATAATTGATTCATTAAAAAATAAAGTTACATAATAAACAATATCAAATTTTTTCTATGTTAAATGGGAGTTTTTACCTTTATTACCTTTTTTTTAACGTTCCATGGCTTTTACTACATGAAACTCTGGTCTTTAGTTATTATATACTTCAGTAAATGATGCCGATGTTTATCAATTTATCCTTAATCATGCTATATTAAATGAACTTACTAGGCTATTGGTTCTGCGATGGTGTATCGAATACCGTTGGCGGCATTGATTAGTGTCCTAATAAAGGATTGTGTATCTCGAGAAATTTTACGAGGGTATATGATGCCCCATCGGTCAAACGTTGCTTTCTGGAGCATTCCGTTCCCTCGGATTGCACGAGACCAGTCAGCTGCATTATCACTCTTTACAGAGATTTCGTTACCAAGCACAACCGATTCATTTTCTAGCACACGTCCAGTAAATTCAACCATCTTATTTGAAAATTTAAGATGCCACGTTTCGAGTTCATTTCGTGCCTTAAATGATTAAAAATCAGTACAATTTTTGAACTTTTAAAAATAAACAAATCTTCTTACTGCTTGACTTGTGGTGAGTCTTGATAGAAAGCTTTGGTACTTATCAACCCTTTGGGCTGGTCTGATACGTGTATGGTCAGCTAAAGTTTTCATCAGGTTAAAATTAGTTCTGAAATAAAATTTTCATTGAAACACAGTAATAAAAAAACTTATTAAGTTAAAAATCTATGTAAGAAACAAAACAAAAAGAGGAAAGTACCGCATAGAATCTGTTAGTCCAGTTAAATTACATAATTCTGGCACTAGAAGGATATTGTCAGTACGCCCACCTCTTATATCACGGGCTTTGGGTCGAGAAACAAGCAAAGGCTGCTGATCAGGATATTGTATGTGAAGGTTGTACCTCTAAAAGTAATCAATACAAAATCATAAGTAACGTACTAGTATATTCAGATGTTTGGTGGTCAGCTACTCTTTGACTCTGAAACTGATGAGTCGTGTCCACACTAATCTTTGCTGTCACCGATACCACACTAATTATTATTAATTTAGAATAATAGTAGTAATTGCTTTATCTAACTTACATCTCTGTAGTATGATACAAAAGAGACATCTTGGTTTTGTTTCTTAAATGTACTGTTCGGAGTCATTGACCATTCTATATCGTCAACTCTGTAAGTTTTATTGTTGTAAAGTGTAATAACAGTTGTACCTAAAATGCTCTGGCGAAAATTTTCCTGGTGATAAAAAGTCAATTATTGATTAGAGATATAACATAATAACATAGATATTTTGAGCTCAGAACAAACAGAATTACCTCTACTCTATCATATTTTTGCTTACATTCTTTCAGTAAGTCAAAAGCAGTCTCATGTCTCATAATTTTATGGGATATATCCACATTCAACAAAACACTTTGTTCGTGCTGTCTGATTGAGGTCAGAATCCCTGGCCAGATTTCAAACTTGTGTTCTTGTATACTCACCTAGATGGGAGATTTTTGTATTACATATTTTAAAACAATGTTATATGTAGCAAAATATTTTTACTATTCTACCTTTGCAGCGGCATCATAATAGTCCCTTCCGACTAACTGAAGATCAAGAGATGCTAGGCACTTTCTTAAAACAATATTAAAAAATTGAATGTAGTGCGGATCACCTGCTGAAATGTTTATAGTAGACTTTATTATAATTTGGACTTGCGTATCTTCTTTATCCTCTTTTCCTTTCTTCATCGAGAATAACTCCAGTGGCTAAAAGAGGCACAAAATAAATTTAAAAACATCATTTGATTATGTAACAATTCCTGTAACTACTCAAACCTACATCAGGGTTGAGTTTCTTAACAGTGTACAATACAGTCCCATCAAACATATATGCTCCTAACAATTCTGAATGGGCACGTAAGAGACCTTTTCGAATTGATGTACGGTCTTCATCGGGCTTCATGTCAACCCTGTATTGATATAAAGACCAGTTAGGAGCTGTTTGAAGTTCGAAAAAATTCGCTTGCAATGGTACTCTTCTTCCAGCCGATCCTAAATTAAATTTTTTGTTATAGAAAGAATAATCTGGGTTATTCAACATCTCATATACCTAGTTTTGATACAATCGTCTGCGGGCGAGTTCTAATAAATTCTTCAAACGGCCTTTGGCGCATAGTACCACGTGAAGGTTCTCCACCACCTCTAGCTTCAAAATAGATTCAAATTAACATTTCTTACACATTTTATCATAATTAACTTAATATCAATAAATAATACCTTCTGTCAGTGATAATTCACTCATAGGTTGCTGTACGCTAGAAGGGCCTTGAGATCCTACAGCAGTTGGGGCCGTGTGAGTCACAGCTCGACCTCGATACATAGGACGGTGCTTAAAGCATAAAATTTAATTATTCAATATGTAAGTATAAAATGCAGTCAAAAATACCTGTTCACTGCTAGGAACGGGCGCTGGTCCTCCAGGCTGTCTTGGCTGTTTATAAACCATATGTTCAGGAGGAAATTGTCCAGGCAATCTTACACGTTTTTCAGGAGGATTAGATTTTCCTCTTCCAAATCCACGACCCCGTTGGGCTCGCCCTCTTCCTCCTTCTTCTGACATCTTCTATCTGTACATATAAAAAAATGATATTGTATAACTTTTATAAATGTGTATCTGGTTTAACATTATGATAACTTTTCTAGCTCTCTGGAGATGAGTAGTGAAACTGAAATTTCCTATCATAAACTGTCATGTCTTGTACAACAGAAAACAATGGACTTACAATTATTAAATGAAGTAAATAATCTGCAAGTTTGATAACATCAGAAAGAAAGAATTTTTTCTTGAAATGTGTGGTGATCAGTTAGTCGAAGATTATTCGGAAATCGTGAGAAACAGTCTGGTGTGATGTAGGTTTCAGAAAAACATTTTTTTTATTGTGCTATGTTTCGATCTTTATTGAGATCATCTTCAGGGGTCAAAGTGTTTGTTTTCTGTGTGTGTCATTCTTGCAGTGGCGCTCTCAATACGACACGCAAGAATGGCACAATTACATAGAAAACAAACACTTTGAGCCCTGAAGATGATCTCAATAAAGATCGAAATGTTGGCACGATAAAGAAAATGTTTTTCTAAAACCTACGTCACACCAGACAGCATCTCACGATCTTCGAATAATATGATAAGGAGGATGAATGCTCCAAAACTGATGGAGAAGGAACAGATGTTAGAAAGTTCGAATTAGGGAAGGATGAGGAAAGAATGACTGTTAAGCCTTTAAGCTCAATATATTCCCAAACTTCTCCCTCAAACCCTGAACCTAAAGAGAATGCAGGGGGGCAGGGAGTAACAGACGAAGAAACATTATTTTCACTTCTTTAGACTAATAAAATGATACATCGCTCGTCATACTAATAAAGAAACAGAAAACCCAAAGCTCATGTACAGTGAACAGCTCTATTCATTACCTATATTGTTGTCAGCCCCAGATGGAACTGTGACGTTCATCAATCAAGTCAACAAAATGTTGTCTAAAAAGAATATAAAAGTTTTATTCATGTAAGATATTATTAATAAATGTTACTATACAATAAAAATAATTATTGTGAATTTATGTCTACCAAAAACCTCATCAAAAAGAGGTAGGGTCATGCACATTTCTTCTCAAATCACTGTACCGTTTGATACATTGTTGATAGATAGATGCCATATTTTTTTTAATAATGTTTTTGGCCTAGGACCTTAACTTTTTTTTACAATACTTAAAGTATTTTTTATTATAATTTATAACTTTTTTATCACTTCACTCTTATTTTATGTGTTGTTTTAACAAAAAAAGGTTAAGTTAACGAGCAAAGATTTGTGACAATTACTGATGAAAAATAACAACTGAATTTTTTTTTAAACATACATTTATTTAGTAACTGGTGGTTTAATAATTTGTTGGATGTGAGAGAGACAGTCAAGACAGGGAAAAAACCTTTTTAATTTTTTTTTTTTTGCCAACGTTTCTTCCTTTATTCAGGTCAACTTCAAGGCATAAAGTGTGGTGCTATTCTTGTGGTGTTATATTGGTGTTGTGTGATCTGTTGTACAATATTGTTACTGTTGTCATGAAATTGTACAAGTTTCACACAACACTAATATGACACCACAAGAATAGCAACACACTTAATGCCTAGAAGATTAAGGTCGAAAGCAAAAAAATGAAAAAAGGTGTTTTTCTAAACGACCTCATTCTTGACCGCTCTTCACGACTTCAATAAATTATACATTGTTTTAGTATAATTTCTTTTACAATGTATTAGAAAATTAATGCAAAATGAACCACATATTTAAATTAATACCACTGAATTTTCATTTCCTTTGTTTCATACAATGCATCTTCCCACTAATTTTATGCAGGAAACGAGATTTGGTGGAATATGTACCTAGCAATGCGAGAACTTTTTATTGAGATATGGTACAATTTCAGAATTGCTGTATTTTTACCACATTTTCTCCAAAACGTTTTAAGCTATATACAATATAGATACTTTTAATATTTGTGGTCGATTTTATAGTGTTTTTCAATAGGAAACGTACCTAAAAATACACTGTTATATAAAAAAACGAGTAGAAAAATTTGATGATACGGCATTCCTTCTTGGCAGAGGCAGCAGACGCGTGCTACCTTTTTGTTTCAACTTAAACCAACATTGACTATTATTTCCATGAAATAATACATTATTGGCAGATAATTAAAAGATCTATTCAAACTTTAGCGATGGTTTAACATTTAATCGGTATAAATGGATGGGCTGAATTTAAAAACGCTGAACCAGCGGCACTGGGTAATAAACGGATTTTGAAAGTTTTGTTAGTACATGTCCAAACGATTGATTTCAAGAGGGAAATACGTTTTTTATCGAGCAATATTAATTATTTAAAATGTTTAAAAGACATAGCAATACCAGACGAATTCCGTTTTTCCACCACAAATAATGCGAGGTTAAAAGGCGAGATGTTTATAAACGTGTCGCTTTCAACGGCGCTGCTATCGTCGTACTACCCCGATTCAAAATGCTGATGCAAAAAATTCTATTATTTTGTTTATACAGTTAAATACAAACAAGGCCGTCGATGGACCCAACGGTTTACGCGTTGACACGGCGCTCATCATTGTAAGGTCCCGGGTTCGAATCCAGGGCCCTGCATTCGAAACCGACATACTTACAAATGTTTTTTTTTTCAAAAACACCGGCACCCTGAGGGTGTATATGACCACACTGTTGCGAACCCTCGTAAAAAAAGAGAAAAAAAACTGCGTAAATATTTGATTTTTTGGCAATTAGCTGCCGCCGACACGCGAATTTTAAGGCTGAAAAGTAGACATCATCTGACCTCGCTGTTTATATAAATTTAAGTAAAATAAAAAAGATAAAAGAAATAAAAATAAATAAATAAAAAAGAAATTTTTTTTGGAGGGCAGCTACTTAGTTGAAACCTTCTCATATGTTTCATGTCAATTAATGCTTCTATTCATTACTTGTATATGCTGACTAATGTCCAATAAAGTTATCTATATTTAAAAAAATAATAATGAATAAACGTCTATTAGCCTTGAATACAGTGATGTATTTAAAATAAAAATATTATACACTAGTTTAGAAAGGGTTGATTTATTTTAAAATAAGATCAGTAGGTTTTATCAATTTGAACATTTGTATAACTGAAAAAAGGAAAAAGAAAAGAAAAAAAATAATGGCGTGAACAACTTACGTTTGAAATCGGATTCGTTTATTTTAATCCGGAAAGTTCTCCGGATTTTCCCGGCCCAAAGAAATGAAATGAAAAAAAAAAAAAACTTACAACTTAACTTACTTACTTAAAACTTTACAAATTCAAAGAGAACTTATAAAATAAGAGATTGAAGACGTGACGGTTGCATGGGCATGAAGCACACGTGCATGTCGTTCGTGGGAAGAAGAAATTTTTAAAGAAGCGAGACGATAGGTTAAAACTGATGATCGGGATGAATGACGTCTGTTTTGGTGGACGATTTTCCTGTGGTAATACATGAAAAGCGGATTGAAATAAAAATATTTATGTTTTCAACACTTGGTGTTAGCCGTGAAAGGATTGAATCTGGGATTATAGACATGACCATAAATCAAACAATGATTAATCCCAACATATTCAACAACATAGTACATAAGTCACAAACATTAAAAAATCCATAAATTGGTTCTTCGAAATAAATAAAATAATAATAATAGAACCAAACGTTAGTTCAATAAACAACAATCCTCAGCCTAAATTTTTGTTAAATATTTTAAACCTCACTCAAAACCAATGGGCATGCATGAATTTGTGCCTCATATATTGTCTACATCAAAATAGTGATATAACCGATAGTTTTATAATTTTTTTTTCTACAATTTATTTAATATTTATTTTAATATTATTACATGACTATACAAGTAGACAGTTTACGCTATATGTAAAATTCAATCTGCACCCTTCAGGAGTTATTATATCTCATGTTCTTTATTCAAAAACATGAGAAACTCTTAATTTAATTTTGTCGTATGGGTTGTTTTCCACAAATTTCTCTGGACAGAGAATTGCAGCCCATAGCCTAGTCTGTTGGTATAATTGCATGTGTAGGTGTTTAATCTACACATACTGCGTTCTGTGTTGCCAACGATTTTTAGGTTTTACACATCCACTGAAATCTTCAATGCCTCTTGCCAAGAAATCTGTTAAAATTCTTTCTATCTGCTTCCTCTTATGAATCATGATTTTTTTGTGTTCTAAGAAGATTCTTTGACTTCCATTGCTTACATCTCATTCAATTATATACTACAAATTTCTCCGGTTGGACTCCACTGAAGTCTAGTAGCAGTGATTTTTTTCTTTAAAAAGGTATATGCAGGTTCAACTCAATTCTTGAGTATCCTGATACACAATTGGATATCTGATGTGAGATTCTCATCTTTACTATCTATTATCTACTCTAAGAAGAAAGAGAGAGTTCTTGAGCAGCCTTTTGACTTGCATTTCTCACTACTCCTTAACATGATAACAATGGGCAATCAATCTTCTCCAACCCTGGCGTAAGTATGTTACCACATTCTTAGAAAACTACAAGAGGATAAGCAATGATGTAAAAATCACCTGTTATGTAGATAGATATATGCACCACCACTAATGGTCAGGAACAAACAAGTAAAACAGGGGATAGTAAAGACAATGAGAAGAGTAAAGAGAATGTAATAAAGTACCTCGGTGTAATTGTAAATATACTTAAGACATATCAAAGTTGGCTCCTGCACTTCTATGGAACCCAATGTTTTGACGTTATTATCTCCTTCATGTAATCACAACAATTTTGAGTAGTAAACTGTCTGAAAATAAATGCAAATTGTAATTAGGAAAATTGTATCTAATGGTAGAAAGCATAATTATATGTTGTTTTTAGTTGTTACTCAGTTCATCAACCAGATATATGTCATTGGAAGACAAATGCTCCAAAAAAATCATTGTCCTCAAATGATTTACAATTTTAAAAATCTTTGAACCTTCAACATCATCTGCAAAACTATTATTTATCACTCTTTGTGATTCATTTGTTATAATGTTTTTAAGCAGACTATCAATCATTTTAACAAAACATTATATCTGACACTGCACCAACCTTTCATGTTGATTTCTTTCAATTATTTTATCTTTTTATGTAAGGTTTTGGTTGAAATAAAAATGTTAGCATCACGAGCGTGATTTGAACCCATGACCTTCGGCTAAATATGCCGCTGTTCTAACGACTTGAGCATGGTCGACATCAATCCATTTGGACACCAACTCCCCATGTCAACCTACAACCTTTCGAATTTTCCCTATTTTTGTCATTTTTCATATTGATCTTTATCAGTGACATTTTGGTTTTTTATACATATTGTATTATACATACAATATTATATTTTGTTTGTTTAAAATTAATAGGACAAATTTTAAACAAACAAATCTAAAATAATTTTTATAAATAATATTTATAAATAAATAATATAAATAAATATTTAATAATAAATTTTTATAAATAATTTTTATAAAAATAAATAATTTTTTTTTAAGTTTGATAATTCTGCCTAAGCTATAATGAAGTAGAAAGGGATATAACAAGTCTAATAATTTAAATTTACCTTGATGTCATTATAGTCTAAAAAATAAATTAAAATGTGCAATAATTATGCTTTTTGGCGTGTTTGTTCATATTACCTGCTATGTAAGTAGGTAGGTGTAGTAAGTAAATATAGTAAGGGCTGTCACTGATTTATCCCTATTTTTTATTTGGCTGATAATATTGCCAATAATGTCAGTAAAATAATTAGGAGGTCATAATTACTCAAGATATTCCTTTACTTATAGTGTATGTATTCTTGCATCGTACTCATTTGTTGAAATTTACCCTTATTGACGAATAATTAAATATAATGCATGGTTATTTACCTCAGCTTGTTCAGGTGTAGAAACATAGTACATAAGTCACAAACATTAAAAAATCAATATATCGGCTCAAAAAAAGAAGAAAAAAAGAACAGTAATAATTAATGAATTAATGGGAAGAGTGAGGTTGTTTTAGCCTGCACAATTTGGATATGTTGGTTTTAATTTTTTAATTTAGATGTCCTCTTCTGAATCTAGACAGTTTAATACAGCTTCGGTATCTAGTTATGGTGGCTGTATAGATAGAAAATTTGGATTCGTGAAGATAAGTCGTAACAAATGGAAGAAGAACAAGGTTTGCTTTTTCAACGAGCAGTTGAAATGTTTTGTTTTCCCATTGGAGTCAACAGTGGGAGTAAGTATTATACTCAATAGTAAATTTCAAAGTGGAGTTTGAAGTAATGTCTGTCAAATATTTGCATTCACTTGAAGATACACTGGTTGGCTTTGTCAAAACAGAAAATGGTTTCACCATCCATTCATGTTCTTGCAGCATTGTATCTCGAGAAGTTGGATAATAGTGCTCAGAGGACATCTCCAAACTTCGAAGGTGTTCACATCTTTCATCAATCAATGTGCCGTTCGCAAGCTCAAGTTTGTTTTCTTTTAAAAATCATTTAACACAGAAAAACACTCCATCTCTTTTTTCTCAACAGATTCAACCCAAAAGTGGATTTTTCGTTTAAAGGTGTGGACTTTGTCATTAGAATCGAAAGTTGTGATACTCTTCTCTTGCAAAAAAAGACTCATCTCTTTTATTTTCATGATTTTTTTTTGATAAATATAACAATATACACTGCCGTTTCTCTTAATTGAAAAGGTTGGCCAATTTGACATTGAGGTTCATTAACAAGATAAGACTTTATAATGCAATTCTGTCATCGTGAGACCTCACATCTGTATGGAGAAACTGGGGATGATGAAGGCTTCCCATATCGTCACATGGCATTGTGAAAAGTCTTGACTTCAATGGCCGCATTTTAATAAATTAATAATTTGAACCGATTCATCCAAAACTTACTTAAAAGAGGCTCGCATTTATTTCATAACTAAAGCATGTCTGTGGAGAACACAATGACAGCTGCTGCAAATAAAAAATCCTTGCTTTCAGTGCTCATTCCTATTAGTTTTTTAATTGTATTTATTCATTCTACATATATTTGTTTTAATTAATAAAAAATAATTTTTGTATTTTTTAATTTTTCTCAAATTTTGCTGTGGACACCCCCTTAGTAGGGTCAGTGGACCACAGTTTGGGAAGCCCCGACTTATATTAACAACATAATTGGGCTCTAAGAGTTAAATCCACTTAATGGTTGACATTTTGTTTACTCTCATTGTTCCAAAAGTTACTATTATGTAGGTTTTCTTTGTGCTTAATTATAGTGTCAAAAATTTAACAGTTTGGTACGATTTCTCACTGAGGTTAGCAGGAGGCTGAAAA